TTCTCCTTCTATCAGAACCTCCTCTCAAAGTAAGATCGACTCAGCCATATGAAATTGCAAGTCAAGGTAAGACTTAATATACTACTGTCTATAGCAGGCAGAATAACGGCCCTTTAAAAATGTCCAAGTTGTAATGTCCCAAAACTGTGAATTTGTTAGGTTACATGATAAAGGCTGCGGACCACACTAAGGTTGCTAAAACTGAAACACAAACTCAACTCAAAACAAAAAAGGACCTGCCTGGCTGGTGTGGTTCAGTTGGTTGTCATCAGATTGAAAGGTCGCGGGTTCGATTCCCAGTCAGGGCACATGCCTGAGTTGCAGGTTCCTGGCCCAGTAGGGGCACATATGGAATCAGTGTTTCTCTCCCTCTCTTTCTCCCTTTAATCATAAAAATTAAAATTAAAAGAAAAAGGAACCTATTTGTTCACATAATCAAACTGTGGAAAAGACAGGAATCGAGCTACATCAAGAAGGTCCGGAGTCAAGACTTCAGGATCATCCCTCCCCCCCCCCCCACCATCCCTGCGTGTTTAATGTATCAATTCTCTTCACTCCAATCAGCTTAGTCTCCATAGCAGGGGACTTGCCTACCTGTATCTGGACTGGTCTCTGTGACTGGGGACAAGATGCTGCCCTAGCCCAAGTGTAAGTGTTCCCAGGGAGAGAGTTAGGGCATCAGTACAGACATGGACTTTGGGGGAACAGGACAGATAGAAATCCCTAGCTCAGTGATTTTCACCTGGTGTGCTGCAAGAATTTTTTAAATTTTTGTTTATTGATGAGAGAGAGAATCATCAATTTGCTGTTCCCCTTACTTATGTATTCATTGGTTGGTTCTTGGACGTGCCCTAACTGGAGATGGAGCCTGCAACCTTGGTGTAGCGGGACAACACTCTAACCACCTGGACCCCCCGGCCAGGGCTGTGCCATGAGCTTTTAAAGCATGCCATACTTGACTATTTAGTCAGGGGCGCCGACCTCTTTTCCTTGAGACTGTCAAATAAAACAATAACAATAGCCAACACAGTAGTCGTCCAGTGTGAATGAATCAAAATTATATTTTTGTCAGAGCAGCAAAAAATATATTTTTTGGTGTGCTGCAGAATTTAGTGGTTTATGTGTGCCATGACATGAAAAAGGTTGAAAACCGCTGCCCTAACTGCATCTACTGTAAAACCTAAAATGTGAAGCTGTCACATTTATATAGTTCTACACATTTTTCAGACTAACAAAACAGGTGTTTGGGGTTGCTCTATGTGGGAGGAGGGCTGGGGGAGGAAAGGAGACTATTTAGGAAACAGAATGTAGCTGAATGTAGCTGACCCAGCACCTGCACTGCATCGTATAAAAGGGCGATCTCCGTCGCAGGCTGTATTAGTCAGCTCACACTGCCATAACAAAACACCACGGACTGCGCGTGCTAAAACCACAGGAATTTGAAGTCTGAGATCAGGGTGCCAGCGTGGTCGGGTTCCAGGGAGAGCTCTCTTCCTGGCTTGCAGAAGCCTGCCTTCCCAACATGTCCCCATAGTGGGGAGAGAGAGAAAGCTCTCTGGTTTGTCTTATAAGAATGCTAATCCTACTAGAATCAGGGTCCTACCCTTATGGCCTCATTTCTCTTTAATTACTTCCACATGGACCCCATCTCCAACTATATTCGCATTGGGAGTAAGGGCTTCAACCTATAAATTTCAGGAGACACAACGTTCAGCCCATCCCAGCATGTATTGACATAAAGGTGACAATAAAGGCTAATGTGCCTTTAAAAGTGCCCTAGATGTTGATCCTCCATCAGTTAAAGCTAAAAATAAAAAATATGAACTGTAAGACATAGCCAATTTTAAAATTCGATACTTATAGGGTCCTCTTAAGTAATGCTTAAAATCACGTCCACAACTGTAATCATTTTGTTAAATAGTGTTTGCACTGCCACAGCAACAGCTTGCATTCAATTATAGTAAAATATTGTTCATTCATACCACAGTGATTTGGAACTTGGGATAATTCTGACAGAAATGTTTACCTTCTTTAATCATTTTTTCAGGGGGATGGGGAGAGAGAGAAAGAGAAACATCAATTCATTGTTACATTTACTTAGACATCATTGTTTGATTCTTGTACGTGCCCGACAGGGGATCAATCTCAATTTGGCTTATCAGATAGATGCTCTAACCGACCGAGCTATGGGGCCAAGGCCCTTAATCTTTTTTTGGGTGCAAATCAATAGCAAAAAGAATTTTACAGAAAATCGGAGCTGCAAATTAAACACCTCAGATCACAAACTATTTTCAAGAGCCTTCAAGCATTTCTGAATGCTTTTCTGTAAAAATAATACCATCATCCTTTAAAAAAAAGTATGCTCTTGATAAAATTTTTAAAAGTGTATTTTGCCTGGCTGGTGTAGTTCAGCGGATTGAGTGCAGCCTGTGGATCAAAGGATCGCCAGTTTGATTCCCAGTCAGGGCACATGCCTGGGTTGCAGGTGGGGTCCCCAGTGGGGGGGCGTGTGAGAGACAACCACATTGATGTTTCTCTCCCTCTCTTTCTCCTCTTCTCTCTTTCTCTCTCCCTTCCCCTCTCTACAAAAGCAAATAAAATAAAATATTAAAATATATATATATATATTATATACATACAAATATATGTGTGTATGTGTATATATATTAGAGAGAAGAGGAGAAAGAGAGGGAGAGAAACATCGATGTGTGTTTGCCTCTTGCATGCCCCCTAGCAGGGACCTGGCCTGCAACCCAGGCATGTGCCCTAGACTGGGAATCAAACTGGCGACCTTTGATTCACAGGCTGCTCTCAATCGACTGAGCTACACCAGCCAGGGCAAAATATAAGAACAAGTATACTGGAGCCCTGACTTGGGTGGCTCAGTGGGTTGAGCATCATCCCATAGACTGAAAGGTTGCAGGTTCAATTCTTGGTTGGGGCACATGCTTGGATTGTGGGCCAGGTCTGCAGTTGGGGCTGTGGAAGAGGTAACCAATCGATGCTTTTTCCTTCCCTTTCTTTCTCCTTCCCTTGCCCTCTCTCTAAAAACAAATAAATAAAATCTTTTTTAAAAAAAGAAAGAAAAGGAAATTATGCTGGATATACACACGAAATGCTAAACTTTGAGAATACTAAGATGTGATCCATGATCTCAAAACTAGCTAAGAGACACACGGTACCATGTATATGTAAATAATGAATCCTTTAAACGTGACAATGGGAGTTTACTGTTGCTGAAACAGCCAAGAAAGCATTCCCAGAGGTTGGACTTGACCCAGAATTTTAGAGGGTCTACACAAGCTGAAAGGAAGGAAGGTGAGTGCAACTGTTCTACTCTATTCCATAAACCGTCTCTAAAGCATGACTGTGCAACATACTGGTCCACCATGAATTGCTTAATGTTCTCTAGAGCAATAAAGTAGTCTGAATTCAGTTATCAGTTGAAATAGTCTATAATTCAGTTGTTTCACTAACTCAAACTGTCCTTCAAGTCAAATGGTGCAAATTCAGTTTTACCACATATACAGTGATTGACTTATTTTTTATTAAAATACAAAGTAGTATTAGAGAAAGACATTCAAATAAATTAAAAAATCATTCCATATCCCCCTACACTAACACACTGAGTTTCAGTTTTGCATATTATCTTCCACATGCATAAACATTTTACAAAGTCACAATCATAGTGTGCACACTATTTTACATTGTGCTTGTTTTACTTACTGTATTACAGACACATCCATGTTTCTACAGTCTTCCACATAATTATTTTAATGGCAGTAGAACATTTTACTATTTTTATTAGCCCACTTTCCCCTCTGACATGTATATTATTTCCAATTTTTTGCTATTATAAGTAATACAAACATAAACATTCTCATTAATTTACCTTTCTGTTTGTTTTGTTTTGATAGCATTCTTTAGGAGTAGGGTGTATGGGCAAAGATGTAGTCTTATTTTCTCTTTAAACATACACACCCTAGCCAGAAATCAAGCCTCCAACTTTTTGGTGTATGGGACAAGGCTCCAATTAACTGAGCCACACTGGCCAGAGCGATACAGTCATTTTTATGGCTCTTTCTATGCAGTACCATGTTGCAATCCCAAAGAGTTGTACCTATTTAAAATGTCATCTAAAGTTTCTTTGTAAAAATTTTAAAAAGAAGCATTAGGTAATTTTAAACTTCTGTATTTAAATTTTAAAATAATTGCTATCTCTTTTTTTTAAGTGAAGGGGTGGATAGATGATTTAACAGATTACTATAAGTTTAGATGAGTTAACTGTAGCAATGCTCCCCAGCTTTTTTCAGGTTACAGCACACACTGACAGTCATAAAAATGAACACAGGGGTTTCTGGCCCAGAAGCTCCAGCCACCCAGGCCACCTCTGACTGCCGCAAGGGTTATAAGGATCCCTTTCTAGGCACACAAAGGACCCAAAGCCCCAGTGTGCATGGGTTGGGAACCTCTTAATTGAGGAGAGCTTAAGTAACTCAATCCAAGTCACAAAATCTCGTTAGTGGCAGAGCTGGAAATATGAATGCAAACATCTTCTCACCAAAGTATTTTCTACTGTATCATAACTGTTCTATGTGCTTTCTGGCTCTAGGCAGATGTGTCTACATTTATGAGTAAAGAGGACTTTCTAACATGCTTAAACTAAAGACATCTAATCTAGTGATTTACAACAAAGCTAAAAATTAAAAATAATTCTTACTATCAACAAATGTTTGACTATTCTAACATTTTTCAGATGTCATTCTTTTAGTTTGTAAAATCTCAACAGTACTTATCTTTTGCACAATATTTACTCTCAACAGTAATAATCATTTGCACAGTATCTTGCATATCTGTTAGTAAATAAAAGATAACAATAAATTATATACACGAGGGAAAAAACTAAACTTAAATCTATACTAAATAATCTTAAAGGTGATAAAACAAATTTTAAGTGTTGATTTTGTAGAGGTAGAGAAGATTCCCTCCTTAAATTTCAAATTTCACACAGCTAAATGGAACCTTAATGTGCACTATTACATTGTAGGGTCATAAGAGACATTTCATTCCAAAGAATAATTCTGACCTATACCCAGTGTTCATGCTACCTGGAGAAAAAATTCACTACAAAGGCATTTCACCATTACCAAGCATCCAATATTCCAGACGACCTTCGAAAAGCAGAGACTGTAGATGTTGACCCCACTGATGCAACTGTAGATACATATATACCAGATTTCTCTCGATCGCTAATCACTGGGTCGGGGTGTAGAGTGGGGGTTGGGAATGAGAATTTACCTGTCATGTGCCAGGCCACAAGAACAGGCAAGGGACTCTAAACCATGCATTTATTTTACTACACCCCAAACCAGTGATTACTTGGCCATTTCTACAAATTCAGTCAGACATTATACACACAGACGCATCCGTGGGACCGCATGGCACTTGGAAGATTACCCACTATTTCCCACTTATTAAGATCTGGATCATACTTCTCAATGCTCTGAAGATATGTTCCCTTTGAATAGGAATATCCCCCAGTGACGTAAATACACCCATTCATAATGACAGCACCACACTCCATCCTTCTTTCCATCATGGGTGCTATCTCCCTCCATTCATTTTGTTCAGGGTCATAGCATTCTGTGATCGTAGTTTGTCCGCCAACCAGATAGAGCTTACTTTCAAATGGAACAGAACACAATCCATATTCTGTTAGAAAGAAAAAAAGCAAATTTTATTAGGACAACAAACAAAAGAGATACCTTAGGGTGGTGGCGTGCTGTTCCTTTACAATCGGGCATACGAAAGTAGAGAGAGTAGTCGGGGCATTTTGATTCCATACACACAACCACACCACTGAGCCATGAAACCATCGCCTGACCCTGCCATTCTCTCTCAGCCTACACTAGACTGCCTTTCAGACCACTGCCCTTCTGAAAACTTCCCAGCACACACACCTTTCATCCTACACCCATGTGTGAAACGTGGTAGCAGTGGCGTCCCTCTGACAAGAAGACATTCTAGGTAACTGGTGTAGGTCCCTCTGGGTCTTAGCTGCTATCCCTGTAACCAGCGACAGGCGGTCTGTAGTGTCTGTTGCCACAGCTGTCACACAGATTACCTTGCCTGTCAAGTCTCACACTGCTGGCCAAGTTGAGGACCCGGGCAGTTAGAAAAACACTCAAGCAGATCAGTGGGCGTTGCGTATAGCCTATGATCTGAAGAAGATGGGAAAGGTGCTCAAAGGCAGAGGGCCGCTGTGTGAGGTCTGGGTCCTAGGGCTCAGTGTTTGCCTTCCTGGCTGCTTTCATTTTCTCCATTATTTGTCTCCCCCTCTACACCCAAACCTGCCGGCTCTTCAAAGCACCAGGATCTTTTGCAACTTCACTCCCACTCCTTCCTTGCCAGGGCTGTGACCAGGGCGAGCAAGTGTGGCGCTAAATATAAAACACAGGAAGGCTCTCTCTCTGAGAGGCTCGCTCAATTTGTGCCAGAGTCTTCCCTTCCTCACCCTAGTCCCAGCCCGTGTTTCCTCCGTTTCCAACATCACTGTTAGCCTGTGAGTTCCTTCTTTGGAGTATCAACCATGAAATTACACTTCCAGCTGCAGACCTGAGAAAAGAGCAGGATTTGTCAGAGGCACTAAGATTACAGCAAATCAATGAAGATTTACTTCTTCATTTATGTGCCATTGTTTGCCATTACTGAACTGTTCCTTCCAGCTGGAAGTCTCGCCTTTTTCCAGGGCTTTCCATAGCGGTCACCTTCTTGTCATTCAGGTATCATCCTACTGTCATCTCCTCTGAGGGACCTTCTCTGATTATCTAACCTGCAGCGGCTAGCGAGGCATCTCTACCACAGTACCCTATTTTAATTCTCTTCACAGCACTTTTTATTACCAGGTGTTTGGTTAGCGGCTCTCTCCTTGCCTACAGTGCAAGAACTGAGTCATGCTCTCTGCCCCCCTCCCCGCCTGGTAAGGACCCAATAAATCTTTGCTGGATCGATGAATGAACTGTACCTTATACCCTCTGTGCCTTATATGCACGCCCATTATTTTGTGGAAGAAAAGCTTTATAAGCACCTCTTTAGAAAGAGAGAATGTAAGGTCAGAAATGTAATTTCCCCTTTAAGAATGGAAGACAAATTCTTATCAGTCAAGTTCTTGCTATCTAGCTTTTGAAGGCTAAAGAAGTCTCAGAAGATGGGCATTTCTGCTTTGAGTCCCCATTCTGCTGTTTTCAAGTTTCTGATGAGGATATAAGGATTTTCCCACCTTGAATAAATCCATTTGTTACTTTGCAGTTACAGACATGTAGAACTTTTGTAGGATTTAGTTGTTTAAGATACTTGTGCAACAGTGTTTCTATAAATTATATAAATTATTCCATCAAACGTTTATTGTGAAAATTCATGGTAATGCAAAAAAAATTTACGAGTTGATGTAAGAGATTCAGCAATGAGTTTCCTAGGCTTTTCTTAAATTATTCAGTTTACCCCCAAATCCTTAATTTGAGATTCTGATGTGAAAAGAGGTATCTCAACGTTCCTATATCAGTAAAAAATGTTTAAAATAAAGTGACTCCTGATCATGTCTCCCCTGGCACCCAAATATAACCTAACGTTCTATGACTGTTCATGGAAACTTTTTCTCCTTCAGCTATAAGTGCCTTTTTTTCTTGTCGGTCGCTCTGTGAAGCTACTGACGCTCGGGGCCTGGATCTGGTCAATTGGGCTCCTAGCACTGTGCACAGCACACAGAAAGCTCTGGGCAAACACCTGTTGGACAAATGAATGAAAGAACCATTTGAAACCAGCATGGGAATGGCACCGCCTCTCGCGGCTCTGAGCTTACACAAATATTCACTACAAATCCATGGCGGCCTGTGGTCGGTATTACATGAGTGACAGGAAGAAACCCCTGCAGGGATTTACAGACCACCACAGTATTTTCATGTATTAAATATCCATTGAAATGATTAAAAATTCTTTTCCTAAGATTTTTCTGACCGAAAAAATCTGTAAAGCTTATCTAATATAACTTCCTCATTTTCCAATAAAGTAAGAACCTAGAGCTTAAGCTGTTGCCCAGGCTGCGGCAAGTAAGTAAACGAGAGAGCCAGGAGAGAGCCCTCGTCCCACGGGACACAGCCCTGCGCAGGTTTTTCTCCTTTACCACTTACAGCTTCTTCCCCATGCTCCGTGGTCTCCTTCCTTTGCTCACCCCTTAACTCCCGCTGTTTTCCAAGGTTCTCCCACGGCTGTTCTTTTGGTCTCACCCTCTCAAGACCTGTCAATCACCCCCACACCCGCAGCCATCATCTCCGAGCAAACAGCCCCCAGATCTATGTTTGGCTGAGTTCTTCCCCCTGAGTCGCACCCCTGCAACTCCTATTGCTTTCTGGACCGCTCCTCTGGGTTATCCACTTCGTTTTTCACATTTATCTGTAAAACTGAGCTCATCATCTCTCCACTTCTCCCTTCTCATTGGCTATCTTTCTGCCAGAAAACTGTTTCTCAAAAACTACCTCCCTTACCTGAGCCATTCTTTAAGGCCTAAATCATAACAACCTATTCCTAGAAGCTTGTAGATTCTCCTTAATTAGGCTTAAGATCTCCCTATCCTCAATTAGCACTTATTTGTAAGATTATTGTGTTCCCAATTATGAATGTATATTTGCTACTAGATTCTGAGTTCTGACGGCAGTAAAAACTATCACTTAATCATCTCTGTATCTTTTTTTAAATTCTTCTTAAAAATTTACTGATTTTAGAGAGAGAAGGGGGGAGGGAGAGCAAGAGAAACATCGATCTGTTGACCCACTTATTCATTCATGCATTCACTGGGTGATTCTTGTATGTACCTGCCCAGGGATCAAGCCCGCAACCTTGGCGTATCGGGACGATGCTCTAACCAAAGGAGCTCCCTGGCCAGGGCGACCTTTCCATTTTACATAATAACTAGAATTTATTTTTCCCAAGGGAAGACCTCAATAAATATTATCTTCAATTTAAGGGAATTATAGCCCCCTGTTTTTCAACTATACAAAACTTTAAGGCATTAAGTAAAAAAGATAACCCTTATATTATGTTTTAAAAGTAAGTCATTTCTTTGTATTCTAAGGCATTTATCCATAAGGTAAACGCGACACTGACATTTTATGTTCTTCAGGAGGTGCTCCTGAAAAGCTAAGAAGCACACCTTGCTATAGCTCAGAGTGTGTAGGTCCAAATGCCTCAGGGATGAGGAGTTACCAGACCAGGGGATGAAGGGGTAAAACCGACAGAGGGCAGGGCCCCCAGGCCTGTGACGTGATCAGAATGGGAGAGACTGTGGGGGCCCAGAGCACACCAGCCTCATCCGAAGGCCACAACCACGACTTGGCCCCCCCAGGATTGCTGTCATGAAGGAATGTGGTCCCAGGTCGCCAGGTCTGCCGATTTTTCTAAGGCCAGAAATCATGATTTTCATTGGACATCTCCTGCATTTTAACTATTGGTAACAAGTCCCTTTAAAAATATTTTAAACACTGCATGAACCAAACAGAAGATACCATGCAGGGTGCTAATTTGATAACTTTGTTTCCTTTATTACTTCATAGAAAAGTCCAATGTAAATAAAAACTCTACAAGTGGATTTATACTATAATTTAATATTTCTGATTGATTTTTCCATTTGTCATACTTTGGCTTAAATCTCATTGACTTTTAGACTCTCAGAAAGTTATATGTAATTTGAACATGCTACGGGATTTTTAAAAAAAGATTTTATTTATTGTTAGAGAGAGGGGAAGGGAGGGAGAAAAAGAGGGAGCGACATCAATGTAAGAGAGAAACATCACTCGGTTGCCTTGGGGTTTTTTTTTTTTTGGGTGGCGGGTTGGGTGGGGAAACAAAATGTTGCACTGGGCGTTTTCTTTTATAAATAAAAAAGAGTTGGCATACCTTCGGTTTGGAGTAAATTGTTGATTTTTATATTGGCTACTAAGAAAGACAGCCTACCCAGCCCATGCCGTCGTCCGAGCCAGGACAAGTCCATCCTGCACCGCAGTCTCTTTTCATGCACAGCCCCTGTCCTAAGGAGATGCAGCACCTGATCCAGGTGTGTTCTACCTGGACTGTGAGATGACATGCATGACATATGTGGATTAGTAGCTGTGCTGGTCAAAACCCGTAGCGTTTGCTCCTTAAGGAGGGGCAGATTGCGGAGTAGTTACAGCACTGTCCATGCAGTCAGACTGCCTGAACTGAACTCTGGTCTGTCGCTTCCAGACTGTGTGACCTGGGCAAGGTTACTTATCCTTTTCTAAGCCTCCGTTTCCAAATAGGTAACAGGGGTAAATGGCACCTACTGACAGGGTTGTAGTTAGAATTTAAGGTAACATTAGTAGTTAGAATTTAAGGTAACATTACAAGCAAAGTGCTTAGCCAATACTCAGCCTATGAAAAGTGCTCCAGGTTAGCTGTTACTCTTACTCTTTGATGGTTCGAGCTTGTGAATTTTAGTTATGCTCTGCAGTAACCCACAGAGAAGCCTGATGCCATCAGGAAAATGACTCAAAGTGATCTGGTGATTTGGTGACATGAATCTTCCTTAATGAAAAACTGGAACATCAGGCATAACTGTAACAGGATGTAGCATATGCTTTCCCCAAGCTCTTCAAGGAGACATGCGAAAAATCAAGACACCACAGAAAGCAGGCTGTTCCCTGTGGGCAGACAACACGCCCCCTTTATGATTGTTAAAGTTCGGGCCGACATAAGGCTCTGCGCATTGTGGCAGTGAGTGCCTGCTAGTTCCTGAAACCCAGAAAGAGCATGCTTCTGAAAGAGGAAACCACCTCCTGCTGACCTGCATCAGCAGGTACCCTCCCCAACTACGGGATAGATAGTGCTTTCCACCTGTCTATAAAAATTGTTTTATAGATAGCCCTGGCTGGTGTAGCTCAGTGGATTGAGCATAGGCCTGTGAAGCAAAGGGTCGCTGGTTCGATTCCCAGTCAGGGCACATGCCTGGGTTGCAGGCCAGGTCCCCAGTAGGGGACACATGAGAGGCAACCACACATTGATGTTTCTCTCCCACTCTTTGTCCTCCCCTCCCCCTCTCTAAAAAAATAAATAAATAAAATAAAATAAAATTGTTTTATATAATGCAAGTAAGTGACACAAAGCACATGACAAAGGAATAAGAAACAAAAAAAAGAATCTTAGTGAAAACATTTTTTAAAAGAAACCACTTCTTTTAATCACAACAGCTTAAAATGTATGCTGTGTAAAGACATGAGGGAAAGCATTTGCAGACATGATCTAATCTGACTAATGTAAACTGTGATTATTGTTCCATGGACACATCAATATTTGGAGTCTTTTCTCTTTCCACCCCTTTTTAGCCATCTCTGCCGTCACACTGACAAGCTGTCACTGCACATTCTATTAAGACGGTGTGCTGTTACCTGGGTGTGGACTGGAGGTGATGAGGCTCCACTCGTTGATATCTGAATTGTAGCTCTGGACCTTGTCGTACGTGCAGCTTCCTCTGTAGCCGCAGTGTCCGCCAATGACATAGATGACTTCATGTAAGACACAGGCAGTAGCATTTCCCACGCCTGTGTGTTAATTAAAATCACATCTTCAGATTGAGCTTTCATTCTGCTTTGCAATGAATATTGTATTGTTTCTGTTATTACTGTTAGTAGACATAAGGCACTGTGCCAGGTGCTATGAGGGACGGAAGGATGAAAAAGAAAGTCTCCTTGCACTCTTTTAAAAGAGGATGAGACATTTACACAACATGCTGGTACACAGGGTATGGCACTACCGTGGATGTGCAGACCAAGATGTTGCTTTTGACTAGGAAACTCATGCAAGAGGTGGCAAAATTTGACATGAGCCTTAGCAGGTAGGACTTCTGGGAGGGAGAGGTGAGAGGAAGCCACCCTCAGTGAGGGCAAGGTAAGTGCAAAGGCCTCCTGGCCACTTCAAGTAGCCGTTTTGATTGTGCCACCCTGGAAGGGAGGGTGGCACAGCCGGGGTTGTCCTGTGGGAATTAACGCTGGCAAGGTGAGTCAGAAGCATGTGCCAAAGTATCCTGATGCCTGACTAAGAAATCTGGACTTAATCCAGCAGGATTTTAAAGGTTTTTAAATAAAAAAAGGGAGGGACTACAAGGGCAGGAGGGTAGAACTGGTCCGGGTGCAGAGTGTTCAGTGCCTGAGTTAGAAAGGTCTTGGGTACAAGGGGGAGATGCAGGGAGTCTGGAGAGACTGGTAAAACAGAAGGGCCTTGTCTCCGACTGAGTTGGAGACAAGATGGATCCTGGGGTCCTGATCTCAGAAAATTGGGAAACACTCATGCCACAGAAAAATGAGGGGGAAGAGAAAATGGCTTCAGCAGGGGAACAAGAATGATGATGAGGCTCATTTTATCTGAAATGTCAGTTTAGCCTTTCAACCAACTTTTACTTAGCACTCTTACACTGTGGGTGCAGCTCAGTCTCCTTGTTTATTTCTACTCCAAAACAAAAGTGAGTTCATAAGCAGGGCAGTTATGTTGGGGACGAAGGGGGGTGGAGGAGTTCCTAAACAGCTATCTATTTATTTCTTCTCCGTAGCTCCCTCAACCAAAAAAGGAAATAAAATTGAAATTTGACTCTACCCAATTTAAGTTCTCATTACCAGGAAAAGTAACTAGTTCACTTCAAGGCTACAAAACAAACTTGGAAAAATAATGTTATCCTTTCAACATGAAAATGGGAAACTAAGAGTTCAGCATGAGTCTGATCATCAGAACTAGCCAAAACTGCACATAACTGACTAAGCGTCACCTTTCCTGACATGATTAGATATAACCAGGAATCAAACCTTCAAGTTTAAAGCATAAAACTTTCCAATTTCAGACCCAGCTGTTAGGTGGGGGAGGACTTTGGCACATGAGGGTCTCCCATTCCTCTCAAGGCTCAGTCAAGAACACATTCGGCTTTCCTTCACAGTGGATTTACCATTGCAGCATTTTATTTTCAACAACTATTGCTTCAAATGATTTAACACAATTTTAGTAAAGTAATACAGTTTTATCCTCAAAGAACTATAGTGTTAGCTACAAAACCACTGAAATTTATCTCATTATTAAGAAACAGAGGTTGCCCTGACCGGTGTGGCTCAGCTGGTCTCATAGACTGAAAAGTCATGGGTTCGATTCCCAGTCAGGGCACATGATCCTGTTGCAGGTTCGGTCCCTGGTTGGAGTGCATACGGAAGGCAAAAAATCAATGTTTCTTACATCAATGTTTCTCTTTCTCTCTCCATCTCCCTTCCTCTCTCTCTAAAAGCAATGACCTTGGGTGAGGATGAAAGAAGGAAGAAAGGAAGGAAGGTAGCAAGGAAGCAAGGAAAGAAACAGAGGCAGCCCTGGCCTGGTGCTCCATGGGTTGGGGCATCGTTCCATACACCAAAAGTTTGCGGGCTATATTCCTGGTCATGGCACATACCTAGGTGGCAGGTTTTCGAAAGAGACAGACAGGACACTGAGAACCTCCTTGGAGATGGGACTGGAAATCAGTAAGTGGAAGTCATGTTCAGGTAGAGAAAAAACAAACAACAGAGCAACGATAGCTGTGGGCTTTAAGCTACCTTCTGCCACCCTACCAACCACCCATTACTGAGCCTTTGGGCACTCAGAAGAGTGGTCATTTAATCCTCTCAAAACCCTTAACTACATAGTGTCACCCCCATTGTACAGATTGCAAAACTGGAGCTTGAGGAGAGTAAAACAATCTGCCCAAGCTCACCAGCGAGCGAGTGGAAAGTTGGGATCTGGGCCCAGGCAGTGTGACTCCAGGAGCAGTGAGCCGGGCCACAGGCCTAGTCCGCCTGTCAGGCTTCCTGCACTCCGTTCAGGGATCACACCGGGTCAGATTCCCAGAGCAGGTCAGATTCCCACACCCTGGCCAGTGTTAAAAAAGAAACAGAAAGGCCTGGGAAGAAACATTTGGGATAAAATGACACAAATTTGGTAACAATGTACCAATTGTTTTTGTGCAACTTCCCAGCACCAGTGAATAAATGTAATTAAGTAAGATTCCAATTTAACTCCACCCCCCACCCCCAACCCCTGCAGTGGGAGGGAAGGACAACAAGGCTAATCTAGTACCAAACAGCAGAAAATACAGTGTGTATCAGACAGATACTGAGACCCAACAGTGTGCCTGGCTCTGGGGCCACATCAGGGGAGGGTATGGGATCTGTCCCTCTCTTTTAACACCATGAGACAAGACTTGAACTGAAAAAGCAGAGGTTACTTGTGTCTAGCTTTTGAGAGAATGTAATTTGTTACACCCCACAGGGACCAAACCTTTTAAGGTTTTAATGAAAGGCCTTTTAAAAGAGAATATCAGATGATGAGAGGGAAAAGCAGAATATTTAAAAGCAGAATAAAAAAGGGGTTCAATTTCAAGAGCAAGCCAATATAAACAATAAGCACAAACTAATGAAACTACCCAGCTTTTTCTATTTAGCCTTTGACTTAAATGTAAATTTTTAAGACTTCAGTAAGGTCTAGGCTCAAAACAGGTTGTAGAGTAAGAAGAACAAATTATTCTGGTTTCTAATGTAAATATTTTTTAGACTGAGTAGAGTATTCTAAGCATGTAAGTCTCAGACAAGTTAGGGACCACTATACTGTATTTTTACTTGGAACATTCTGCACAATATTATTTGTATAATCCACTACAGTTCCTAGATACCACTGCAAAGTGATAGATTCCTTTTCTAATCTATTAGATTTCTATTCCTTGAGGATAGATTCCTAAACTCAAACACCCAAAAAAATACAGAATAAGCATAACCCGCACTTACCTTTAATCATGTTTGCAATGGGAATCCACTTCTCTTTTAATGGATCGTAGAACTCAGCCTCTTCTGCTGGAGCCCCTTTTCTGTAGCCGCCCAAAGCATAGACACAGCCGCCCAGGGTGACTGCACAGTGGTAATACCTGGCATTGAGCATTGGCAAACCTTCTGTCCATTCATCGTTTTCACTGTTATAGATCCACACGGTGTCCAGAGCTTCTATGTTATCTGTCCTGTAACCCCCAGTTACATAAATGTTGGGTCCCAAACAGGTAACACCATAGCTCTCCCTAGTATAATCTGGTATTTCTGCTCCCTGAATCCAAACATTTGTCAAAGGATCCCATATGTGAACCTCTGATAAAGGATGCCAGTAATAGCCCCCAATGATATACATGGTGGCTGTGGACCTCTGCGAAATCTCTTTATGCATGGGATTCAGGGCATTATATATTAGAGATCGTATCTTATTTTCTGTTAGTAGGCCGCTTCTCTGAAGGCCTAAAGCTGTTTTTAAATACACTGGGTCTACATCCATGTTGATGTAGCTCAGTAGAGTGCACAGGCATTCAATTCGATTTTCTACATCGTAAGCAGTCCACTTAATAACTGGCTCTATGATGGCTTCTTCTTTCCAAACACTGAGATTCTTTCTGGACAAGATAAAGAGAAACTTTTCAAGGCTGATTTCCAGAAACTCTTCTTGTTGCCATACTTCCTTAAACCTTGAGCACAGAATTCTTTGAGATTCCTTCTCTAGTTCGGGACACATGTGAAATTCTGCAAAGGAGTGCATTCCAATACAGTTATCTATATCCAGGTGCCTTACCAAAAACTGCTCACAAGCTTTCTTTACTGAAAGGAACTGTAGCAGATCTGCTGCTTCAAGCAGGCTTTGAACATTTCTTTTAGTTATTTCAATTTGGGAAGTGTATGCATAGTTGACAAGACCTTCCAAAATATCATGGTGGATGCCAGAGATTTTTATTTTATTTTTAAATTTTTCTTTCATGTCAGCTGTGAACATTGCCTTAAAATAATTGCTGCAAGCAGCTAAAACAGCTCGGTGACAATGGAAGATTATGCCTGAAGGACACTGAAGGGTAATATCAGTAAATAATCCATCCAAGTAAAATGTTTTGAATGCATCTAGAAAATCCACTGGATGTGCTGAATCCTTGAAAAGGTAAATATAATCTTCTTGTCCTTTTAGAGCCATGGCTGCAATAAATATGAAATAAACGTTTCGATTTTGCATATCACTTCAAATAATCAATACTATCTATTCTAATCGTTCGAATGATTGTTTACTATCAAATATACTCCAAAACTAGACTAAGCTCAACATTCTAAATGCAAAATGTGGATGGACTATTTCGTAAATGATGGTCACCTTAAATTCAGGTAGCTCGGGGCGTTAAAGCCGCCGAATTTTTCAACAGTCCTTTCTAGAGAAAAAGTAAGTGCTGATTTCCTGCTCCGATTACCCGTCTCCAGTCGGTCCCGAGTAGGCGGCCCGAGAGGCATCCCACACTTGGCAAACCCAGCGGCCCAGGGGTCACCCGATTCAACCCAAGGGGCTGGCCTCTGTTCCATCCCCATTCGACCTTTCCCTTTTCAAGTTGCTTCGAGATGCCAAGATAGAGATGAACGAAATATATGGGACTAAAAGAAGTCTGGGAAAAGGGTAAAGGGTGTCTTTCCGCCGAAGGAGGAAGATAAAGGAAAGCCCCGCGCCCGCGGCTCCCCAACTCCAGGCCCCCTCCTCCGCGGTGCCGCAGGGGTTCCCGCCCGCGGGCCGCCCTGCCCCAGGGCCTGGAGCGGGGACTGGACCGTAGGGCGCCGCACGCCTCCCCGCCGGCCGGGTGCCCAGGTCCCTCGCTCCCCGGACGCCTCACAGGTGCGGGGAGGGCGCCGCGGGCCGCCCCGCGCTCAGCCCCGCGCCCGCGCCCGCGCAGCCATTGTCTCCGCTCCTCCGCCGCAGGCGCGCTCTGCGGGCGGCGCGGCCTCGGTCTCCCGCGCTCCGTCCCGCTCTCCCGCCGCCGGCCGCCCGCGGGCACCGGGTCCGCAGCTCGCCTACCTCCTGCGGCGGCTTCCGGACGCGGCGCGGGCCCCGGGGTTAGCGGCGAGCGGAGGCGGAGGCGCCTCGGGACCCTCTGACCATCTTTGGAAGAGGCGCGGCTTAGGCTTTCTGCTAGTGCAGCTCCAGCCCACAACGGCTCCTATTTTGGTGCCCCAGCTGCTCCCGCCTCCAAACCAACAGCCCCCCGCGCGCTCCGGGCGCGGGGCCACGCGCGGGAACTCCCGGGCGGCTCGGCCACCGTGCGGGCAGGGGCGGGGCGGGCCGACGGCGCGCGGCTGCGGCCCCTCCCAGTGGTTCCCCCCGCAGCAGGTGGGATGGCTTCCCGGGGGACCACCCCGCCTGGGCCGCCAGCTTTTCCCTCCGCTGGGGTCTGCCTCTCCAGCACATATACCCCCTGAGCATTTGCTCTCCTAGACAAACTCTGTAGATCAGAATTAATAGCACAAAGAGGGCAGGGAGCAGGGTGCCCTTTACCCTCCCTTCACTAGCTCTCGCCAGACCCGGCCCTAATGGGGTAGGAGAAGAGAATGCAACAAAACTTAAGATATGAGGTTGTCTTCAAAATGCCTTACGTAGCTGCAGCTTTCCTACGAACGCCACACTGCCCCTAGCAGAGCACTCAGGAGGGAGCCCCTGGGGTCGATTTGCACACAGTGGGTTAACCTGGAGGCTTTGAGATGGACGGAGCAGCCAGGGCCAAGGGTTCAGGTTTCCGTACTTAGAGCTGAGTAGCTGGAGTCACCAGTCTTCTTGGTGACAGCTGGTCCAATCACATAAAGATAAATACCCACGTGTTACACAGGAAAGTTCATCTTTAAAAAAATCGAGTTTTAATTTATTGATTGATTTTAGAGAGAGAGAGAGAGGAAGAGACACACACAGAGAAATATCGATTTGTTGTTCCACTTCATTCATTTGTTGGTTGATTCTTATATGTGCCATGACCAGGGATGGAACCTGCAACCTCAGTGTATGGGGAGAATGCTCTAACCATCTGAGCTACTTGGCCAGGACAGAAAGTTCATTGTCTTGTTCCAACAAAAGCCAGTATCAAATATTTTCATTTCTCGTTCATTCTTTTATTTGTAGGGTTTTATCAAGTGCCTGACACTGGTAGTGGAGTGGTGAACACAGCTGTCATGGAGTCTAGCCATCTTAAGGGAGGAAGGACACTTGGATAAGAGGAACTCCAGAGACACAGCGTGTTTCTCAGAGTATGGTCTGAAAGACAGAATATACAAATGGACAATGGCCAGATTGTATATGACAACAGACCTCCAAAGGACATAAGCAGTCCAGGAAGCCAGACCACAACCTCTGCAGCAACTGGACCAGAAGGGCACCATTGGTCAAGACTGCCAGCTTCCCTATTTTGACCCCTGCTTCCAACTCAGGACCACCAGAGAAAGCCAAATAGGCTTCTTAAAGGAATGACATGAAATAGCTGCTGCTTCTAGTAGCCCGCCTCCAGATTTCCCAGGCCAGCAATCTCCAATTAGAACAGATCTAAGACCTTCCCCTTTTTTCTCTCTTATGTAAAGCTTTCCCATTCTCCTGCCTATCTTTGCACCTCTGCCAAAGGCAAGTGTAGGTGGCTGACTCTCTTGCTATAGCAAGATCTGAAAAAAAACAACAAACAGCTGTTTGTCTCATTTGGGTGATTTTAGCTTAATTTCACACTAGTTATGCAGCACCCACACCCACCACCCCATATCCACCACCACCACCTAATTGGGAAAGGAGACCCAGGAATCTGCATTCTCATCAAGAGCATCATGTGATTTTTTGTTGTTGCAGTTAGAAGAATGTATGTTGGACCCCAAATGGGAGGAAAAATAAACATTTAAAATCCCAACATCTGGTAAACAGTTTAGTGGAGAAGGAAAGTAAATGAGATTTAGTTTCGGGCTTAAAGTTCATCTCTGCCATTTATCTAGCATGCACCTTTAAACAAGTTACTAACCCTCTCTGATCCTTAGTTTTCTGATCTGTAAAACACACCCCAAATTCAATACTTTTTCAACCTAACATAAGGGTTTTGGAAAGATAAAATTACAAATCCGAAAGCACTTAGGATGTGGCATATAAATGTTAGCTCTTATAATGAAAGAATATTTGCAATCTCAGTTTGGAAATCAGCATATTAACATTTCTTCAAAAATTTATGAACTTTGGCCCTGGCTGGTATAGCTCAGTGGATTGAGCACAGGCTGCAAACCAAAGGGCCGCAGGTTCAATTCCCAGTCGGGGCACATGCCTGGATTGCGGGCTAGGTCCCCAGTTTGGGGCATGCAAGAGGCAGCCACATGCTGATGTTTCTCTCCCTCTCTTTCTCCTTCCTTTCCCCTCTAAAAATAAATTTTAAAAATCTTTTAAAAATTTATGAACTATGTAGTTAATTGTAATTGTGGAGTGTGTGTTTCATAACCAATAGTGATGCCACTATTGGCATTGTCATTCAAGGACAATATTGTGACTGAAGATAAGGCATTCTTTCCATGTTTGTCACTGAAGTGTGGTGATGGCCATTTGTGTCTATGATGACAAGTTTGATGTGCAGTGTTATAGGTTCCAGCTAACTCAGAGTATGGGCTTCTGGAATCATAGCTGCATGTGATAAATGATTCTTAAATAATAGAATTTACTATGTTTGTTTGTACAAAGTTAATTCAGATTACTGCATAGACCGATTAAAACTTTTGCTTCCTTTGCCCAATGTCCCCAGTTGTGAATTATTGCTTCATAGTGTATATCAGTTGTATGTCAATTTTTTTAAAAGACCCCCCAAAACGTATACATTAGACTCCTTCAACTTGCCAAGAGAAGAGCAGGTCCTCAAGGTATTGCCAGCGGTTCCTCTTTCCCACATGCTTTATTAAAGAGACCATTGCAGATGCTAATAGATTTGATGCACTCAGAAACATATGATTAGCCTTCATAAGTTAAATTAATGACATTGCTCAAGAAAACAAATGTGCCATCTGTGACTTCAAGTCTTAAGAAGATGACACATAAACAACTCTTGGCAGATGTTAAGGTTGGCATGGAGTTAGATGCTATTTGACATCACACTTTGCTTTTCAAAAGACTCTTGGCTTCTAAAAATAACAATTTTATTTGTTCATTGTTTTTACCTAATTAGTACATCTTTCCACTAAGTACAGCTGTGTCTTTAAATGTTTGATATGCTAATTGTGTATAATTATCAGTGTGTGTAAATGGCAGATACATACAGGAAATTTTGTATACTTCATTTACATACTGAATTAAACAAGTTGCTGTTAAGTAAAAAAAATAGTGAGTATAATTTATAAGGCCACAATATACAACTGTGTACATCATGCATGGCACAATTCCAGCTCACTCTGCTCAAGCAGAGTGCAATATAAACTCTACAGTACACAACCAGCACAGGTATATATGGCTGTCTGGGAGCTGATATGTCTTGGAAAAGCTTTTTAGTATGCTTCCTGGAAAATTTTCACTTTTTGAAGTATAAATTAGTCTAGTACCCTGATGTGGACCTGGCCAGTGAGTTCCATGTTTTGTGGCTGCAATGAACAAATTCACTCAGAACGCAGAAGTCCTGTGGGGAAAAAGGGACAGCTCGGTGGCTCTCTAAGTGGGAGAGGGCCCCGACCCCCACCTGGACAGGCTTTTATTGCTTTTCTGGGTACATTACATCCAAGATGGCCCTCATTTACTGTTCACAGTTTCGCTTTAGGTGATTACCTTTTACAGATAACAAAGGAAAGAATGTTACTAATTACTTCAAAGAAAAGGATGTTTGCAAACCAAGGGGAAAAGTGGTTGAACTGGTTACACTCCATACTTGGGAGGCTTAGTTCAGACTTTAGGAAGTTACTTTAAAGAAATGCAGTAAACACTTGCTGCCTCAATTCAGGGTGAGGGAGTTTTAACAAAAAGCAAGCCTCAAAGCAGCCTAGGTACCATGCAGGCCTGATTCCCCACGGGAAAACCGATCTGTGGGACTGGCTCCTGTGTGCCAACTCGCTCCCCGCTGGTTTTCTGAGTCAGGAGCTGGGCTAAATTTGCCATACCAAGCAGATAGGTTCCCTATAGTACCCACTTGGCACCATGCATAGTTATTACAATATCATTGACTATATTCCCTATGCTATACTCTACATTCCTGTGACTATTTAGTAACTACCAATTTATACTTCTTAATTCCTTTGCCTTTATCACTCAGCCCCCCAAACTTCCTCCCCTCTGGCATCCATCAGTCTGTTGTCTGAATCTATGAGTCTGTTTCTGTTTTGTCATTTATTTTGTTCCTTAGATTCTACATACAAGGGAAATCATATGGTATTTGTCCATACTACCCTCTAGGCCCACCCATGTTGTTGCAAATAATATTTCATTCTTTTTCAATGGTCAAGTAATATTCCATTGTAATATGTATCAATTCTCTGTCCAATCATTTATTGATAACCACATACATTGCTTCTGTATCTTGGCTACTGAAAATAATGCTGCAATGAACAAGGGGTGCACAGAATAGTGTTTTGGATATCTTTTGATAAGTGCCCAGAAGTGGAATTGTTCAGTCATAAGGTAGTTCTATTTTTAATTTTTTGAGGAATCTCCATATTGCTTTTCATGGTGGCTACACCGATTTGCAATCTCACCAACAGTACATGAGGGTTCTTTTTCCTCCACATCCTCACCAACACTTCTTGTTTGTGGATTTATTGATGACAACCACTCTATAAGGGGTGAGGTGATATCTCATTATATTTTAATTGGCATTTCTCTGATTATTAGTGATGTTGAACAATTTTCATATGTTTGTTGGCCATTTGTATGTGCTCTTTGTGAAGTGTCTATTCAGATCCCCTGCCCACTTTTCAGCTGGATTGTGTTTTTGGTGTTGAATTGTGTGAGTTCTTTACAAATTTTAGATATTAACCTCTTGTCAGATGTATCATTGGCAAATATCTCCTTCCATTCAGTAAGTTGTCTTTTTGTATTGTTGATGGGTTTTGTTGTGCAAAACTTTTAGTTTGATGTAATCCCATTTATTTATTTTTTCTTTTGTTTCCCTTGCCTGGAGGAAATATATAAGAAAAAATAGTAATAAGAGCAATGCTAGAGGGTTTACTGCTTATGTTTTCTTTTAGGAGTTTTATAGTGTTGGTCCTTACTTTTAAGCTTATAATCCATTTTGAATTTATTCTTGTATATGATGTAAAAAGGTGGTCCAATTTCATTTTTTGCATGTATCTGTCCAATTTTCCCAACACCATTGATTTAATATACCATCTTTAGCCCATTGTACAGTATGTTCTTGCATCCTTTATCATATATTAATTGACCACATAAGCACGGGTTTATTTCTGAGCTCTCTATTCTGTTCCATTGATCTATGTATCTGTGTTTATGCCAGTACCATGCTGTTTTGATTACTATAGCCTTGTAGAATTATTTGGTATCACGTAGTATGATACCTCTAACTTTGTTCTTATTTCTCAAGATTGCTGTGGCTATTCAGGGTCTTTTTTGGTTCCATATAAATTGTAAGATTATTTGTTCTAGTTTTGTGAAACATGTCATTGGTATTTTGATAGGGATTGCATTGATTTATGGATTGCTTTGGCTAGTATGGTCATTTTAATGATGTTAATTCTTCCTCTCCATGAGCATTGGACATGCTTCTGTTTATTTGTATCTAACTCAGTTTCTAAGAAAGTGAATATTCTAATGACTGGGTAACAAGTACCTTTACAAGTCAGAAGGTTTCCAACTCCTTGTTTTCAATAAGTCAAAGAGCATTTTGGACAAATAATTTGGAAAGAGTCCACAAAATGAGTGGCGCTTCTGTAATAAAATTTCTCTCATTCCCATCTACTTGTGTGATGTGAACACTTTCTCAGGGATTACATTTATAGAAATTAAAAACAGGAATATCATTGATCCAAAACTCTTATTCCAATAGTAGTTAATACTCAGCCAGAGATACATAGTCTAAATCAGCAGTTTTCAATGAGTGCGCTGCAAGACTTTTAAAGCCTGTGCTACCTGACTAGTGAGTCAGGGCTGCTGACCTCTTTTTCTTACATTTGCAAATAAAAAAATGACACAGCCAATAGCTATACAGTTTGAATAAATAAAAATTCTACCCATTCTTGTCAAGTTGGCAAAAAATATATGTTTTGGTGTGCTGCAGAATTTTAGTAATTAGTTTATGTGTTACATGAGATTTTTAAAAAGTTACTAAATGAAAACAACCCTGCTAGTCTAAATGAAAAGAAAATAGCTGAATTCATCAGATTGAAATAACTTTTGATAAATTTTTACTTGATTTAATTTATATTGTTCAATAAATTATAATAATTGCAACATTAATAAGTCCATCCTTTTTTTTTACTACTTAAGAATCAAGGCACTGATCTAGGTTGCTCAGTTGGCTAAAGCACTGTCCCTAACACCTAGGTTATGGGTTCGATCTCCAATCAGGGTACATACAAGAAGCAACCAATGAATACATAAATAAGTGGAACAAAAAAATTGATGTTTCTCTCTTTCTCTGTAAAATCAGTAAATAATTTTTAAAATTTAAAATGCATAAAGGACATAAAATAATTAAAATTTTAATTTATGTACATTTTTGCAAAGAAGTTTAAGAGATGATTAATACAAGATTTTCGAGTATAAAAATATTTAGACAATCCTTTCTTTGAATGATTCCAACATACGTTAATTTCAGTCACCATGGTTAGGTTATATAACACCAATCCCTAAAGAGGATTCAAATTTCAATTACTATGGCATATTAACCGCAATTTCATAAAACACACATTTTTCCTGTAGCTCTTCGGTCCACAGATCACTACATAAATTACAGATGAGCATCACGATCAGTGACCAATCATGCCTCTTGTTTCAAAATTGTTGGTGTCAGGTCACTGTACATTGGCTATTCAGTTCACATTGACACAAAAAAGCTTTCAGTTGCCTTACATTCTTGTCCACCAGTGATAAGTGTAAGCACATTTTACAAAAATTGATCACTGGCAGAGGGCATTGACCAACAAAAATGAAAGTTAGCAAAGCAATGAAAAGTGGCAACGCTGCAAGAGAAATTTGAACTGAACACAGCGACGCCCTCCAGGAAGCAGCTGCCCACGGAAATGCAACGCTGCCGCCAAGAGGGAGGCTGGAGAGGCAGCCCGCGGACCTCGGTGCAAGTGGACAACATGGCTGACGTGAGGAAGGTAGTTAACAAAAGCGATAAAGGTATTCCAGAAAAATTGATGCTGGCAAAGAACACTAAAGAAACTCTTAGAGGTATTTCATGACATCGAGAGTACAAAAGATAAAATGTTGGAAGTCGATCAAAACCTAGGAGTATGGCAATTTACCAAGGCATAGGAAGATGGTTGCTCCATATTGTAAGTTATATAACAAAAAGAAGGTAAAAACTCTTCTTATTACAGTGGTACCTCAATTCTCAAACCTAATTTGTTCTGGAAAACTGTTCGAGAAGCAATTTGCTCAAAAATCAAATCTCCTTTGTCTCCTGAGAGACGTGTGACTGGTCGGTCACACAGGTGTCAGCATGAAAGGGTTGTCGGGTAGAGAACTGAGACCCACAGTTTTGTCAGACAACCAAGACACTTTTTCCGTGAACAACTTGGTCAAGTCCTGGCTGGTGTAGCTCAGTGGATTGAGTGCTGGCCTGTGAACCAAAGGATCGTGGTTCATTCTCAATCAGGGCACATGCCTGGGTTGCAGGCCAGTTCCCAGCAGGGGATGTACAAGAGGGCAACCATATGTTGATATTTCTCTCCCTCTCTCCCTCCCTTCCCCTCTAAAAATAAATAAATAAAATCTTTTTTTTTTAAAAAGCCCACAGCTCACATCATACTCAATTGTGAAAAGCTGAAACCTCTAAAAAAAGACCCAACTTGGTTGAGAACTGAATTGTTCAAGAACCAACATTTGAATGTACTATTTGGTTTTTTACAAAGAGATAATATATGTTAATTCTCAGTATTTATAATTGTAATGCTCTAAGTGGATATGGTGTTACTATGTTTTTCCTTTTCCTATACATTTATAACTGACAGTAATAGAGTTTTTAGTGTTCCAACAAAAAAATTAAAGGTCACAGGACAATTATAATTTTTCCCACTGATTATTAAGATGACTTTGCATGGTAATCTTGCATGGTCATTTTTATGGTCCTGCATTACTGTGCAAAGTGAAGACCACCTGTATTTTCAATATGACATTTTCTGGGAGAAGTGGAACAGAAATATGAGATTAAAAAGAAAAGAAAATGAGATAAAAATTTCCCACTGTTAAAGAACAACTTATTGATGTATTTTCATGTATTTTTAATGAATGGTTGTTTTCAAATTACTATAGTGCACTTTTACTAAATAGATTTAAAAGAGTTATTTTAAAACCTATTAAAAAGTCATTATTTACAATATGTTAGAAATTACAACTTGGGCAAATATTTGAACTTATGGTGAAAAGTTTTCAATATCAATCTGAAAGTGTGGAAGTTATTTTGGGGGGTACTTGTTCAAAAAACATGAAAGACCACTGGCCTAGTCTCAAAACAGGAACTAGCCTAGTACTCTTTGGTGGGGGGAGGGTCATTTAAAAAACAACCATTAACTGAGAATGTTTTTGTGTGCCTCAATTAGCATTAAATTCCAGATAGAAATTAATACAAGACAGAGGATCATAAACTAGGACTTTTTTCAACTACAAGCAATAGAAACCCAATTCTTTCAGTCAGAAAAGAATAACAACTTTGGCTTGAATAAACCCAGAAAGCCTGATATTGTTAAGTGAGTTAAAGATTAAAACTCTCAAAGACTCCCTTTCCCTGACTCATGTGGTCAGTAGGTTGGGCATCATCCTGTAAAGCACAAGGTTGCTGATTCCATTCCCTCTCAGGGCAGCTGCCTGGGCTGTGGGTTCAGTTCCCGATCAGGGTGCATGCAAGAGGCAACCAATCGATGTTTATCTTTCACATCTATGTTTCTCTCCCTCTCTTCCTCTTTACTCCCTTCCACTCTCTCTCTAAAAATAAATAAATAAATAAATGTAAAAAACCTCTCAAAGACTCCCTGTCTCATTCAGTAAAAGCTGTAGTACTACAACAGCCTGACTCCTGGACCACCCCCCCACCCCCGCCCTGCTTCTGTGTTGCCAGGAACTGTGCCCACTCTGGTCGTGCTACTAGCTGTTCCTTTGGCCTGTACCGCTCTTTTCCCAGCTACCACTTCCTGACCTGCTTGCTCACCTCCATCAGGTTGTTTTTTTCCCTTCAAATACCAACTTCCTAGTGAGGCTTTCTTTTATCAATCTGTTTAAAATGATCTCCCTACTGCACCTGCTACTCACGATCCCCCTCCCCTCTAGTTTTCATCTATAGTACTTATTAACATCTATAATTTGATATATTGTGCTTATTTATCAGTTTGTGCGATTTCTCCCACTAGAATGTAAGCTCCATGATAGCAGTGATTTTTTATCTGTTTTGTTCACAGTTATTTCCCTAATCCATTCCTGTATCCCCAGAACACTGTCTACCACATAACAGGTAATCAATAAATATGATTTGTGGTATAAATAAAAATATGAATGGGTTATAAGACTTTCAGAATTTTCTTTAAAAACATATCTATTTTGCCCTACCCAGTGTGGCTCAGTTGGTTGGGCATGTCCTGTAAACCGGAAAGTCACGAGTTCAATTCCCAGTCAGGGCACTTGCCCAGGTTACAGGTGGGTTCCATCCCCAGTGCCAATGGATGTTTCTCTCTCACACTCATGTTTCTCTCCCTCTCTTCCTCCCTCCCTTCCCTTCTTTCTAAAATCAATAAGCATATTCTTGGGTGAGGACTAAAAACAATGCTCAATTTCTTTAAATTACGTATATGACTTAATCCACAGATATTGCCCTTCTGCAGCATATGGTTCGAAACTTCTGTTTTTCTTTTCTTTTACTTTTGTGTTTTCATTTAAAATTCAAAGCATCTGGTTTATCTATCCTTCCTTTTTGTTCTGACATCACTCTTTTCAGGCCTTTATCACTTCTCACTCAGCTTACTGCAAGATTTTTCTGTTAGTTTCTCCCTTTTTCTCCCAAGCTGTTCACCACGTTTATCCTCCCTAAACACCTTTCTTCACATCGCTCCCCTTTACTCATCGATTGATTAGCTTTCAGACCTGTTCACAAATTAGCCAAATCCCACTTACAATGCTTTATTCCACTACTTCCGAATTTCAATCCTTACTTATCAGGCCGGCTGCCTCATCACCACCTTGTGACTCTGCTGCGCTCCCTCCCCCTTCATTCCCTTTCACCTGGGAAGCTCAAGTCCTTCATCTCTGTCCGAACCCTTTCAGTCCTTTGAAGTGTAGACCACAATCCACCTCTTTCAAAAATCTTCTCTGATGTCACATCAATCGACTGAGTACAAAACACAGTTCTTGCTATATGATCATCTATTCCTTCCTTGACCTAAGTACCTTCTGTTTATGCTGATCACTGAGACACTTTACGAAACATGTGCTGGTATTTAAGTTACTTGTGTACATTTCCCACTACCTCTTCAATCGAATTGTAAGTTCATTCTTTGTAAGACATAGTCTACACTTCGCATCCTTCCACAGTTTTTTCTTGTTTTGATTTTTTCCCCCTAGCAAGTATCCCCAAATATTTTTAACTTGGTTTTATTTTTATAAAAATGAAAAATATTTGTTGAATGAGGTATTTTAGCTCTCAAAATTGTACAGTAAGATCTTTCTTTGGACTTAAATGTGAAAAGGGCAGTTGTTCATAGATCCCTGAAAAAATATACTTTCATATTGAACAGAGGATAATAAAGTGTCAATATTTTTACTAGTTGTTTAAATATATAACTGAAAATTTGTTAATTAAATACAAAAGACAAACTAATGTTTTACTAAGTAGCATCTTCCATAGATGGGAGTTCCTAAGAATTTCTGCATCAGGAAACATCTGTGTTAGTTTTCTGTTTCCATATGAACCATCATCCACAGACATCGGTCTCCATGACATAAACAAGTAGGACAGATTTAGCTTTTGGCCTAGAATATATTATTCCATAAGTCTTTACAAAGCATACCAAAAAGACCTGTCTACAACAGAGCTATCACACTGTCTACCTAAAAAAGAAACTCAACAGAGTGCACAAAAAGACACGGTATCAGCTGATAGACTTGAGTTGATTCCCTACAACTGGTCTCTTCTGAAGATGTGCTGTGGAGTTATTAGGTGAGTAAAGAACTCTCCCTCTTATCCTCTAAAAAAAAAGCGTATCTGATTATAGGGAGAGTGAAGTGGCTATAAATTCCAGTCTCACTCACAGTACTAATAGAGCCCCTCTGCCCTGTACGGTGCCCAGTTGCTGTATGAGTGGTGTCTTGAAGCAGCTTATGAGACCATAGGGAAGGTGTTCTCTAATACTTCTTCAGGGCTAGTATAACCTAGGAGCTAGAAAATCCAAAAATGTTGTGAAAGTAAGTAAGTATGTGGGCATATTAAAGATAATATTTTTAAAAAGTAGACTTAAGATGTAATTATAATTTGCACTATAGAAGATTTGAACTAAAAGCTGTGTACCACAATACATGTAACACCTAAGCAGGAAAAAAGCCTAATATGTATCTTATACCGGAAGGATGTGATCAAGTTAGCATCAAAAATAATTTTTAAACATTCAGATGCTGACTGCTATTCTGTGACGAGGCTATGACTTGGCAATAAGGAAATTTTTATATGGGGAAAAATATTCTGAATCTGTAGCTTTAAGAGTCGCGGTATTTAGTATGTACAATTGCTATATCTTCACTTGGTCCCCATTTTCTCTGTGTTCTGGGCCTGACAAATTATGTCGTCAGTCTTGTCTGGGCTACTCAGCTCTAGCCCATTCACTGATAGAGAGTTGTGGGGTGTGCTCTGTCTCTCAGGGAGTTTGCTCTATTTCTTTAAATTTGTTTATCTTTTTTTTAGTACAATCATATTATAAAAATTATAAAATAGGTTACCAGAAAAGTCGTATCACCCTGAAAACTCTCAAAAGCAGAAACATTTTAATTAGCATCTCTTGATACATCATAAGCTGTTTGGTGTCTAGTCAGAAGAATAAAAAGCAGGCCCTGGCTCAATAGTTCAGTTGGTCAGAACATCGTTCTCATACTCCAAAGCTATGGGTTTGATTCCTGGTCAGGGCACACACAGGAATCAACCAATGAATGCATAAATAAGTGGAACAACAAATCAGTGTATCTCTGTTTCTCTAAAAATCAATAATAAATTTTTTAAATGATTCATTTATTAGTATAGTATAAACTGTCAAAACTGTCAAAACTGTGATTTATGAAGCTGTGCATGTAAAAAGTAGACTATTACTTGAGAGATGGTATTAGCCATTGTATTAATATTCTATTGCTATATAACAAATCACCACAAATTTAGCAATCTAAAACAACACAAATACTGTATTTTTAGGACTATAAGATGCACTGGACCATAAGACACACCTAGGTTTTAGAGAAAAATAAAAAAATTTTTGAAGCAAAAAATGTGACAAACTATTTAATAGCATAAATAACATAGGCCACCACTCTCCCCGCCCTCCACAGCGAGCCAGGTAAATTGCATTTGGACTATTAGACGCACCTTCCTTTCCTCCCAAATGGGGGGGGGGGGGTGCGTCTTATAGTCCAAAAAGGGGGTACATGAGCTCACAGTTCTTGCAGGTCAGAAATCTGGGCACAGTGTGACTGGGTTCTCTGCTTAGGGTCTCACCAGGCTGAAATCCAGCTGTCAGCCTGGGCTGTGCTTCTCATTTAGGTCCTATCCAAGCTCATGTGGTTGCTGGTAGAATTCATTTCATTGCAGTTATTGTAGGGATGAACTTCCTGATTTTTTGTTGGCTGTCAACCAGGGGCCGTTCTGGGCTCCTAGAGGCTGTCCACATTCCTTACTACACACCTCCTTCCATCGAAACCAGCAATGCTATGTTGAGTCTTTCCTTGTGCCTGAATCACTGACTTCCTATTCTGCTACCAGCCAGGAAAACTCTCGTTTTAAAAGGGCTCAGGTGCTTAGGTCAGGTCTACCCAGACAATCTCCCTACTGTAAAGCATAACCTGATCACAGCACTAAAATACATCAGGTTCACAGTACTGGGGATTAGCCATGGCATGTACACCAGGGAGTGGGAAATTTCAGGGGCCATTTAGAATTCCACCCAGCAGCACAGAAGATTCCCCCTTCTCTGCCCAATCCTATTGACTTTAATATTTAAGCCTTTTTCAATTCACATTTAACTCTACATATTTATTTTATAAGCTCACACTTCAGTATAGTAAAAAATAGCCATGAATAACTTGCTTGTCACTGGGGGAAACATACAGATTCTTTTGTTCACAAAGGAAAAATTTTGGAGAACAAGAATCTTAAATTTTAGTAAGCCTAATTAGCATGTATCAATATATGTTTCATTAAATCTAATATAATCTAATGAAATAATCAATATTTTAGGTGCTTATATATAAAAATTAGGACCACATTATCTAGAAATAAGCAAACATAGGATTTAGAAAAAATTAACACAATGCAAACAATAATTGTCAAAAATATGGCACTATATCTCCCATATATGAAGTATTCAGAAAAATAAAAACACAAAACCCTCTAGATAAATAAGAACCAGACATTTTAAAAAAAGGAAATAGAAATGACTTAGTAAAGTTGAATCTCCCTAAATTAATGTTTATTGAGTGCATATAATTTTTGGAGGTGCTCGCACAAATGACAAGTGCAGGCCTGCTGTTCAGGTACAGGCACTTTTAGGTTTGCAGCCAGCATCCATTCTCCTAGTTTGATAATTGTGTTCTTGTAACTGCACAGCATGGGATCTGGCGTTTGTCCCTGTGATATATGGCCTGAAGATTTGTGCTAGCGACTATTCATTGTTACCATGTCTCTCATATCCTTAGGCAGATGTTTTAAAACTCTTGTTTAGCTCTCAACTTTTTTAGCTGTGCTTGTTAGATCTGGTCCAAATTATTTGGTCTACTATGACAATAAATAAAAGTTTGGGTTTTTTACTTGCATAATTTGTCATTTGTTACTGGCCTCCACAAGTAGAAAAGTGATCATGTATAAGACTAAATGTGCTTAAACATAATCCAACCTATTTAAAGATCTACTTTTTTAGCCTGAAAAAACAAATTAGAAAGTACCAAATTCTTCTCATTAAATTACATTGATCATTTCTATATCTATTTCTGGAGTTGTCCATAATGAAAAGAAAATCCTATTATTATTATATAATGGATATATATATGCCTAAAACATGAGCCTAGAAATTAGCATGAAAGTATAATACATTTTTTAAAAGATTTATTTGTTTTTAGAGAGGGTAAGGGAGGGAAACACCAATGTGTCGTTACTTCTCACACACTCCCTACTGGGGACCTGGCCCGCTACCCAGGAACATGCCCTAGACTGGGAATTGAACCAGAGACCCTTTGGTTCACAGGTCAGCACTCAGCCCACTGAGCCACACCAGCCAGGGTAAAACTATAAAACTTTTTATAACACTTGATATTTTGCTAATATTTCTATATAAAGAAGTATTTTAAATGTTGAGTATTCCTTCAAATTACATATCACTCAAGACACACTGCCAAGTATAATATACTTATTAAATCAGTGTAATGGAATTACAGTTGTAATACTAATATAAATTTGAAATATTTGAGAACATTAATTTGTGTTTAATTTTAAAAGGAAAGTCTAAAATAGATACTGTATTACTATCTTTAAAATACACTGACTTGGCCCTGACTGGCATAGCTCAGTGGATTGAGTGCGGGCCTGCAAACCAGACAGTCGCGGTTCGATTCCCAGTCAGGGCACATGCCTGAGTTGCAAGCTGGTCCCCTGCAGGCCAGTTCCCAGCACGGGACGCGTGAAAGGCAACCATACATTGATGTTTCTCCTCCTTTCTCCTTCCCTTCCCCTCTAAAGATAAATAAATAAAAATCTAAAAAATAAAAATAAAATACACTGACTTGGCATGAAATCCAGACCTACATCTAAAATTGCTCTATCCAGCAAAGCTTTCATTTAGAATGGAAGGGCAGATAAAGTGCTTCTCAGATAAGATCAAATTCAAGAGTTCATCATCACCAAGCCCTTATTCTATGAAATGTTAAAGGGACTTACCTAAGAAAAAGATAAAAAAGATGAACAGTGAAAGGACAGCAAACTTACAGTTATTAATTATTAACAACCACACCTAAAACAAAAGCAAACTAAGAGGACAGCTAGATCAGGAGCAGAACCATAGAAATGAAGATCACATGGAGGGTTAGCAACAGGGGAGTGGAAGAAGGAGAAAGGGGGAGAAGGTACAGAAAATAAGTAGCATAGAAGGTAGGTAGAAAATAGGGGGGAGGAGGGCAAGGATAGTATGGGAAATATAGAATCTAAAGAACTTGAGACATGTGGTCATAAACTAAAGGGGGGAATAGTCGGGGGTGTGCAGGGTGGAGGGGAATGAAGGGGGGAAATGGGACAACTGTAATGGCATAGTCAATAAAATATATAAAATAAAATAAAATACACTGATTTGGGAATAAACCATTACATGTATATAGTTCGGCTTCTGTGCATAAAACATCAGGCTTATTTTTAAGATCTGTAACTATTGGACATGCTTTTGAAATAAATATCTAATAAAGTAAAATATAAGACTATTCTCTCTGAGAATAAAAACAATATACCCTCAACCACCTTTGGTAGAGACCACCGGTTGCACTTACCTTCACTCCATACTTTTTTTCTTAATTTATTTATCTTTAGAAGGGAAGGGAAAGAGAGAGGGAGAGAAATATCAATGTACAGTTGCTTCTTGTGCATCCCCTGCTCGGAACCGGCCTGCAACCCAGGCATGTGCCCTGACTGGGAATCAAACCACGATCTGTTCATTCACAGGCCCGTGTTCAATCCACTAAGCTACACCAGCCAGGGCCCATACTCCTCTTTTATCCAAGCTTTCCCAGGCATATGACCATCTGGAATAAAAGCTGTATTTTTCATCCTGCCTTGCAATTAGGTGGAGACATTATGACTAAATTTTGGCCAATGCAATTGAAATGAATATACAACTCACTGCCTCCCTTCTTGCTGGCCACAGTGTTCCTGTGAGGATTGGAGCTTAAACAGTCTTTTTTAAAATTTTTCAAAAGATTTTATTTTTAGAGAGAGGGAAGGGGAGAAAGGGGGAGAAACATCAATGTGTGGTTGCCTCTAGCGCACCCCCTACTGGGGACTTGGCCTGCAACCCAGGCATGTGCCACCGGGAATGGAATCCACGATCCTTTAGTTTGCAGGCCAGCACTCAATTCACTGAGCCACGCCTTGTGTCATGAGCTGGTAGCCAAGTGCTGAAATTGGTAGAGCAACACAGCAGCCTTGAGATATACCTATGGAATTCTTTTAAGTGAGGAAAAAAAAGTCTTTTTTTTAAGCCACTGGTATTTGGGGGTCTTAGTTTTATGCTACTGAACCTAATCTTAACTGATACACATTTCCATTGTTGGCATATTACTCCTTTATTAGAAACTGTAAATGAGAAATTATTTCAACACCTGAAGACCAAGCTAGAACACAACATTCCATAGGCTCCAGATTTTGAGACATTCTGGAAAGCGTTTTCTGTAAAGCGTATCCTTTCCGTGGCATGGCAACATCGTTCTTCTTTAAAAAGGTTACTGGGCAAAGATCATTTCCACCATCACCCACGTAAACAATTTGTGTATAATTTACTCCCTGTTGTAACTGTTTATCTATAAATTCTACCAAAACTACATTTTTGCAAAGATTTTTGGGACACCTATTGCAAGAATGAGCATGATAATTTTTCACAGAGAGATGACCGCTGCCATCAAAAGCTGCTGGATTTGTAAACACTTTATCAAACACATCATGAAAATTGGCAGCTTCTAAAATCCAATCTATGAAGACTGAATTTGAATCTGAAATAATGATGCAATCAAATTTATCCCTGTTCTTTCTTATAAAGTTTAAAAGCTCCCCCATCCCTGGAGTGAAAGGCATTGACGTCACTGTTCTCTTCATCTCCTCTTCTCTGACACCTGCATCTCCCAGATACTGAAAGACTCTGCCCATAAATTCTGTCCAAAATCCTTTTTTGTAAGAATCTTGTAGTTCAATAGGAAGCTTTTTCTCTGGAGCACACTGTACAATCCAGGTGTCACTATTGTCATCTATGATTGTATTGTCAAAGTCAAAAGCGAGCAAAATTTTCATGGTTCTAAAACAGATTTGGGTTACCCTGAAAAAGAAGAAATATTATTCCCTAAACACTTTTTTGTAAACAGATCTACTTAATATTTAACAAACATTACTGAGTGTTAATCTGCTAAACAAATTATAATAAATTGGGTAAATTAAAATAATTAAGCGTTTTAGGACAACCATTTAAGCATTCTTCCTAGGAACCAAAGTTCATATTTGAGTATTTTAGGTGAATCGAACACAGAGTATCTAGAAAGGATGTCCACAGTGTCATTGTGTCGATGTGGGGATTGCTCCTTAAGCACCTCGAATCATGCTGCGGAGCGATCCACTGAGAGAGGGCGTGAAACAGTTATTCTCTTACAGTGTGAGAAAAGTTTTTGAGTAATACAGAAAAAAGTGTAGACTAATCACTCTTAATGTTCTTATCAGTCATAGCCACACACTCATTTTTTTTTAAGATTTTATTTACTTATTATTAGAGAGAGGAGAAGAGAGGGAAAAAGAAGAGAGAAACATCGGTTGGTTGGTTCTTTTAGGCACCCCAACCGGGGACCAAATCCGCAACCCAGGCTTGTACCCTGACTGGGAATCGAACCAGTGACCTTTCTGCTTTTCAGGACACACCCAACCAACCGAGCCACACCAGTCAGGACAAAACCACACTTATTAGTTTAAAATATTTATAATAATCTTCGTATTAAACAGGTCTCTGTGTATTACCCAAAATTCAGATCAAATTTAACATTTCATGAAATCTTGCAAACTTTAAATTTTTAAAAAGGTGTTCAGCTTGAAGTCAATTTCTAACATCAATGCCAATGTTACAACTAAACGGTTGCATGATGCTGTACTTGAAATTCTAAACTTATTACTTGAGGTGGAGGTCAGTTCAGTTCTCGTACACTAGTAGTAACTTTTGACAACAATTTTACATTTCCTTATATTTTCTCCAATAGTTTAGCTCTGGACTGCCAAATAATCTGGATATACTTAAATAATCACATTACTTATAATATGACAATTACTTAAGTCTTTTTACATTAATTATACATATAATTAATGATATGTATATCATTAATTATAAATCTCAAAAGTAAAGAATAAGTTGATCAACAGATTGTACAGATGAAAATTATGTAAAAATGCTAAGTAATTATAGATCACCCAAATAAAAGCTATAATTAATATGTGTAGAAAATTTTAAAAAATTTAAATTTTTGTAAAGATTTTATTTTTAGAGAGAGGTGAAGGGATAGAGACAGAGAGGGAGAGAAACGTCAGTGTGTGGTTGCCTCTCGCATGCCCCGCACTGGGAACCTGGCCTGTCACCCAGGCATGTGCCCTGACTGGGAATTGAACCAGTGACCCTTTAGTTCGCAGGTCGGCACTCAATCCACTGAACCACACCAACCAGGGCTCAAGAGTAATATTTTTAGAGAGATCACTATACACAAGACACTGAACTAAGAACTTTACAATGATCTCAATGAACTTTCATAATCCTATTAAATAGGAATTATTATTGTCCTCATCTTAAAGATACATAAACTGGTGCTTAAATATTAGTGAGGTTGGTTAAATGTTGGTTAAGTGGTAGAGCTAGTATTTGGAGTCAGGTCATTCAAAGTTCGCACTTTTAAGTACCACACTCTACTATCTAAGAAATAGAATAAAGACTATTCTTCAGTTAAAAATACTCAGGTCACTCTGTCAAAAAGAGGTTTAATTACAAGAAAACATTCATTAGTCTCAAAGTAACTTATGAATATAACACTAAATCTGTGATCTATTTCATAACCATTCAGAGGTTTTAGCAAGAAATTCAAATAAGTGAAGAACCCCAAAAACAAGAAAAAGAGACCAATTAAAAATGGAAAACATGTTAATAACCAATGTTACCCCAATAAATTTAATGAAATTTTAAAAAATGAAATGAAAAACAGGGTACTTAAGCACATGCATTCTCTGGTGTGTAACAATTGACAGCCAGAAGGTGAAACTAAGAACTGAGTTCATTACTCGCGTAAGAGTTAAGTATTCCATGTCTCTAAATTTAGAATAATTAATCTTAAGGGCAGCGTCTGTTGTGTGAAGTTAGACATATACAAAGTGGGGTAAACGTAGGTTACAGTTGTTCATTTGGAAAATAATACAATAATTAGTAAATAATAACACAAGCTTAAACTCTGTGTAAACCTAATTTTGCCCTATCCTATAACATCCTGAAGCTCTGTATCTTAGTTAAGTATCTCTGTATCTCTAAATACCTAATCTAGGTGTCTCTGACTGGCTCCCAGAGATTTAATTGCAGAATTTACTTTCCCATAGAAATAATGTAATAAATAGCAATAAGGCGTAGTTGACAATCACATTAGGACTGTACCTGGGCATATTTTATTTTATTATTATTGTTAATTACAGTTTTCCCCTTTCTTCCCCCCATCACTCTCCCCCTGCCCTACCCACCCCCCACCTCCCACATTCAATCCTTCCCTCCCCTCCATCTGTTGTCTTTGTCCCTGGGTCCTTTATATGTGTTCCTTGACGAACCTTCCCTTCTTTCCCACCTTATCTCCCTCCCTATTATGTACCTGAGCATATTTTAAATTTAACGCACCTTTTTAAGCATTTAATTTAAATATTTTCAATTAAAATATCTGAATTTAATTTAAATTAAAAATCTGAATTAAATATTTTTTCAAATGTAACTCATTGTTGGTTAAAAACTGCCTCAAGCCTAAATTTACTTAGCTACAAGTTACTAAATTCCTGAAGTATTAATCTAAAAATAAAGATGTGTCATAAGCTTGAAGTTAATACAGTTCTACTGCTGACTATTAATTTCTACTTAAAAGTGGACATTTCTTTACTTTATATCTTTTTATATTAGTTTTTCCCACCACTCAACATAAATCTTTATTAAAAATACTTACCCAACTTAGTATTTCCAAGGCAAACTTACTTCAGCATACAGCTTTGGTTAAAAAGTCAATGACAATCTTCAGTCTTCAAAAACAGCCAGTTTCTCACCAGTATTATTCCTATTCTGTATGTGGGGAGCAAAGTCTTCTGGTTTGGAGCAAAGGAACAGAGACTTCTTAACTCCTAAAATGAATAAAAGTTTATTTAAGATATTTTTAAATTTATGTTTTATAATGATGCTATTTTTTTCTTACATGAGAAAAGTACCTATTGGCAACTGGAAAAACTAAATTTTGGTGAAACAAAAAACCTTAAATACAAAACAGGGAGTGATGTAAACATAAGTTTATATCAAGTGGATAAAATCACAAGGGTTAGACTGATTATGTTGAGAATTACAGATTCTACTTTTTCTTCTTGTTGAGTAATAGACAAATATCACAGTCTGTCATCAATAAACATTAAAAGATTTAGCATGCTTGAAATAAAAGTCTCAAACAATAAGGATGTGCACAAAGATTCAATTTTAAAAATGTGAATCTATTCTGAAACCAAGTTGTTAAGATCCCCGAAGTAGTTATACTATCACCTCCAAAAGCAGGAGCATTCTATTTTGGTATATCTGCAATGATTCCATTGTCTAACAATAACCTATATGCTTTTAACAATCATTGAAATGAGAAACTACACAGACATCCAAGAATCAGGGACTGGTTAAATATTTACTGAAGTACTTATTTGTTATAATAAAGATTTGGGTTCCTTAGCTTAACTCTATGTGGGGACTGGGGTAAAATTGTTGATATTTTGACTACTGCTACTGCAGTAATTCATCTTTGACCTAGGGGTCTGCATCTTCTACAAAACTGTTTCAGGCAAAGTTGTTAGCCTGCAAGTAGGGTAAAATCTCTTTCCCAGTTATAGACATTTTAAAAACATATACTTTGTAAAGTGTATGATTGTCTAATCACTATGTTGTACACCTGAAACTAATATAAAACATTAAACTGTAATTAAAAATTAACTGTAATTAAAAAGTAAAATTCGAGTTAAAAAATTAAAACTGTGCTTCCTCCTTTCCCCCAAAGCCCCTCACCAATATCGTATGTGAAAAAACCAATTTTTGTTCAAAAATTTTTATTAATCCTTTCATACTTACCAGCATTATTATGGTGGAACATCTGATGGAAAACCTGAAGAAAAACAGCAGAACTATGTGTTAGAACTTTAGTGAGCGAAAATCTTACCTCCTCTCATTTCAAGTGATTCCAATTTAGCGCCTACTAAGTAGTGTTGTAGCCAACTAACTTGTGTAATAAAGTCATTTGTACCTCTGTTAGAAAACAGATCTTTGGCAAACCAAGCCCGCATCTACTCTTAACAGATTTTTGGTGTTCTTAGAGGTCTAATTGGTCCTCCAAATACATTTACTTTACTGTATTTACCAAGCAATTTAAAATACCTAAAAGGTCCTAATACTAAGGTTGGGAGATAACATCCAAGTTTTAACATTACTATGTTTTAAAAATTAAGCCCCATCTAGCCCGGATCATGCCTGAGAAACTGAAGTATTTAAAAATCGATTTGCTGTGAACTAATCCCTGGGTTTCTATAATTAAGGGAGAGCTTTGCCCTTCACCTTCCACCCGCGAGAAAGTCTGTGGGCCGCACACCCCAAGCCTAGGCCCCGCTCTTGCACACACCTGCCTAGTCCTCCCGGAAGGTAGGCGCAGGAACCTAGTTAGGGTCATCTGGGGCAGGGCATGCGAGGAATGAGCATGGAAGCACCAGGCTAGGCCGGGTCCCCAGACCTCCCCACCGGTCCAGGGCAGGAGTCAGCAGCGGTCCCAGGATCGGCCTGCACCCCACGACTGACCCCTCGAAGTGCTCGGGTACTTCCCATTTGCACTCCGACCCTGGCCTCCTGCGCAGGCGCAGACTACGAGCCGCAGCCACGCCGCCAACTGCTGCGAGATCTCCGCAAGTTGTTGACAGCAGCCGTCACTTCCGGTGGCGTTGCCAAGCAACTGCGCGCTGTGCCAAACACTCCGCATCCGAGTAGCCTATCCAAATCTTAGAGCTCCGAGAGCACCTTGTCAGAGATGCTGGTGCGCTTCGGAAGGCGTAGTGGACAGAGGAAGGAAAGCACGGGTGAGCTAACCTGGCCCATAACCGCATGAAGATTGTTTCAGACCCCCGGGCATGGGGTGAGTGGCAAGGGTACCACGTGAGGGATCCTAGTTCAAGTGAAGTGGAGTCCACCAAGTCGAAAGCAGCTTGGAGTCTGTGTATATTAGACGGTTTTTCCCTCCGGTGAATTGGTAGGTGAAAATGTTTACATAAATAGAGATGGAGAAAAAATGTGTAAGAAGTAGGCTGACCCAATTGACCTGTGCAGTCTGGTGTTTGCTGAATTTTCTTGTAAAAAACTTTGTTATTCACTGAGTGAATTGGATTATCTTTGGGAAATACCGATATGCTGCTTAGAGTCTTGACTGAACCTAGTGAGAGCTTTTTATGAAAGTCTCTGAAGGAAGTGTTTCAATTTTCTCATCTTTGAGGTGAAGGTAAGGTCTCGCCGTAAGACAAATGCTTTGATAAAATGTAAAAAAAAAATGCTACTTAAGGTACTGTAATTCACGTGACCTATTATAAAATTTAGATTTTGGAACAGAGGTAGCATCTAAAGAGCTCTTTATCGTGCTCGCTTCGGCAGCACATATACTAAAATTGGAACGATACAGAGAAGATTAGCATGGCCCCTGCGCAAGGATGACACGCAAATTCGTGAAGCGTTCCATATTTTTAAGACACTGAAATAGAGAACAAGGGGATAGTGACCAGAGGGGAGAAGGAAGGGAAGTTAAGGGGAAAAAGGGGGAGGGATTTGGAGGAACAAATAGGAAGGACACAGGGACGAGAACTAAGGGGGGGGGGGAGGAAATGGGAGGGAGGTGGGGAGCAAGGGGCAGGGGAGGCTGGGATGGGAAAAATAGACAAAAAACTGTACTTGAAAAATAACTAAATAAAATTAAAAAATTAAAAAAAAAAGAATACATAGAAGGGCAAGAACAAAAAAAAAAAAAAACTCTTTATCAACTCCAAGTATTTTAGTTTCCTGGTCTGTAAATTCCCAATTAGTGTAGTCATGGTGATAACCAGAGCCTTGGGAATTCAGAATATCTTCATGTCAGTGCCTGAGCTTCTGTCACAGAGGAGAGCCCCTTGTGATAGGTGCAGAGAGCCACCCATTCTCCACTAGTGGATTCCTATGCAGTGGAGGACTTATGAAGTAGCAACAGAGGGCCATGATATGTAGGAGAGTGACAGTACCCATGTGGCATGTACTGGAGAAACACAATTACTCCAGCATATTGACTTCCCCATATGAGGTCTGTCGAGAAAAAAGTGCGGCCATTGATATAACGAGAACAGTTTGTGCAACATCGATGTAACCTGGCAGCCAAGAAGAGTAGATTGGAATGCACATGTGTGAAATATGATGCCTTCACTGTACTACTTACTGTACTACCACAGTGAGGGTGGTAGACACCATTGAGTGAGCATGTGTACTGTATGGTCATCACATTTAAAATGACTGAATCTGCATCAAATTTTGCATTAAGCTTGAACATTCCTCTGAGGAAACTACTTGGATGATTCAGAAGACTGCAGCTATGGACAACTGGTGATTGGCAGCTTCACTGCAACAATATACCTGCTCATGCATCACATGTCATGCACTGTTTTTTGGTGAAACATCAAATTACCCAGGTGACTCAGCCCCCTTACAGCCCAGATTTGGCATCCTGTGACTTCTGGCTTTTCCCAGAACTAAACTAAGTTATTTTGAAAGGAGAGAGATTTCAGACCATCAGTGAGATTCAGAAAAATACAACAGGGAAGCTGATGGCAATTGCGACTACTGTGTGAGGTCCCAAAGTGCGTGCTTTGAAGGGGACTGAGATGTCATTGTCTTGTGTACAATGTTTTTTGTATCTTGTATCTTCTTCAATAAATGTCTCTATTTTTCATAGTACATGGATGGGCACTTTCTGGACAGACCTCGTATATGCAGCACTAAACTAAAAGACTTAGATTTACCTGGTAGGTGTTTTGTAGCATTGGTCTACAAGTTCCCATCTGCACCTCACTGCTCAACGTAATCTCCATTTGGAAGAGAGTGAAGCAGGAGAGGAGTTCAGATTTGTAAACAGCTATTTCTGTAAAACAAATAATTATATAAAGATTTAGTGGGGTGATGTCAGCCAGAGTGGTGGAATAAGGATCTCTAAAAATCCTGTCCTCTATTAAATTTTTAAAAATCAACTTTTTGAAAAAGATTTATTGATTTTAGGGAGAGAGGGGAAGGGGGCCAGAGAAAGAGAGAAGCATTGATTTGTTGTTCCACTTATTTATACATTCATTGGTTGATTCTTGTTATGTGCCCTGACTGGAAATCAAATACCCAACATTGGCATATCAGGCCGATGCTCTAATAACTGGACAGAATCAACTTTTTGAGAACTCAGGAAATTAACCAAAGGCTTGCAACAGTTGGGGTGTTTGTCAAGAAAAATAGCTGAATCTTGATAACAACAGTGAGGATTTTTGCATTTTAATTTGTTCCAGTACCATACTTTTCTCCCAGTTTTATGATAATCTGGGTCCACTGCGATCACAGTGAAATCCAGTGGCTTACCAACATGTGGTGAAGGAAGAACAGGGTTGGATCCCCTTCAAAGCTCATTTCCCAGGCAACTTATTACTTGACCTGTTGGGCCCTAGAAAAGCCTGCTTACAAGGTTTATCTTTATTTGACCTGACTCAGAGCTTACCAGGTATATTTGTTAAAACAGTCTGTCCTTTTTGCTCTGACTAGTGTGGCTTGGTTGGGCATCATCCTACAAACTGAAAGGTCACCAGTTCAATTCCTGGTCAGGGCACATGCCTGAGTTGCAGGTTCAGTCCCCAGTCAGGACATGTATAAAACAACCCACTGATGTTTCTCTTTCACATCAATGTTTTTCTCCCTCTCTCTCTCCCTTCCTTCCCCTCTTTTTAAAAGTAAATAAATAAAATCCCTTAAGAAACAATCAGTGCCAGTTTTTAAACATCACAGCTGGCTGCCTGAGGCAGTTAGAATAGTTGGGTACAAGCAATAAGATGACCAAGAAACTTATAAAGGAATACCTGGGATATGAGATGCCCACAGAGGGATTTGAAGAGATCCTTATATATTCTTGAGAATCCAGAAGGTTGAATGCATGCATAGAGGTATGCACATGCCCAGAAAAATACCTAAGAATGCCTGAAGCTTTCACCTCTGGCTGACTTTAAGTCTCTATTCAGTAAAGAAGTAGGAGCTAACAGAGTTGTCCACTGCATGCCTGAACACTGAAGTCATGCTCTCCCACTCACGGAGAGTTCCTTGGCAATGGCTAAGAGACTTACATAAGAAATTTAAGGAGACCTGGCTAGTGTGGCTGAGTTGGTTAGAGTGTCGTCCTATAACTGAAGGTTTACAGGTTTGATTCCAGGTCAGGGCATGTACCTGGGTTACAGGTTTGATCCCTGGTGTGGCTGCAAACAGTCATAGGTCTGGGTGTGTACAGGAGGCTACCAATCAGAGTTTTTCTCTTATATCCATATTTCTTTCTTTCCCTTCTCTCTAAAAGCAATTTTTTTTTTTAAAAATGGTCTTGGATGGGGATTAAAAAGAAAAATAAATTTAAGGAAACTCTGTCCGGTCATTAGCTGACAACTACGCTAACCAAACTGAGATTCCAAAAGCCACATACAACAAAGAATGTAGACTTTACAGATTTAGTTCAAGAAATCTAAATGAAAAGTTACAGCAACAGCAAACTTTGGGTGTGGGAAGAATCTGACTTCTAGAGTTGCCACATATTATTTTAAATGTATAGTTTTCAATAAAAGTGACAAGGCGTGCGAGAAATAAGTATGGCCCAAACACAGGGAAAAAAATTTAATAGAAAGTATCCCTGGGGAAGCCCAGATGTTAAATTTAAATTTAAACAGTTAAATTTTTATAAATTTACAGCTATTGTAAATATGTTCAACAGACTTAAAAAAAAAAAGTCAAAGGAACTATAGAAAAGTATTGAGTGCTGTGACACTTCTGGCCAAGGTGGAGGTGGCGGTGTTGTATTCAAGTTGCGAGCGAAAGGAATCCCCGAACACTGAGAGCGGTTTGATGGTAAATTTATTGGCCAAGTTTTACCTGCGCAGGGGCGAACTTCCCAAACGAGACCGTAGTCTCGCGGCTACGCAGAGCCGCCAAAGTGGAAGTCGCGCCTGGCTTACAGACTACTGGGTTTTTTATAGGGGCAGGCAAGCAAGCAAGCAAGGGATACAGAAGCAGATGTAGCGGTTAGCTATTGGCTCAATCAAACTAAGGCAAAAGTTCCTGATTGGGCTGCTGTTGGCGGGCAGCTGGTGTTGGCGCCTAAAAATTTCCTAGCCTTATTTGGGCAGGCCTCTACATTCCCTCCTTCTCTTTCTTATTAGTCAAACCCTTGACTCATGCTCCTCTTGAGGGAGGATTGTATAGGGCTGAGACAACACCATAAGTTTTACTGTTTCTATTCTATCTTTAATAAAGGCTATGAGCTTGTTTAGAATTATTGGGCCTATGGTCAGGGCTAATAGGAGGAGGATCAAGGGTCCGGCTAGAGCCGATATCAACGTAGTTAGCCAAGGGGAAGTCTTAGATAGGGAAGAATACCAGGAGGACGACTCATCCTCTTGTTCTCTACTTTTAAGTCGTCTAGTGAGTACTTTTACACTTTCTCTAATTATTCCTGAGTGGTTGGCATAGAAACAACAATCTTCTCCAAGAGCTGCACATATTCCTCCTTGTTGCAGGAATACTAGATCTAACCCTCTTCGATTTTGGAGTACTACTTCTGCTAGGGAGTCTACTTGGCGCTCTAAATATTCTACTTGCTCTTGGAGTAAGGAGACGTCTTTGGAGAAAGTCTGTGACAAGGCCCTGAGACTGTTTTCCCCATGGATCAATGCCCCTGCTCCTACAGCAGCCGACCCTACGACACCGATAGTGGCGACGATGGGAATTAGCAATGGGACTCGCTTGGCTCGAATGGGGGCATGTATCAGAAAATCAGGGTTTCCCCCATATAAGTACACTTGGGGAATGATGTAAGCACTAACACATAGCTCAGGGTTAGTTGGTACTAGACACTTGAAGATACCTTGAGTGCAGACAAACCATAGTCCTTCTGGAGCTAATGTAATAGTCAAATTCCTAGGGTCTCTCGACAAATGCTCTTGGTTAAGGCAATAGTCACTATAGTTTGAGGCTGCAAGGGTATAGTTCGCTAGCAGATAACAGGTGCCTCGTCCATGGAATTCTGCTAATGTAAGGGTACTTTCAAATGTACACTGTTTGAAGTCTTTCATCTGGTCCTGGTCCGGGTTCTCGGGAAGGGGTTTTGTCTCAGGCACCCCCCACCTACTTTATAATTATATAAAGGAAAAGGGACGCAGATCTCATCTTCTTGTAACTGCTTCGAGCTGAAAATGGACGCTGTCCTACGTACTCCGGGGTCAGGGGTGCCCTGAAAGGGGAGGGGAGTGCAGCACAGAGGGAGTCCTTCCTGCAAGGGGAAAGACCTTACAGGGTCCTGGTCAGTTGGCTGTCACCTGGACGTCGCAGGCTTGGTGTCCAAAGGCTGGCATTACTGAACTGTTGGCATTCCGGTCAGGTCATATTCTGGAGGTGACAGATTAGGCAAGAAATTGGAAGCACAATTAAATCATAACCATTAATTGACAAAGGCAGACACTCCAGTAAAGAATGGCTTATTCAGTGGAAGGTGTACGAGGCATGCTACACCTATCTAAAAACTCTTGTGCTCCACTATACTTCACTCAGGCTGAGGGGAATACATTAAGATTTCCCTCCTTTCAGATTTCTGAGCCCTTTCTGTCCAAGCCATCAAGACAGAAAAGGGAAAATCAGTTTCAAGTGAATCCCACAGACCGCCCCAGCCCTTCACCAACCCAACTACATAGTTCAGCCAAACCGTTGAGTCTTAGGGGGGTGATGATGAAGATGGGCTCCTTAAGTGAGGCCTATATTGCAACCAATCACTCACAGGCATAGGCAGGTCATAGGCATACACTCTATGAAAACAGAGAACACACAGGTTAATTCACACAACAATTCCCAAACCAGTCTCTGCGCTGTGAGACTGTCTTTTGGGGAAAACATTCCATTGCAAGATCCTTTGCACCTGTAAATTGTGCATCTAATATCACAAACCTGGTTTCAACTTTCAAATGAAAACAAACTTTCAAGACAATTAGCTGCGCCATTCTGATGTCCAATACTGAGCATTGTGATTTTCCTTGAATTATAATTTTTCTCCCTAAGATCACCCTCACTGTTATTTACAGGGACTACTTTGGGTCCCGCTTTTGATTTTGACTGTTCGTTTGCATAAACACACCAAGAGCAGCCTGGATCATTGATGATCCCTAAGTCTACTTTGCTGGAACTGACACAGGGAACCTTCAGATTGACTTCTCACTCCGCCCCTCAGGGCACAAACGCAGAGCCACACACCTGCCATCTGGCTTTGCCTGTACCAGTTGTTTCGCTCAAGTCCTTGAGCCTCCATTGTGCCTACAGGTTCCTTTTTAGCCATCTTTCAGGAAAGCAACCTTCGTTCCTTCCCTAGAAATACTGGCACGAACCGCACAACCAACTAAAGTACCAGGCTTTTCTTGTGGGCTTTCACTAGCTTCACAGGTCAATCCCAGTTCCTCTGAGCTTTCTGGTAACGACCAGAACACATACATGCCTCCTTCAGGCGTGATGTTCCAGTCAAAGTCCTGGTTAACAAAACCACTATTAAAGACTGGTCTTATTGGTTTTATGCAAAGAAACCTTGTCATCACTTACTCCTTTAGAATGCCAATTCTGGAGAGATCAGGTAGGGAGAAAAATATAAAGCATAATGGAAAATCTTTTTTCCCTTCTGATATCCACTAAGATTGCATCTCCATGCTTTATACCTTCCATTACTAACTTTACATAATTCCTTTCCAAAACTTTTGCAAACTTCTACAACCTTTTACACACTCTCTTCTATCTTCACAGCTTCTCACAGCCCTTCAGCAACATTCAAAAAACTTCTTCATTTCCATATCTTATACCTTCTTTTGTTCACTTTTTTTACAAAGTATGAAGTTTCAACCTTTCCTGGAATCTTCAATTTCCTTTTCAGAGTAGATACAGAGCAAAATCTGAAACACAGTGTTCTGAAACAATACAGGTAGAGATATTCTCTCGCACCAATGCTTCCACTGGTGCCTCACAGAGACATGCTCCTTCAGGCCCGGTCTCTTGGCAGAGACATGCTGCTTTGCCTCAGGCTGAAGCACTCATCAGCCACAATTGACCCTTCCTGGGTCCCGGGTGGCAAAGGCATTCTCCCCAACCGGCTACAGGTGACCTTCCCTAGGTCTTCAGGTACACAGGGTTTCTGATCAGAAGCAAAACCAATGGCAGAGACTTGCTCTCTTCCAATCCGGTCTCATGGCAGAGACATGCCCTTTGCCTCAGGCTGAAGCACTCGTCAGCCCCAAATGACCCTTCCTGGGTCCCAGGTGGCAAAAGCATTCTCCCCAACCGGTTACAGTGACCTTCCTTAGGTCTTCAATACAGGTTTCTAATCAGAAACAGAACCGCACATGGGAAATTTGCTTTTTCCCATGAAACCAGAAAACAAGTAGTTGAAGTTTCCTTTACTCTAGGTTTAAAACTTTTATATCCTCTGTACATATTTCTGCTCATTTAGATTTAACTATCACTTTCTTCTGAAGTGAACAAAGTTTGTAAAATTTGCTGGCAATCATCCCATGTCGGCTGGTGGGTTCTAAATATGGTCTCTAACAGGGAAATTAATCCCTGGGGCTTTTCAGAAAACGGGGGATTTTGCAGTTTCCAATTGTATAGATCACTGGTTGAGAAAGGGACATATATTAGCCGCGGTGGTGCATGTAATGGGGCGTCTGGAGCCGGCGGCACCTCCCTGAGAGGCAAAATGGCGGCGCCACCTGGTTTTGGCGCGACCGTTTCCAGCAAAATGGCGGCGCCATCCTGTCTTGGCGCCAAACTTTCACCCCCATACTGAGTACCGCCGCGGGTATGGGGAGGGCTCTGGACTCTCTCCCTTTCCCCGCTCGCGGAGTCGGGCAGGGGTTGGCGATATGGGGGAGGAGCGGAAGGGGCCAACAGCGGGTCCTCAGGTACTTCAGGCAAGACAGGGTATAGCTTCTTCCCTTCCCCGTCTGCCTGGTCCCGTTGAGGCCGGCACCCTTTGTCTGCCTGCAGACGGGGAGCCTGCCTCGGCGCCGTTGCCACGCAGATGGCCCTTCTCCTCCTCTGCCCATTGGACTGACACCGGCGTATGTAACCGGGGCGGTCAGTAGCTATGTCTACCCACACATCTATATATACCATCTGATCTGGATGGGGGGTCCCATATACTATCCGCCTGACCGCGAAAAGGAGGGGCAGATCAAAAGTCCCCTCCGTCGGCCATCCTACGTCAAAAGACGGCCATTCAATCTCACTGAAAGTTCGCAGGACTTCTGGGTCTGGCGGTGGACCCCCATAGCCCCGAGCGCGATTCTGAAAGTCAGAGAAATTGTTTAGTAAGCAGTCAAGGGCAGTGTTTGAAGTGGAGCTTCCTTGTCCCATCGCGGACGCCTTCTTCTCGCTTCTCACAGCGCCTGCGATTAGAAGGATGAGGGCTACCAATATCCCACACAGAAACACACACCTCGCTCCTCTCCACTCAGTCCACTCACGCACAAACAGGCCGTGGCGCACTACAGTCTCTTCACTCATTCACACTTCGCTAGCGCGTTCAGTCGCGGCGCGGAACGAATACCAAAAACCAAATGCGACCTAGTCGCGGGAGCAAGAGCTCCGGTTCTCGAGAGCGTCCTCTCCTTGAGAACCCCGCGGGTGGACTACCGGCGACGTCTCGCCTACCACCTCGCGGCTCAAATGAGTCTAGACTCCCAAACCAAATTCCGCGGCAAACTTACCCGGGCTTCGTAGTCTCAGTCTCCGGAGACACTCCTTAGATCTCGCTGGGGCCTCCAAATGTTGTATTCAAGTTGCGAGCGAAAGGAATCCCCGAACACTGAGAGCGGTTTGATGGTAAATTTATTGGCCAAGTTTTACCTGCGCAGGGGCGAACTTCCCAAACGAGACCGTAGTCTCGCGGCTACGCAGAGCCGCCAAAGTGGAAGTCGCGCCTGGCTTACAGACTACTGGGTTTTTATAGGGGCAGGCAAGCAAGCAAGCAAGGGATACAGAAGCAGATGTAGCGGTTAGCTATTGGCTCAATCAAACTAGGGCAAAAGTTCCTGATTGGGCTGCTGTTGGCGGGCAGCTGGTGTTGGCGCCTAAAAATTTCCTAGCCTTATTTGGGCAGGCCTCTACAGCGGTAGATACACTGTGCCTCCTTGTGCAACCAACAGGAGGACAACAACAAATTTAAAAACAAAAAACAACCAGAACTGCAAGAAAATCAAACTGTATGGAAATCTGACAACCAAGGAGTTAAAGAAGAAACATTCATACAGACCTGTACCAGGGATGGAGATGCCAGGCAGATAGGACTCAAGGCAAGGTGGTGGTTGGCAGACTGGGTGGTCCCACATTCATATGCAGATAAACTGGGAGGGACAACTGGGGAGCAAGACACCATGTAACCCAGGGTTCCAGTGCAGGGAACTAAAGCCTTAAATCTTCTGACTCAAAAAGCCTGTGGGAGTTGAGGTGACAATGGGAGAGACTCCCAGCCTCACAGGAGAGCTGGCTGGAGAGACCCACGGGGTCCTAGAACGTACACAAACCCACCAACCCAAGAAGCAGCACCAGAAAGGCCCAATTTTCTTGCGGGTAGAGGGGGAAGTGACTGAAAGCCCGCCCAGAGCCTAATAAGCAGCACTGTTCCCTCTTGGACCCCTCCCCCTTATACAGCATCACAAGTAAGCAACGTGGTTGCCACGGTCTGGTCTATACCTAAGGCTCTGCCTCTTAGAACATAACAGGTATGCTGAGACAAAGAAATATGGCCCAAATGAAAGAACAGATCAAAGCTCCAGAAAAAATACAACTAAGTGATGAAGAGATAGCCAACCTATCAGATGCACAGTTCGAAACACTGGTTATCAGGATTGGTTGAGTTTGGTTGCAAAATAGAAGAAAAAATAAAAGCTATGAAAAGTGAAATAAAGGAAAATGTACAGGGAACCAACAGTGATGGGAAAGAAACCAGGACCCAAATCAACGATTTGGACCAGAAAGAAGAAAGAAACATTCAACCAGAACAAAATGAAGAAATAAGAATTCAAAACAATGGGGAGAGGCTTAGGAAATTTCAGGACAACTTTAAACATCTGAACCTAGGGGTGCCAGAAGGAGAAGAGAAAGAGCAAGAAATGGAAAAATTATTTGAAAAAATAATGAAGGAGAACTTCCCCAATCTAGCAAAGGAAATAGACTTCCAGGAAGTCCAGGAAGCTCAGAGTCCCAAACAAGTTGGACCTAAGGAAGCACACACCAAGGCGCATCATAATTACATTAGCCAAGATTAAAGCTAAGGAGAGAATCTTAAAAGCAGCAAGAGAAAAGGAGAGAATTACCTTCAAAGGAGTTCCCATAAGACTGAGACTGAGCTGATTTCTCAGAAGAAACCTTTCAGGCAAGAAGGGGCTGGAAAGAAGTATTCCAAGTCACAAAAGTCAAGGACCTACATACAAGATTACTCTATCTAGCAAAGCTATCATTTAGAATGGAAGGGCAGATAAAGTGCTTCCCAGATAAGGTCAAATTAAAGGAGTTCATCATCACCAAGCCCTTATTAAGGGACTTATCTAATAAAAAGATCAAAATAGGACAGTAAAATGACAAGAAACTCACAGCTATTAACAAAAAAGCCTGAAAAAACAAAAACAAAAACAAACTAAGCAAACAACAAGAACAGGAATAGAATCACAGAAATGGAGATTACTTGGAGGGTTATCAGTGAAGAATTGGGTGGAAGAGAGGAGGAAAAGGTACAGAGAATAAGTAGCATAAATGGTAGGTAGAAAATATATGGGGGAATAGTTAAGAATAGTATAGGAAATATAAAAGCCAAAGAACTTCTATGTATGGCCCAGGGACCTGAACTAAAGGGGGGGAAATGTGAGTGGGAGGGTGTGTGCAGGGTGGAGGGGAATAAAGGGGGGGGGGGGAATGGGACAACTGTAATAGTATAATCAATAAAATATATTTTAAAAAACATTTGTGAGTGAATATTCATTTTAAGTTCCCTGTTAAAATAAAATGTTTGATGTAAAAAAGAAAGTATTAAGAATGGAGAGTCACCAAATAGATTATATCAATAAAGAGGCAGAAATAATAGAAAAGGAATAAAATAAATATTTTGGAGTTGAAAAGCCCAATAATTGAAATGAAAAAAAAATGCACTAGAGGGGTACAATATCAAATTTGAGCTTGCAGAAGAGTCATTGAACTTTAAGGTGTCAGTTGAGATTAATCACTTGAGGAAGAGAAAAATAAAAGAATAAATATAAATGAGCAGATCTTCAGAGTAACGTAAGACACCAGCAAGTGTACCAACATAAGTATAATCTGAGACCTAGGAGAGGAGGAGATTTGATTAATATCCAAAAACATCTGAAATTTGATGAAAAACACTAATCTACACCAGTAATTTTTTCAACTGGTGTGCTGCAAGGACCATATATCTGAACTGATCACTGTGGCTGGGGACAAGGTGCTGCACTAGCCCAAGTGTAAGTGTTCCCAGGAAGAGAGTTAGGGCATCAGTACAGACATGGACTTTGGGAGAACGAGGCAGATAGAAAAACCCTAGCTCAGCGATTTTCACCTGGTGTGCTGCAGGAATTGTTAAAGCATGCAATATGTGTCTCTTTATTCAGGGGCACTGACCTCTTTTCCATTAGGTTTTTTCCCTTAGGTTGTAAAATTGAATGGCAACAGCCAACACAACAGTAGCTATCTGGTGTGAATGAATGAAAACTGTACATTTTTTGTCAGATTGGCAAACAGTATTTTTTTTGGCATGCTACAGAATTTTAGTAATTCGTTTATATGTGCCACAAGGTGAAAGGTTGAAAATCACAGATCAACATATTCAGGAAGCTCAGTGATCAAAGAAATTAAAATCAATACATCATGATTAATCATCAAAATCTAAAGACAGAGAAAAATCTTGAAAGCAGCACAAGATAAACAATTCATCACATACAAATGAGCCTCACTGACATTAACAGTTGATTTCTCAAAAGAAAGTACAGAGGCTGGAAGGCAGCATGTTGACCTACTCATCTTTCAGAATTGGGGGAATTGATATTTCCAGGAAGATGAAAACAGCAGATTCATTGCTAGCAGACCTACTGTACAAGAAATAGTAAAACAAGTCCTTCAGATTAAAATTATAGGACACTAGGCAGTAACTCATATACACGTAAAAAAATAAAGAGCACCAATAAATTATGAAATTAGATAAATAGAAAAGACAGTATACAGGGTAGGGCAAAAGTAGGTTTTCAGGAGAGAGACTCATCGAAGACCCACAGAGCTCCAGACCTAACGGATAAGAAATCAGGCCTCACTGGAGTCATTCAAGCAAAAGTTGGACAACTACTTTTCCAGAACAGAAAGAAAACTCATGCGTCAGAAAAGGTGACTAATAAACGTACCAACAGAATATGGCTACACAAATGCCAGAAACTGATCAGATAAAACAGTTTAAAGAATTTCTTGGAACCTACAATAAACTTACAGAAACCTGCTTTTTGGACTGTGTTAAAGACTTCACAACAAGAGAAGTAAAACCTGAAGAGACCACCTGTTCAGAACATTGCTTACAGAAATATTTAAAAATGACTCAAAGAATATCCATGAGATTTCAGGAATATCATATTCAGCAGAACGAAGCCCTGGCAGCCAAAGCAGGACTCCTTAGTCAGCCACGGTAGAGTCCTGCTGGATAGACTCTCCATCGAAGCCTGCCAACAGCTGCTGCTCTGGAAACGAGGATTCATCTGATAGAATCCCCTGAAAGCAGCAGCCACCATGTTAACCATCTGTCATGACTGTTTGGCAAATGGAAACCACTGGAGAAAATAAAATTGCTATTTGCCAGGGATAATCAAATTAGAAGGTTCAAAGAAAATAGAAAGATGCAACCTTTGTTGAGGCCTTATTTTTTGGGAGCTTAGTCACTTGATTAGAAAAATAAACCAATGTTTCTTAAAAAAAAAAAAAAAAGTAGGTTTTCAGTTGTTCATGTGGAAAATAATACAATAATTAAGAACATAAGAATAAACTCTGTGTTTTGTGTGCTCACAACTCTAAACCTACTTTTGCCCCATCCTGTATTTTCAAGTATTTACATCTATTACGTCGTTTAATTCTAATACCAACCATATAAAGTAAGTACTTCTAATATCTCCATTTTGCAGTTAAGGAGTTAGACTCAGGGGGTTAAATAATGTTGTCTAGATTTACATAGTTCATATGTACAGTACTCAGAAAAAGTCCAGGTTGTCTGTCTCCATAGTACACAATCTTTGTTGTGTCTGTGGCCACTCGTCATTATTCAAATGAATATCCTGTTTGGGTGAATTTCCCCCTTACAAGTACCTACCTGCTTTAGTCGAAGGCAAAATTTATTTGTTTTGCCTCCCTGTGGCTAGGAAACAGATATGCAACAAGTCAATTGTACATGTACTAAATTTACATTATAAAGAGGCAATATGAGGAAGCAAATAATATGTCGAATCCATTTTATGGAGACAGTGGCAGCAAAAGTGTACCAATTTTGGCCCTGGCTGGTGTGGCTCAGTGGATTGAGTGCCAGCCTGTGAACCAAAGTGTCACAGGTTTGATTCTCAGTCTAGGTCACATGCCTGGTTTGTGGGCCAGGTTCCCAGTAGGGGGTGTGCCAGGGGCAACCACACATTGATGTTTCTTTCCCTCTCAAAAATAAATAAATAAAATATTTAAAAAGAAAACTAGCTAAAGTGACTTTGTTTACAATTAGGATCCTCAGTTGATGAAAAGGGTATTTCTCAGAGAGGAGCTATTATCAGCTTCACAGTGTTATTTCAGATGCATTTGAATTCATGTAACAGGATGCCTAACTCAATCACACTTAAAAATAAGGATAATTATTTGCTCATACAGGGTGAGGCAAAAGTAGGTTTACAGTCCTTTGAATGGAAAATAATACAATAATTAATAAATAATAGTACAAGAAGGGACTCCAGGCTTCAGGTCTGCTTGATCTGATTGATCTCAGCATAATGCGATCTTCATTGCCCGGGTGCTTTCTTTGTTTACTCTTCATGGTCCACAGTCACAACTTCCTATAAGGCTGCTTCCTCCTATGGTCAGAGGATGGCTGCCCGTCTGGCCTTCCTGCTTCCTTGTTCATTTCTAGCTTGAGAGTCACTCTCTGATGCCTTTACCAGAAGAACAAGGAAGAGCTTTTTTTTTTTTTTTTAACTTGAGGGGAAGGGAAGGAGAGAGAGGGCAAGGAAGAGCTTTTTAAAAAGTCTCAAATAAACCTATTTTTTTGCCTAGTACAGAAATAATTGTTGGCAAGGGAGATGTTAAGTATTGAACTAATGAGGCCCACCCTCAGAGCTGCAGTCAGTTCTCCAAATCACATTGCTGGCTCTCGGTTAGGAAGGGGTTGAATAGAATCAATGACAATGTCTACAACCCCCAAAGATGAATATCCCCCAAGTTCTCCATCTATAAACTTCTACTTGGTTACATTTGAGAAGTACTTTTATACCAACCTGTTGGGGTAGGTAAAATTGACCTCAGCTTTAAAGATGTTGAATGACTTGCCCAAGTTTACACAGTAAGGAAATGACCAAGCAAGGACTCAAATCTATGTCTTCTGATTTCGAGGTATATGATATTATTGGGAACATATTGTATGCCAGTCACTACAGTAGGTTAGGTTAGGGCAAAAGTAGATTTACAGTTGTTAGTATGGAAAATAATACAATAATTAATAAATAACGTAAGAATAAACTCTGTGTTTCATGGTTTCATGTACTCACAATGGTAAACCTACTTTTGCCCCACCCTGTATTATACACTTTCCATTAATCCTAGCTATTCTTAAGATAACAAGAATAAAATTATTATTTGAAACAATTCCTAGATATCATGACAGTGTAGAAATGTATGAGAAAAATTATCACACACTCATCTTGACAGTCTTTAATATTTATTTTTTAAACTTTATTAGGAATAAAGAACTCTGAAGAAGATCAAGTTCTCTATCCCCCTCTCCTGCCTGGCAATGTAGATCTCCGGCAGGTCACCATAATTCCACACAATGAGTGGAAAAGGATTCGAGACAGCCTTGACGGTTTGACAAGAAAAGCAGCATGCCTTCGTGCAGAAAGAAAGGCAAAGAAAGAAATGCACCTCCAATCCCAAGAAGTGGTAAAACACTGGACTAATACGTATGCGGTAAGTATGAACCACCCAGGAGTACACAGCACTGAAGGCTTACTCTTTTTTCTTAGCACTCATAAATATTTTTTACATGTAAAGTATAAAAATGCATTGAAACACATTTTCAACAGCTTTATTTAGGTATAAGTGATGTATAATAAAATGGACATAGCTAAAGTGTACAATTTGATATGTTTTGACATATATACACCTGAAACCATCATTGTAATTAAGATAATGAACGGACACATCACCCCAGGAAAGTTTACTCACAGCCCATTTTACTCCCTCCCTGCCCCTCCTCTCCTGGCTCTTGGCAGTCACTGATCTGCTTTTTATTAATAGTTACACTCAACATGAGATTGATTCGTTCATTGTTGCAGCTGAGTGGTATTCTATTGGATACCACAATTAGTTTATCTGTTCAGTTGTTGGTAGTTTGACATCAACCAAATGCTAATATTTGAGCTGTTTCCAGGTTTTGGCTACTACAAATAAAGTTGCTTATGAACATTCATGTGTAAGTCTATGCCTGGACATATTCTTTCATTTCTCTTGGGTAAATATATTGGTGTAGAATAGTTGAATCATACGTTAGATGTATGTTTAACTTTTAAGAAACTTCCAGACTGTTTCAGAAAGTAGTTTTTATATTCCCACTGGGAGGGTACGAGCATTCTATTGCCTCCACATTCTCACTAATTTATTATGGTCAGACATCCTAATAGAATTTTTAATTCTAGACATTCCAATAGGTATGAAGTAGTATTTTGTTGTAGATTTAATTTGAATGTTTGTTTCTATGTATTAGATAGAGCTGCTATGACTTCCTGTCTTGGTAGTGTGGCCCAATGTAGTAGGTGTCCTGTAGGGTCTAGTGGCACAGCCTCCTCTGTAACCCAAGCTGGACACTTTCATGTGGGCTGAGTACACCCTTCACTTGTAGTTGAGCCTTGATTACTATTGGCAGGTTAAAGGGAAGGATTTAGCAGGGCAAGTCAGCAGCAAGGACTGGCTGTCACCACTGATACCCCAACCTTCACCCTCTGTGGAGGATCAGCTGTGCAGGGGCAGGGTGGTGGTGCTCTGACCTGGTCTGTAGCTGCCCACTGGGTGCACAGGCTCTGGAGTTTCCCAGGTAGTGCAGGTCAAGGTCAGCCCTACCTGTGTTTTGCCTGGGGCCACCCTGCATGAGCTATAAAGCAATCTGAGATGGCTGCTACTTGTGCTGGGCTTGGTGATTCCCAGGGGAAGCCAAGCTCTGAATGCAGACTCATTACTGCTAGTGCTGGTCCTGGGGCCCCTTAGCAAGAGGTATGGGGCCTGGGGGCTCACTGAGGCTTAGCTCTTGCTTGTTTGTTTGCAAGGATTTAGGAAGTTGTGAAGCATGAGCTAAGACCTTTCATATGGAAAAGTAGCCTAGGTGAATCAGTAAGTTGGGTGGACGGAGTCTCTGGGGATCTCCAGGGTGGGTCAAACAGTGTTAGCCAGGTTGATGGAGTCTCAGATTTCTGCAAAGAGACATAGAATGCTTGTGATACCTTGCTTTAAAAACAATGTTCATAATTTATTTTTTTTATCTAGAAGAGGGAATAATTATATCATGACTGATACCACACATGTAACATATAACATTCTGAAAAAGGCAAAACTGTAGGGAAAGAAAACATCATTGGTGGTAGAGGCTGCAGGTGGGGGAAGTGATTCACCACAAATAGAGGCTGAGGGAATATTTTGGGAGGAGGGAACTGTTTTATAAGTGACTGAATGTATTTTAAAAACTATGTAGCAGAAGGGTGTATGTAAATTATATCCTAAAAAACCCTCTGGTCCGTTAAAGAATAGGGAGTGGAATATACCCTCTACTCTTTTATGCAGAAATAGCACACTATACAGAATATTCTACATTTCCTGGGTATTAAAGAAAAGGAGAAGAAATGTAGTAAATGTAGTAGAAATGTAGTAATAAAAAACTGAAATATAGGCACAGAAATTGACAGAGTACTGGATCAGAAGAGAGAGCCTGGCAAAAATCCCATGTTCTGTATGGGAACTGAACCCAGGACAGTGTCATTGCAATTTAGAAGGGAAAGGATGGGAATTCAGTAACTCATACTGAGATAATTGGCCTATGAAAAAGATAAAATTACAACCCTTAAGGCACAGAATACACAAAAATGAATTTCAGCTGGATTAAAGACCTACATGTGAGAAGCAAACCAGTAAAACTCTTAAAATCAGTTATAGATATTATCAGGATTTCAAGGTAAGGTTTTCTGAAGACATAGCAAGCATGACCTGTAAAGCAGAAGAAAGACTGCCTGACTGAGACGTGGGGTAGACCATGCGGAGGTGCAGAAGAGCCATGTACAATGTAAGACTATTGGTTTTCCTAAAGGAGCAAAAGTAATAATATATATTTGTTAGGTAGATATGTAAAGAAACTTGGGAAGTAAACACAAGAAACTAATAATGTTACCGAACAAGAGGTCCGAGGGAGGGGCAATACAATATTCGGCCCACCTAGGGATGCCCAAAACTGCTATACAACAGGGGCCCCTCCCAAAAACAAAATACTAAAATCTACTGGGCCCTTCTGTCCGCTGCCAATTGGAAAGACATCTCTTAATGCCAGAGATTTGTTAAAAGGAGATAAAATGTTTATTTAATGCTATTCAGGCCTAATGCCACCACTAAAATATCAAAGTCCTTTAGGGTGTACACCTACACCCACACAGCGCTCCCTTCTCCCACTGTCCCAACTCTGGGTACCGTAAATCAGGAAAAGAGCACACGTCTGTGTTGCAGGCTGCTGGCACCGTCAGCTGTGTCACTGTGCAGGATCTCGAGTTAGTACTGTGGTACCCTCTCATGGTCCACTGGCAAGAGTCCTTTGTACCCAGTTCAGTAAAGTTGCTTTTTCAGGCCCTGCGGCCAAAGGGGGCACCCCAAAGCCGCGTGGGCCTCTTCTACCAAAGCTGCAGGAGTCCGCACTCCACCAAAAGCATGTGGCTTTCTTCTTCACCTGGCTGCAGGGATCTCCATTCTGGCAAAGCTGCGTGGTTTTTCCCTTTCACCTGGGAAAGAGGGGGGTCCGCACCCTGCCAAAACCACGTGGCTCCCTCTTTCACCTCACCAAGAGGGAGGTCCTCACTCTGCTGAAACCGCGTGGCTCTCTCCTCACCTGGGCAGTTAACCCCTCATGTCCCAGAGCCAGTCTTTTCCAAGCTCTCACACAGGCCTTTCACTCAGGAGTGCAGCCCCTCGTTACCATCCTGAGTCCAAGCCACTACCTTCTCCCTGGCTCCAAACTTGGCCACAGCTATTTAACATATCTATGAAACCAGTTAAAGGTTATAGATATGTTAAATAATCATTCCAGAGGTTAGCTCCAAAACCGTTGCCATGCAAAACGGCTCTCAATGGCCTGGCTCCATTCGTTTCTTCCCCCTGGGGGGAGGGGGGAGGACATCTTATATGTCTCTCCATTATTCCTATACACTTTGAATTCTGGACACCATTCCAAATCCTCCTTTGGGGGGCCCCCCCTGGCTGCACCCTGTATCAATAATAGTTGTTATCTTAGAGATTGCAGATAGAAATTAGTATTGGAGAGTTTTACTGTATACATTTATAATATTTTAGGGTTTTCCATGTGCTACCTACCTTAAAATTCAACGAAAAAAATTAACTTATGAGTGTAATATCATATTTGATTTATTAATGGTAAATGCAAATACAATAAATGAAAGCTTAAATCGTCATATTATAATGTTCAATTTTGTAAAATTTAATTGAAAAATGAAAACAGGAGACTGCTTTTGTATTTTTTTAAAGGGTATGAGAAAACAGAAACTTGAAGCCAAAAAGAAGCGTGATGAAGAAATAGAGGCAGAGAGACAAATTCTTGATGTGGAAGAAGAAATATACAAACAAGGAGAAAGAAAAAAGGCCATCGAATATGCAAAGCAATATCAATTTTACCAGACTGACAGAGTGAAAAAATTTCATGTACTACTTGGTTTTTCTTGTGTTTATATCTATCTATATATTTGACCTATTTATACATAATTAGACTTCATTTTCTTAAAATGTTGCAATTTCTTTTTGTAGTCAGGGCTGCTGCTTAGCAGAGTTATGAAGGAACGTGATGCACAGATTGAATCCCAAAAGAGTAGAATAAAATCAGATAACAAATGGGACGAACAATCGAAACTCAGCATTGAAAAAGCTTTTAAAGAAGAACAAGAAAAAGCAGAAAAACGATACAGAGATAGATTGGCTCTTGCCAATGATCATTTAAAACAGTATGTATATATAATTTACCTTTTTTGTACCTTCCTTTTTATCTTGTAATGGATATAGCTCTTTTTAAAAAAATTATAAAAGCAATACATGCTAGCCCAGACCACCGTGGCTCAGGTGGTTGGCCACCTTTTTATTTTTACAAAATAAAAAGTAAATTACAAATCACCAGAAACTCTGTGATCCAGAGTGGGTACTGAGTGTACATTTAGGTGTATATTTGTCTACTCTTAAAAATTATTTTTGGAAATAAATGCATATATGCTTATTTAAATTCAAGTAATACAGAAAACGTGGAGTAAAATTTAATTTAAAAATTTTTTAAAGATTTTACTTATTTTTGGAGAATGGGGAAGGGAGGGAGAGAGGGAAAGAAACATCAATGTGTGGTTGCCCCTCACAGGCTCCCTACTGGGGTCCTGGCCCACAACCCAGGCATATGCTCTGACTGGGAATTGAACCGTCAACCTGTTGGTTCACAGGCCACGACAGCGCAATCCACTGAGCCACATCAGCCCTGGCTGGAGTACAGTTTGAAAGCTCTTCTTCATTTCCTCCCTATTCAATGTCTGTCTCTTTCAGTTTCGTTTTCCTCTTCCCAAATAGCCATTATAAAAAGTCTTGTAACTATCCTCTCAGAATGTTTTATTGAAATTACTAGTACTTATATAAGAACATATTTAAGTGTGTATATATATATATATTTTTTGTATATATTTTTTTAACATGGATGTTATACAATATATTTTTCTGTATCTTCATTCTCTCATTCAACATTATACTTTGAATATCTTTTGATGTCAGAATATATGGACTGGTCACATCTTTTAAGATCATATTGTATACTAAGCATGTACTATTCTTCATTTAACTATACTATTATTGAGGGAAATTTGGATTTTTTTCTTCTCCCGTTTCACACAATGCTGCAGAGAACATTGCTGCAGGACTTTTCTGAAAAATAATGCCACCATTCCACCACACAGTCCTTCAGTGGACTCTTTCTAAAGGAAAGGAATATTTGAAGTCACAGTGTAGGACTTAATGTTGGTAAGAATGAAACAAACTTCAAATAAAAATACCAGTACTAGGCTACCCAGTTTGGATTTGACTTAATCACTGCTTCCTATATACCCATCTTGTCCTCCTGCCCCCAAATCCACAAGTTCTTCCTTATAGCTTTAAATCATCCCCGGTTAGAATCTAATTCATTTCTTTAAAATATAAACTTTTCTTTTTTTGCTTTGCTCTCAATTAAAATTATGAGTTTGTTTGTTTTTTCTCTTTAGAATAGAGGAACATAAAGAGGAAGAAGAAAGAAGGAGGAGAAGTGAAGAGAAGGATGCTGAGGAAATAAAGCGACAGAATTTATTATATGAACTAGAAATAAGAGAAAAACAAGAAAAGAAAAAAGAAGAGATGAAGGAACGAAGGAAACTGTTTTTTGTAAGTTGGAAATACAGCATCTCTTCAAAATATACCAAGGCCAGTGCTTACGTTTTAATGTATTTTTATAAATAGTGGTGAAATAGAGAACAAGGTGCTGTTGAATTGGGTTTTTAAGTATACTGTGGGGGCTGTATTTGCTACGGTTTTATGTGGATATGCTGTCATGCATGAGCAAGAAAGAGAATGAGACTTTTTTCAAATCATTTTCCTATCCTTAACATGAGAGGTGTCATATGTACAATATTAAGTTATAAAGATATAGTATACCTTGATTTCTCAATTCTAGACATTTTTTTAAATTAATTTTATTTAGTTATTTTTCAAGTACAGTTTTTTGTCTATTTTTCCCATCCCAGCGTCCCCCTAGATATTTTTGATGTCTTTGTCCTGGTAGTTGAGGATTTAACTCAATTGAGATAGCTTCTCTCTCTTTTTAAAAAGATCTTATTTTAAAGAGAGGGGAAGGTAGGGAGAAAGAGGAAGAGGAACACTGATGTGAGAGAGAATGGTCAATCAGTTGCCTCTCCTATGCACCAAGATCATGGCCAAACCTCAACCCAAACCAGGAATTGAACCAGTGATCCTTTGGTTTGCAGGATAATATCCAACTGATTGAGCCACACTGGTCAGGGCTGAGATAGCTTCTCTTTTTCTGCCTTGCTATTGTTGGAACATAGATGGCTTCTGTCCTCAAGGTTGCCTTATGGCCCTGAATAGCAGCTGCTGGAACTCCTGCCTCATGTTCACATTCAATGCAGCAAGAAGGAAGAAAAGATGAAAGAAAAAAAATGCCCTGTCTATTCTCCCTTTAAGGAACTTTTCTGGAAGTACCTCTTAACAATTCCCATTACATCTCACTGATCATAATTTAGTCACTCCTAGCTGAAAGGAAAGCTTGGAAACAGAGTCTTTTTGCTGAGCAGATTGCCACCCTGAGCAAAAGCAGGGTCTTGCTACTAGTGGAGAATACAAGAAAGAATCTTGGGTAGGCAATGAATTATTCCTGCCATTTTTTTTGCTTGTTTAACGTTGAGAGTTTCCTCAACTTTGTGTTTAAACCTTCTGTTAAATTTTTTAAAAAGACTTTATTTATTTTTAGAGAGAGGGGAAGGGAGAGAGAAAGAGAGGGAGAGACATATTGACATGTGAGAGAAACATCAATCAGTTGCCTCTCACATTCACCCCAGTGCACCCCTACCACGGACCCACAGCCAGGCAGGCGCCCTGGCGGGGAATCAACCAGTGACCATTCACTTTAAGGGGACAGCCCTCAACCAGCTGAGCCATGTCAGTCAGGGCACCTTCTGTTGAATTTTTGCTTTTACCTATCAAACTTTTAATTTCTAAGAGTTTTACTTGTAATCTGATTGTTCTTTCTGCACAAAATGTTATTCCAGGTTCACAGATGCAATATTTTCATATCTCCAAGTCACTTTGGAATGGGACAGACCTTGATTTGAATGCTAACTCTGCCACTTACTACCTTTATGACCTTAAGCTGAGGCTTTCAATTTTTAAAAATAAGAATTACACCCTGGCTGGTTTAGCTCAGTGGATTGAGCGCAGGCCTGTGAACCAAACAACCACAGTTCGATTCCCAGTGAGGGCACATGCCTGGATTGCAGGCCAGTTCCCAACAGGGGATGCACCAGAGGCAACCATACATTGATATCTCTCTCGCTCTCTCCTTCCCTTCCCCTCTAAAGAGAAATAAATAAAATCTTTTTAAAATTTTTTTAAAAATGAGAATTAACTTTATATTAATTAACTCTATACTTTTATTATAAAAATATATATGAACATTGCAATAAACTTAGAAAAAAACAAAATAAATCTTACAAGAAATCATTCAAAACAATTTAATATTTTCATTAGCTTTTCATGTTGACTAATGCATCTCCTTAACCATATTACAGGTTTATAAAAGTAACGACTCATAAAATCGAAGAGTAGTTAAGAGTGCTAGGTATGTAGTAGACCCTGAGTTATAAGTATATTGGAGATTTAATGGTAATCCTAATAACTTTTACCTTGAATTGGCATCTATGTATAGTAACAGAATACACTAATATATGTATATATCCAGGCTATTGTGTTCAATGGCATCTATTTTTATGTTGAATAACTCAGGTCGGGTCATGGAATATATGTTGATATAAACAGATTTTTATATTTTATTTTTAAAAATACCTATTTAAAATTTTTTGTTAGACTATACATCTGTGTATTTTCTTAGAATATACATCTGTGTATGTGTGAAAATCAAGTCTGGGCTAGGAACTGGTCTCCTAGAGAGCCAGTCCACGGGGCAGGGTCAGCAGCGGGCAAGTAGTTAGTGGATGCGGTAGGTGTCTGTTAAATATTTTTAATGTGTGTTCCATGTGACTATATTAATATTTAAACATTAAATTAAAATTGTATGTGTGTAATATATTTTTCTGATTACAGAATTATTTTAATTATATATTTTAAAGAAATTAGATATTTGAAAATACAGAAAAGCAGTAAGAAGATGTAAAAGTCACCTACAGTCTCATACCCGAGAGATAACCAATGTTAACATTTGATACATTTCCTCCAGTTTACATATACATTAAAACTTGTCTTTGTATATATTTGCTAAAATATGCTATGTAGTGTTTATATTCTGTTTTTCCCACACGCACTGGGGAGATATTATTTGTATTTGTCCTGTGTCGCTGAGGGTATAATTTATTTAACCATTTCTCTATTATTGAATATTTAGAGGTTGTTTCCAACTTGTCACCATTGTAAATAACTTTGAGATGAAGTACACGGTACATAAAAGTTCACAAATAGTTCTAATGATCTCTTTAGGATAAACTTCCAAGAAAGAAATAACTGGGTCAGAAGCTGTGACCATTTTTCAGGTTCTTGTTAGATATTTGTATATTGAAAGATATTTTTATTGATAGATAATACGCAATTTTCCCCCCAAGGAATATATGAATGATAAAAATATCATCAAGGCTGTAGAACAGCAGCAGCAAGAGGAAGAAGATGAAAAGATTAGAAAATTTATCAAAGCAAAAAAGCGTCTGACACAAATGAGGAAAGAAAAAGAAGCTGAAACACACAGGTAAGCTTTTAAAATAACTTATGTCATTAATAAAGTACTACTGAAATTATTTCATTATAAATCAGAAGTTGTGATATGAGAGGAGTCGGTAGAATACAAGTCTCGTTATTTTACGCATGACTAGGGTATTTAGTAACATGACGATTTCAGTTGGGGCATGTGAGTTGGGGTTCCCTTGGAATACCAAGGGCATCTGCCTGGTAGATAGACAGATGATAGACAGCTGGAAATGCTGGAGACGTCTGCTCTAGAAGAGGGCTATGGGCTGGAGATGGCTTTGTGCATCATTGATATTAGTGGTTGTTGGAACTGTAGACACAGGTGAGCCACCTAGGGTGAATAGGTAAGAAAGGAAGGTGGCATACTCCCTAGGGACATCCATACCTAAAGGTCAACTAGAGAAAGAAGGTACGTGAAGACCACAGAATCATTTCTAGAGGTTGGAGGAAAATCAGAGAAACAGCAAGGGAGGAGAGTTTCACTAAGAAAAGAGCAGTCATCACTGTTAAATCAATAAAGGGATTAAATGAGACTTTTCAAATTGTTTATCAGATTTAGCAGTCAGTGTACTTAGCGGTTGGGGATGAGGTAAGTGGAGGGTGAGAAGTCAGTTGCAGTACCTTGTGCTTCTGTCTGGAGATTGTGCTTTTCCCTTGTGCCAAATCCTCTGACGTCAGGCCCCCTTTGCTATGGCCCCCGAGGCTCTACACCCATCCTAGTTCCCAGCTGCCTCCAGCCTCACCTCTCAGACCCCATCTTGCCGTTCTCTCCTTCCTTCCCTCTTCCTCACTCACACTGGACTTCTGTACCCTCTCTGGGGAATGCTCACCTCCCTTAACTCTTTCAGATCACTACTCAATGTCTTCTCATTGAGGCTTTCCCTGACTACCTTATTTAAAATTATAACCCCACCTCCCATATGGCTTATCCCTTTAACTAGTCCCTTTTTCCTCACTGCATGATAAAGCCCTATTTTAATTATTTATGCTGTTTCTTGTCCCCCTACCCCAGTTATAAGGAAATCTCCATGAGTGCAGAGACTTTGAATGTTTTTGTTTATGGTTATGTCTCCAGAGCCTGCAACAGAGCCTGACACGTAGCAAGCAATCAAAAAAAGTGTTTAAAAGAGTGTTTTTGAAAGCCTAGATGAAATGTCACCTTTTAAAAAAATATTTTGGGGGGAGGGGGGAGGGGGGGCAGGGGGGGGCTGGGATGGGAGAATAGACACTGTCTTGAAACTTTTTTAATTTTTATTGATTATGCCGTTACAGTTGTCCCATTTCCCCCCTTCATTCTCCTCCACCCTAAACACCTCCTCCCACCCACCTTCCCCCACTTTAGTTCATGTCCATGTGTCATAAGTTCTTTAGCTTCTACATTTCCCTCACTACTCTTGCCCTCCCCTATTTTCTCCCCACTGTCTATGCTACTTATTCTCTGTACCTTCTCCCCCCTCTCTCCTCCTCCTACTCCCCTGTTGCTAAACTTCCATGTGATCTCCATTTCTGTGGCTCCACTCCTAATCTAGCTGTCCTCTTAGCTTGCTTTTGTTTTAGGTGTGGTTGTTAATAACTGTGAGTTTGCTGTCCTTTCACTGTTCATCTTTTTTATCTTCTTTTTCTTAGATCAGTCCCTTTAACATATCATATGGTAAGGGCTTGGTGATGATGAACTCCTTGAACTTGACCTTATCTGAGAAGCACTTTATCTGCCCTTCCGTTCTAAATGAAAGCTTTGCTGGATAGAGCAATCTTGAATGTAGGCCTTTGGATTTCATGACTTTGAATACTTCTTGCCTGTAAGGTCTCTTTTGTGAAATCCGCTGACAGTCTGATGGGAAGTACTTTGTAGGTGACTGTCCCCTTATCTCTTGCTGCTTCTAGAATTCTCTCCTTCATTTTAATCTTGGCCAATATAATGATGATGTGCCTTGGTGTGTTCCTCTTTGGGTCTAACTTCTTTGAGACTCTCTGAGCTTCCTGGACTTCCTGGAAAGATTGGGGACGTTCTCCTTTATTATTTGTTCAAATAACTCTTCCATTTGTTGCTCTTCCTCTACCTCTTCTGGTACCCCTATAATTTGGATGTTGTAACGTTTAAAGATGTCCTGGAGGTTCCTAAGCCTCTCCTCCTTTTTTTGAATTCTTATTTCTTCATTCTTTTCTGGTTGGATGTTTCTTTCTTCCTTCTGGTGCACTCCATTGATTTGAGTCCCAGTTTTCTCTCCATCACTATTGGTTCCCTGTGCATTTTGCTTCATTTCACTTAGGGTAGCCTTCATTTTTTCATCTAATTTGCGGCCAAAATCAACCAGTTGTGTGCATTCTGATCACCAGTGTTTTGAACCGTGCATCTGATAGGTTGGCTATCTCTTGGTTGCTTAAAAATATTGACTCTGAGGCTTTGATTCGTTCTTCTGATTGAACCATTTTTGGTCAGGTCATGCCTGTTATGTATGAGGGGGGGTGGAGCCTTAGGTGTTCACCAGGGTGGGGCATCCCATGTCGCTGAGTTGTGATGCTGTATGTGGGGGCAGAATCAGAGAGGGAACAATGGCGCTTGCTCTTCTCTCTCTCAGATTTCAGTCCCCTCTGCCACTTCCCATAAGCTGGCACCTTTTCAATCGCTGCTTTTAGACTTTATTTCCCGTTGCTGGGGCCCTGGGTTTCATGGTCTGTCTTGCTGCCCGTTTTTGCCTAGTTTATCTGCCTGCGAATATGTGACCAAGGTTGGTCCCATGCTGCCTGCGTGCCCGGGTCTGGTTGCCACGGCCTTTTTCTGCCGCGGTTCCTCTCCACCAGTCGCTGACTCTGCCCCTCTTACTGGTCTGGTTGAATGGTTGTCAGAGTTCTGTACAGTTCTGTCTGTTCTGGATGTGTTTTTATTTCTAAATCTTTGTTGTCCTTAAATCTGGTTGTGCAAGGAGGTGCATACAGTATTTCCACCTATGCCTCCATCTTGGCTGGAGGTTGAAATGTCACCTTTTCCACGCAGGCTGCCTGCCTGCCTGCCTGCCTTCCTCCCTCCCTCACTTCCCTTCTTCATTTGCCCATATTATTTTCTAGCTTTCTTGTGGCATTTATCACCCTTTGCCTGTAAATGTCTTTTTCTCCACTTCGGATTGTAATTTCCTTGGGATATGCACTATGCCCTTTCTCCTACATTGCTTTGCAAATTCACTCACTGTCACATTAAATTTAAAAGTATTTTTTGCCCAATTCCCAAATAAAAATGCCTCATTTCTTTAAAAAAAAAGGTAGTCCCCCCCTTTCCACAGTATTGTGGAGAGGAAGAGTAGGAGAATGGATTTATTCAGAATTTTATAAATTTTACTAAGTCTTTTTGAGATTTTATTTAAAGAAAGGCCTTTGATTTATTTTATAACCCAAGCCTCCAATGTTAGAGTAAACATGGTAGCATAATAAAATATTTAAAATAATTTTCACTGTGGAGATTTTAACACTTTATTTCCTATACATATTGTACACACATATACACAAGATCCTATTGTATGCATTACTCCCTTCGTATTTTTAGAATACATTACTATTCTAATATGATAGTACTTGATCTGAACTAAAGTGGCCACTAAGTGACTAACAGGCAGGTACACAGCGTGTATACGCTGGACGAAGGGATAATTCATGTCTGTGGTGGGACGGAGTGAGATCTCTTACGCTACTCAGAATGGTGTGCGATTCAGCACTTAACTGTTTATTTCTGGAATTTTTCATTTAACATTGTTGGACTGTGGTGGACCACAGGTAACTGGAACCACAGAAAGCCAAACCACAAATAAAGGGGCGACCACTGTATACTTTATTCTAAAAATGAATTATTAAAAAGTAATGTCCACTTAAAACAATATACATATAATATATAATATATATTTTATTATAATAGTATATAGTATATAGTATGGAGCAATGGGGCTCCTTTCAGTTTTGTAAAAAACTGAAAAAAAAAGATCTTGTCTTTTCAAATTGTATTGGCTCCATAGCAGATCTATTTCTGAAAATTTGACACGATGGTTATTTTGTCATAGGCTAATGGAGGAACGTCGAGAAAGAATAAATAAGTTCCTGAGTGACCTAATAAAACAGAAACTTGACAATGAAGATTTGATTATTACTAGAGATATTACAGAAGCTGAGGCTGAATGGGAAAAAAGAGAAAGAGAGAAATATGAAAAAAACAAAGCAGAATTAAAAGCTATTGAAGAATATAGAGGCATTGTGGTAAGCAATTCAATTTTGACAAATTAAACAACAAGCCTGGCTGGTGTAGATCAGTGGATTCAGTGTGGGCCTGTGAACCAAAGGGTTGCTGGTTTGATTCCCAGTCAGGGCATAGGCCTAAATTGCTAGACCCAGTCCTCAGTTGGGGGCATGTGAGAGCAACCACACACTGATGTTTCTCTACCTCTCTTTCTCCTTCCCTTCCCCTCTTTCTAAAAATAAATAAATAAAATATTTTATAATTAATTAATTAATTAATTAAACAACAAAAAAATTTAAGCCCTGGCTGGTGTAGCTCAGTGGATTGAGCACTGAACTATGAAGCAAAGGGTCTCCTGTTCGATTCCCAGTCTAGATTCAATCTAGATTTTATGTATTTATTTTTAGACAGAGGAGAAGGGAAGGAGAGAGCGAGAGAAACACCAATGTGTGGATGCATTTCATGCACCCCCTACCAGGGACCTGGCCTGCGACTCAGGCATGGCCCCTGACTGGGAATCAAACTGGCAACCCTTCGTTGCAGGCCTGTCTCAATCCACTGAGCTACACCAGCCAGGGCTAAATAAAATCTTAAAATAAATAAATAAATAAATGAAGTTGCCCTTTCTTTAACCAAAAAAAAAAAAAAAAATTAAGTCCTTTCACTATAGTTTCTACTTCCTCTGCATCTCTGACCAAGAAAAGTCAGATTTTTCCAAATAACAATGCGTGAATTATCCTTCTATACTCCTGAAATCAGACCATATGGACTTGTACTTTCTAACAGAAGATAACATGATAATCAGTTGCAATAATATATTTACAGATGCCAAGTAATAATCTCTTCTGTTTCAGAGCCATCTGACATACAAAAATTTTATTCATTTAATATATTTTAATTTGAATGTTTTCAAGAGATCAAGTAAAAATTATCCTATTGAGTTTGTATATTCCTTAATCCTTCAGACTTTATGTCCTATATGACTATCATAATACTTAAATTGGATAATTTTGTAAACATTGTGACAACTAATTTTTTTGCCTACAAATATTTCCCTACCTTGAGAAGATCATGCTTTTCTCTGTTTCTGTATTTTCTTTTTAAACAAATATTCTATTCAAGTTTTCATTGTGTGTTTTCTGATATTCAGGAAAGAAAACCAAAGTAAATTGTCCACAGGGGAAGCAGCCCAGGTTCATACAGTATTCTGCTCTTGCATTGCTCCTGGCTGACTTTCTGCATGGAGCTTTCTGAATCCGTGCCTCATCTAGAGAGCACTGGCTGCTAAAAATGGCTTTAAAGTTTTTCTTTGCCTTTTACCATCTAGATGAAAAATAAAGAGGAAGAAGAAAGACAAAGAAAAACAGAGGGTAAGGAACAATTGCTGGCTGTCATGAAAGCAGACCAGATTTTCTGGGAGCATGAAAAGGAGAAAAAACGCAAAACTGATAAAGAACGTCATGAAGTTCAAGATGCCCATGTTCATCAAATGGTAATGATCACTCACTGTTTGTACTTACTTTGCAACAAATATGTAATATACAGTTCATGCTAGTTTTCTTTCCCAAGCAGCTTCCTTTGTCAGGTAAGATCAGCTGGTTATTATGCTTACAACACAATAAACTATGTAAGAAATGCAAAGAGTTAATTTCTGTTTTTATCTGTGTTGAAGTTCCCATACTAGATTTATGTATTTTGCAGAAATATTTACCCTTCTTTAGTGTCCATTGTGCTTTAGTAAATGTAAAAAAAGAATACATATGGCAGGCTGCGATGCCTATCTTCTTTGTTTAATTTTTCCTCGATTTATAAGTGTAACCCAGAGACTATACTACTGATCAGGATCTCACGGGTCTCATATCTCAGGTGAGTAGGGGTACAGGAAACCTTAGAACATGTATTAAGGGCTTGGCATTCAATCATTTGTAAGTAAACACTGTTTTCCAAAATGGCTGTACCATTCCCATCACCCCCAGCAACATATGTGAGGACAAGCTGCTCCATATCCTCACTAACCCTAGGTTTTGTCATTCTTTGGTTTTGACTGTGGTAGCATACCGATACCTTGTGGTGTTCTTTTGATTTCCCTAATGACTAAAAATATTGGACATCTTTTCATTTTCTTCTTAGCCATTTGTTTGTCTTCTTTAGTGAACCGTCTACTCAAATCTTTAGGTAATTATTTGATTGGGTTGCTTGGTTTCTTATTGCTGAGTTTTAACTTGCGCTGAAACCCTCCACTTACCAAACTGTATCTCTCTGCTCTCCCCCCTCCCCGCCTCTGGTAATTCCTGTTCTGCTTTCTGTCTCTATGAGTCTGATTATCCCAGGGAACTCATATTGGTGGAATCATAGAACATTCATCCTTTTGGGCTCTTATGTCACTTAGCATAATGTCTTCCAGCTCCGTCCATGTTGCCGCATGTGTCAGTTTCATTCCTTGTTAAGGCTGAGTGCTATTCCATTGTACATGTACGCCACATTTTGTTTATTCATACGTCCATCAATGGATCTGTGTTGTTTACGTCTTTTGGCTGTTGAAAGTAATGCTTCTGTGCACATTGGTATACAAATACATGCTTGACTTTCTCCTTTTGATTCCTTTGTTTATATACCTAGAAGCGGAATTGTTTTTTTCCTTAGAAAAATGTAACACTTATCAATTTCTTTTCAAGTCTAATAATTTTTAATTGAATGAAAACATGACATTATATAGAATATGTTGTAGATTCTGTTTTGTTCTAAGGGTTATTGCTTTTTGTTTTAGTAGGCAATTACTTTCCCTGGATGAAAGCTATGAAATTTGGCTTCACCACAATAGGTAGCCTTTGATGTTGCTGCTAATTTTTTTCTTTGCTTCTTTTTTTTGTTGTTGTTAATTACAGTTGTTCCATTTCCCCCATTAGTCTCCCCTGCCCTGTCCACCCTCTACCTCCTACATTCAATCAATAATCCCCACCGTTGTCTTTGTCCAGGGGTCCTTTATACGTTTTCCTTGACTTGACACTTCCCCTTCTTTCCCCCCTTACCACCCTCTCCCATCCTCTCTGGTGACTGTCAGTTTGTTCTCTATGTCCATGTCTCTGGTTCCATTTTGCTTGCTTATTTGTTTTGTTGATTTGGCTCCACTTATAGGTGAGATCATATGGTATTTGTCTTTCACTGCCTGGCTTATTTCACTTAGCATAATGCTCTCTAGTTCCATTCATGCTGTCTCAAATGGTATGAGTTCCTTCTTTCTTTGTGCTTCGTAGTATTCCTTTGTGTAAATGTATCACAGTTTTAATGTTCGTTTTTTTAAGCCTGGCCTTTTGGTGTCTAGGGTTCTTCATTGTTCTGGCACTGACAGTGAACCAATAATGTGGGTAGAGTTTATCTTCAGACAATTTAAGCCAGCAGTGCTTTTACCCCTGCTCCACAAGCTGTGTGTGGGTTGAAGACAGTATTCCAAAGACCAGCAAGTTCACAATTTCCTCCAGGCTTTTAATTTTTGCTAGGATCCCTGGGATCTCCTGTGTGAACTTGCCTCCTGTCTATCAGCCAGGGATGTCTGAAAGTTTATCTCATTCTTCTATAACCGTCTTGCTTCCAGAATCTCCCACTTAAATTTCTAGCTCCTTTGCCACCCAGCCCAAGTGGAATCTGCCATGATTGTCCAGTAAACCTGCAGGTTTCATCACCTAAGCTGAAGGGATAACAGTGCCCTAAGACAACAATGCCATCAGGTCTCAGGCAGTTCTTTAGCAGAAATTTTTCACTAAGACACTTCTCAAGTATTTGCCTGCACATGATCACTTTCTAGTGCTCTAAAATATTTGATTTTAATAATTTTTAATAATGAACTTGCTATCTATGGAGAGGAATTAGCCAACCTCCTCAGCAACCATTACCAGAAGTAGGACCTGCTATATTATTTTGGAGCAAATTCCAGAGGTCGTATAATTTTATTAATATATACTTCAGAATGCATCTCTAAAACTCAGGGACTCTTTAGAAATTAATGTAGTTACAATGACATCATCACATCTAAGACAATTATCATTCAGTGTTTTTTATTGTATTTTTCCCACTGCCATGTAGTCCATTATATACGCCCCCAGCAATCACCACACTGTTGTCCTTGACCCTGAGTCCTTTTCCCTTTTTGCTCCACCCTTCCATTCCTAACCTCCCCATGCACCTTAGTTGTCATCTGCTCTCTATCTAAGAGTCCATCCTCATTTTCCTTGTTAGTTCAGTTTGTTTATTAGATTCCACGTAAGAGTGGAATCATACAGTATTTGTCGTTTTCTGACTGGCTTATTTCACTTAGCATAATGTTCTCCAGGTCCATCCATACTGTTGCAAAAGGGCAGGACTTTCCTCTTTTTTGCAGCCTAATAGAATTTCAACGTGTAAATGTCCCACAGTTGTTTTATCCACTCATCTACTGATGGACACTTGGGCTGCTTCCATATCTTGGCAATTGTAAATAATGCTGAAATGAATAAAGGGGTACTTATATACTTTTGAATCAGTTTTGGGGTCCTTCAGATATAATCTGAGAAGTAGGATCACTGGGTCAAAAGGCAGATCCATTTTTAATTTTTTGAGGTGTGTCCACACTGCTTTCCACAGTGGCTGCACCAGTCTGAATTCCCACCGATAATGCAAAAGAGTTCCCCTTTGTCCACATCCTCGCCAGCACTTGCTGTTTGTCGATTGAGGATAGCCATTCTGACAAGTAAAACAATTAACAGTGTTTAAATCCCCCCATATTGTCTCATGAGTACTTTCTAAATTGTGTTGTTTGAATTGGGATCAAATAAGGTCCATGTATCCTATTTGGTTGATATGTCTTTGAAGTCTCCTTTAATCTGTAGCTCCTCTTCCACCTCTACCTCTCTTTTTGTTCTAAGTTCTCCCTCCTGGTATTATTGTGTTTGACTTATAATTTTATTTGTTAAAGAAACTGGGTTTCTTGTCTTTTGGAATTATTAGTCTGACTTTTGCTCTTTGGATTCCTGTGGTGTAGTTTAATGTGTTCCCTGCATTTTATGTAAAACCTAGTTTAGATTGGACTCAGGCTCAAATTTTGTTTTAATTCTCACTTGAGGCATGTTGACATGTTTATTGCTTTTGTGGGGTAGGGGGAGAGAAGTGAGAAAGAAACAGTGATTGTATCGATTATACATGACGTGACCTGACTGGGGATGAAACCCACAATTTAGGTATGATGTACCCTGACTGGGAATCGAAACTGCAACTTTTTGGTTTATGGCACAACACTCCACCAAACTAAGCCACCTGGCCAGGACTTAGGTTCAATTTTTTTTTGGTAAAATTCCTTATAGGTGGTATTATGTACTTCCATTAAAAGGAATGCAATGACTGTTGTCTCACTATCTATAGTATAAATAGCCTTTGATGACCATTGCCCTAATCTCTTAGTTTATGAAGTGACAAATTCCGATACTCTCTCATTGCTTCTTGTTCATTTGTCAGTGTCTTCAAAAAACTTTCCGTGATCAGTTTGGTTTCTCTAAGGTACAATTTTTAAAGAAAAGACAAGCTATTTGATTCTTTCACTTTATTTTCGAGAAATATGAGCTCTTTTTCATTGTTCACATACGCGTTTGTTACTTTACCCCACTTGTTATAAATGTTTTAAAAATCTTAGTTTTTTGAAAGATGTTGTTTTTATTTTTAGAGAGAGGGAAAGGAAGGGAGAAAGAAAGAGAGAAAGCTCAATGTGTGGTTGCCTCTTGCCTGTCCCCAACTGGGGACCTGGCTCACAACTCAGGCATGTGCCCTGACTGGGAATTGAACTGGTGACCTTGTGGTTCGCAGGCTGGCACTCAATCCACTGAGCCACAGCAGCCAGGGTTAAACAAATATTTTAAGTTTCTTCATGAGTCTGTATTCATGCTTAGTGCATATCAAATTTGAGACACCAGTCATATGACCCATATGTAAGTAATCCTTTCCCTCCGTTTTCACTTTTTGTACAATATTGAAAGTTTCTCCCTGTTCCCTCAGTATCTTTCTACAAACCACCACCAAATCAACATATCCCAATTGCTTCTTGTTAAGATCCCACATTATAGTACATATTTTACCTTTGATGAGATAGTTTATAGCTTTTCAACTTAAAAAAAATCTTATTGAATGTCCTCTTCTATTTTTTTCAAACTACTGGTACTCTATCACCAATTCAGGAAATGGCATGCAAGCCTTAAGTGGCCCCAACATGTGGTGACAGAGGATGGCCTGACTGTGGGTGGTGGGCACACAGTGCTAGATACAGAGCTGATATCACAGGAATGTGCACTTGAGACCTCTGTGATCCTATTAACCAGGATTAATAATTTAATAAAAAATGGAAAAAAGATTCCCCTTCATTTTCTACCATATATTTATAACTCTTGAACTTAATGATGATTCTAAACCAGATGGAGAGCTTAACAATTAGATAAAGCAGTATACTATAACTGAAATGCACCGTGGAAGACAATGTGATAGAAATATGATTTGACACCTAGTAAATGTTTTTGATTTAAAAATTTGGTATTCATAGGGTTGCTTTATTTCCTCATAAATTTCTATTTATGTTATATATCAGGTTTGGGTTACTAGTTTATATAGAAATGTTGGTTACTGATTTTGAAAATAATTTTATGACTATTAAAATAAATTCATGAGTATACAAAATCACTAAAGTTTTTACAAACTCGGCATTTAAAAAATTGCCACTGAGAAAACAAAATGAAAAAGTTGTCAACCAAAACTTCATAGTAATTTTTAGAAGTCATGGAAATCCCACCATGGCTGGTGTGGCAGTTGGTTGCAGTGTCATCTGTAACCGCAAGGTTATGGGTTCAATTCCCTGTCAGGGCACATGCGTAGGTTTACATGTTCAGTCCCTGGTCTGGGTGCATATGAGTGGCAACCAATTGATGTTTGTCTCCCTTCCTCTCTCTCTGAAAGCAGTGGAAAAATGCCCTTGGATGAGGATCAAAGAAAAGTTAAAATCCTCTAGCCCTGTTTGTTAGGCATCGTCTCACAAAAGGTTGCCTGTTTGCTTCCAAATCAGGGCACATTTTGGGTTGCGGTTTCCGTCCCGTCAGGATGCATGAGAGAGGCAACTGATTGATGTTGCTCATGCATGTTTCTCTCACTTTCTTTCTCCCTCCTTTCCTCTCTCTCTAAAAAGAAATGTAAAATTTTCATATAAAGGAACAATCTTTTGTGTAAATATAAACTGTTAAAAAATTTTATGAAATGTTAGTAAAATTTTAGTAGACTGCTTAGTGTACTATTCCACCCAGCTCCCGATCCATCTACATTGATAAATGCCACTTGTTCCAACTTCAGATTATTGGGAAACAGAGTGTAGTTGGTGTAATTTAGTTCAGTCATTGGCAATTTAATCTTATGTGCCTGGGGCATGTGGTAGATCAGGGTGACTTAGGACAGTGGGTTTGAGCGAGTTCCTTCAGAATAGTGAGTGGACTGGGACAGTGACTGATGTGTCTTCTCCATCCACCATAGTACACATTGGTAGAAATAGGATTCTAAACTTGGCGATTTGGTTTTGTCTAAATTTCATGCTTTTAACTAGTTTGCTGTATTGTCTGAAGGCATATTATCAGCTAAGACTATTAAGGTAAGTTTCACTGAGTCGTGACTTTTGAGCATGATGACCCTGTGGGAAGCATGGGAAAGTTTCTGAAATAAAATATAGTGTTCAGCGGTGAAGTCAGAACTTTGTCAAGTATCAGTGAGTTTAGAAAATCACATCTACAAGTTCAAATGCTATGTATATTTAGAAAATTGGCCTTGTTTACTAATATGAAATTGTATTTTCTTTCTTTCCCTATTAGGCCAAAAACAAGTTTAATGCAAAACAAGCAAAACAAGCACAATTAGAATATTGCAGACTTACCGAAGATCTTGTGAAAGAAAAGGAGCAAGAATTTCAGGATTATGCCAGAGAAGTAATTGAACTTGAGTCTGAATCAACAAATAAATATATTTATCCTCTTGTGAAAGCTGTCCAGGCAGGCCCTGGAGGTGGCCATGGGCCAGTTTTTATGGACAGAGGTGGAATAAGACCTAGTTATCAGGCAAATGATTGCTCTGGAACCCAGCTCCCTTCTTACACCTGTCAGGGATCAAAATATAATACTTTACAAAAGTCTAAGGGAAGGCTAGGTTTTACATGGTAGGAAAGTTTATTTTTAAGATGGAGTCTGAACTGTAACTAACATTGTAAGTTACAAGTGTAAGTGAATTTCAGGCTCATAATTTAATAAAGCTGCTCTTCACCTAAGTATAATCATGTGTGATCTTCACCACTAAAGGTTAATTCATTTTTAACATTTTAATAAATACATATATAACATGAAATGTATAATTTCAGCCACTAGAAAAATGTGTTCAGTTGCATTTCATTTAGTATATTTTCAGGGTTTATCCATATTACCTTAATCAGAACTTCATTCCTTTTTATAACCAGATAATATTCCAATGGAAGTTGTTCTCTTCAGAAAATTGTGTATATATAATCCAATACTTAAATTTTAGTTTCTAATAACACTACCAATATTACTAACAATATGATTATTGAATGCAATTTATGGATTCTTTGTGATTTTAGAGTGTATCTCACTAGACATGCAAATTACCATGTTTTAAGGGCAATGGAAATAATCCCTCTACATGGAGTTAGGTAACCAAGTTGATACAGACTCTGGCTTTTTATGAATTGCATTCCCCTCCCCCTTTGACTTTTTTTTTTATCATGGTATAAAATGCAGCACACAAATGTTACCATCTTAATCAGTTCTAAGAGTACAGTTCAGTAATGTAATTCACTCACATTGTTGCGTACCCAGTCTCCTGAACTTCGTCATCTTGAGAAACTGAAACTATATACCCATTAAACAACGCTCCATTCCCCCTCTGGTCAGCTCCTGGGATCTACCACTCTCCATTTCTCATGAATTTGACTACTCCAGATACCTCATTAAGTAGGATCATACAGTGTTTGTCTTTCTTAGACTGGCTTATTTCCATTAACATGTGGTCTTCCAGGTTCATCTAATGCTGTAGTGTCAGAATTCCTTCCTTTTTTAAGACTAATACTAAATCGTGTATGTGCCAAATTTTCTTTATCTATTCTTTCATCAGTGGACACTTCGGCTACTTCCATCTCTGGCCTATGGTGCATGCTGCTGCTATAAATACTGGTGTGCAGGTCTCTTTGAGACACTGCTTTAAAATCTTTTCAATATATGGCCAAAAGCAGAATTGTCGCATGACAGTTTACAACTTTCTGAGGAATCATACTGTTCTCCATGGCCTGCACCACCTTCCACTCCCAACAGTGCACGAGGGTGCACATCTTCACTAACCCCTTTGATGGTAGCCATCCTAATGACTGAGGTGGTATCTCATTGCGGTTTTGATTTGCATTTCCCAAACTGTTGATACTGCAAATTGTCACTGGAGAAATGTCTGCTTGAATCTTTTTCCCCCCTTCCATTGCTTTCTTTACACAATGTGGATATTTACCCTTTATCAGCTATGACTTGCAAACAAACTTTTCCCCAGAAAACTAGGTTACCTTTTCACTGCTGTCCTTTGTAGATTACCTATTGCTTAATATAAGCATATATACACATTTGCATTTTACTCTTGCATGAAGAAATCTTGCTTTTTTCATTTACTATATTCTAGACATTATAGTACAGTATATACCTTTTTCTTTCCCCAATCTGGCATGGCATTGTTACACATTATGTACCAGTTTACTCAACCAGTGGTATACCAATCTAATGATGTCCAGTTTTAGCTATTATAAACTTCTGCAATGAATAGCTGTTTCATATTTCCCTCAATGTACCTCTGAGATAGACGTCTAAAAATGGGAATGCTGAATATAGGTATAGACTGTCTCTCAGGCATCAAATCTTATAGCAAAAATATTTGATGTCATGATCTCTGGGAATCCTTGAGCAATAAAATGTACTAGCCCCCACCCCCAATTCTGCATGAAACTTCAGGACTTCCGTACCACCCCCTCACAGGCTGCACAGGGCAGTGACCCACCATACCCAAGACTGCGATTAAGTAACCTGGGATGAGGACGGCCACCTATACTTTTTTAAAATGACGTATATGATTCTGTAAGCTAAGCCATTACTCTGAACCACAATTTCAGGGTTTACAGACCCCAGGTTAAACAAATTCTTTTAAAAAACTAATGCAGCTGAATATTAAAAATAGTATAGATTCTCAAATTGTGTGTCAAGGTGATCTAAGGGACCCTAGTGAATTCACAAAAGTAGAGCTGGTAGGATATTTATAAAACTTGGAAGGGAAACAATATTTGCCATCTATTGGACTCTATAGGTTTTACTAGTTTTAGTTCCGTTTCAACATATTAAATGTGCCATTCCTTTGATGACATACTATCTTTATAAACCTGGGTGTTCAGCAGTTGCTGGGGAAAATTCAAGTATGACACAAAAATGTTAAACGAGGGTGATGGCATCCAGTCTGACTCCAAGGTTTTAGTGCAATGACTTAAGTTGCACACATCCCATTAGTCACTGTTTTTGGGGCTTAGGGTTGCCGTGCAAAGGCACAATGAGCGAATAAAGTCTGGGAACCTCTGTTACATATCCCTTCCTGTAAATTGTTTTAGGGAGTATATCACATAGCAGTGATGACTAGATTTGGATAAAGTTATCTTCACATTATAAAACAGAAAACAAATTTCTACAAAATGCTAAGTTGTATAAATGTTTTATAACCAACTTAGTTCAATGAAAGATAAAAGACCAGACATTACTAGTTCTTCCCCCTACACAATTTGATTAATTTGGACTAGGCTTTCTACTAAAGCACACTGAAGAGTTTATGAAGAATTTAAGCAGCTTTAAGTTAATCATAAACAATTCAGTGTAAGGAATGGAATGGCAACACACACACAAAGCAGTGGAAACACAACCGTTCTGCTACTTTGATAATAAAAACCAAGAGCTACAGTTTGTGGCAAAAATGTAAACTACAACCAACACAATTTGGGTAGTGAGAACTTTGAGATGGGGAAAAGCCTTAAAATTATGAACCAGCACTTACAAATAAGATGGATATATATTATTGGGTTAGGAAATGTTTAGGATAGAATCATTCTTAGAAAGCAATAAAAATAAGAAAAGCAAATTGATACTAAAAGTATTTTAATACACAATTTGCACAGTCCAAGCACTCAACATTTTACATATTCTCCTGGCTAAATAAAGCGTTAAAGAAAAAAACACTCCAGAATTTAAAGTTTGGTAATATTCATCTGTTAATACATACAAATAACTGGATGGTCAGAACGTTCTTACCTAAGCATATGTATTTTCCACGACTAAGTCTCAAGTTAGGTAGGTATTTTCCCTACATATGTCTAATTTAAATTTAAAAAGAAAAAGGAAAACTAAACAAAAATCCAAAAACTAGAATAGATTTTTTTCATACGTCAATCAACATTCATATGGCTTTACAACTGTGTTGTATTAAAACTGGCAGGCAAAGGATATAATACAACGTTCCCAATGCTGAGAAAATTTGGAGGAATTAAAAAGCAAATGGGCTTTCCTACTAGATAGTAATGCAAAGTCCAAGTGTAACCTTAAAATAAAAGTTTACTGAGGCAAAGACACATTGCAATAGAAAGCATCATGATTAAATAAACATTTACACTAGGACTTATTTATTCCCAAACCTTCTGGAAATTGTCACTGCTGGCTAAACTCTTAAGAAGCTCAGTACTGTTCAACTCTGCTCAGTTTTTGCCTAATACAAATTCTATATCCCCATGGGTAAAATAAAAGTATATTTTAGTTGATTTATCTTCACTATTTAGCTTTTTAATAAAAATAAATGTTAAGTAACTAATACCACAATAATTTTAAAAATACAGAAGCAAACTGTTACCATAGCATAGTTTATTTAATACAATGTTTAACTATAAAAGTTGATAGTTTCAGAGTTTAAATTCTGTACAACGCAGTTTGCAGAAAACAGTTCAAGTTACCAGACTAGTGATAAGAGAAGCAGCATTTTGAAACATTTTACAATTGTGACAAGAGCTTTATTCCTAAATTTCATTAAAAAAATATACATCACAGTGACTTTGAGCTTGGAAAAGAAGTGCATTAACTTCATTTGCTTTTCCCTTCCACAGAAAGCAGCCACAACTTTTAACATTCCCAGATACAAATACCCAATTCATTCATCAATCCTTCAAAACACTATAAACACAGAAAGGAGAATGAAATGTACAGCATGTGCTTTTGGTAAACAGGAATCTGCTTTAAGCAAGAAGGGGGGGGAGAAGAAACACAATTCAAATCCACCACTTACTCCTGTGCCTCAACAACTCCCTTCTACCTTGCTGATGGACTTAGAAAAATTTGTGATTTTTCTTTTAATCTTCACTTCTTGTGTCATGTTCACAGCCCAGAATCTGCCTTTGCCCGAATCCTTCAAAGGCAGCTGGAAAGCCCATTATGGGCATGAGTCAGCCAATACTGTACTTTCTAGAGTTTATTTTTATTACATTTTAAAATAAGTATTTGTAATATAGTACATCTTTTCACAATAAACAGATTATAAACCTACAGTTCTTGGAGACTTTATTCAATTCTAAATGTATAAATACTAAACTGAATAATTTTAGTAAACATGACCAAGAAGGAGACAGAAAAATACCCATTTTTGTTTCTTTATAACTATCAACCATATAGTGTATATTAAAAGTAATCCTGCTGAAAGCAAAGGCTTGGAACAAGTTTCTATAGAAACTTCCTAAAGGTTCAAAGTATGATGAAAAAAACTGCCACCCAAGGTGAAGCACAATGAACTACTTACTACAAAGAAAACAAACACCTAACTTGTTTCATATACTAACTTGAAAACAAATTAGAATTGTCAGTTAATACCACTACTCAAAATATGAGAAACCTAATGTGTTCTTCTCTGTAATATTATGAATGTTTTACTTTTCAGGTTCCTATCTACCACTGTGTACAAGAATCAAAGGTGCCCTGGCTGGGTAGCTTAGTTGGTTAGAGTATTATCTTAATACACCAAGGTTGGGGGTTTGATCCCTGGTTGGGACACATATAAAAAGTAACAAGTGAATAAATAAGTGAAACAACAAATCTATGTCTCTTTCTCTCAAATAAATTAAAGTCAAAAGCAATTCAGCAAAGCCAGTAAGAATCAGTATCACACTTGTGTAGAGAAATACCGATCAAATTCTTTGAAACTTCTGTGAAGCCTTTAAGTTTAGAAACTACAGTGGTCTGTGTATGAGCTCTCTAACTCTATACTTTGAAACTGTTTTAAAGAACCAAGCAGCTTCTCTACTGCTCACTTAGCATCAATCTATTTCTTGGGTACTGCCAATCAAGCAATAAAGACAAACCAATTTAAGTATCTTTAAGGGGACATTAAATCAAAGACAGTTTGAGCTAAACTGTAAGTTCAGGCATAGCAATAAAAATCAATGAAAAAAGGTATTAAAAGGCTGACTTTTAGGAAAACCAAGTGTGTTCAAAGTAATAACTAAAGGTAGTTCAACTATTAAAAATGCAGTGGGAGCAAAGGACCATTTGAGCTGTGTGCTATTCAGATGCAGAGGAAGGTATAGTAAATGCTGCTTATTCATTTTCTAAATGTTGTTTATATTCTGAATATAAAATCTAGCTGATTGTCACCTCTCATTTCCTTTGCCATTATATGCTCCATTGTTAAAAACAGCTAACAAAGCTTTTTATAAAAAAAGGCCTATAGCCCTGGGCTGGGTGGTTCGGTTGGTTGGAGTGTTGTTTCATACACCAAAAGGATGCACATTTGATCTCCAGCCCTGGCATACACATAGGTTATGGGTTCAGTCCCCAGTAAGGACACACGTGGGAGGCAACTGACTGATGTTTCTCTCTTACACTGATGTTTTCTTTTCCCTCTCTCTCCCAAATCAATACACCCTCCAGTCAGTATTAAAAAAAAAGAAAAATCCCTGTAAATAATGCTTAGCATGGGGCTGTTCTTCTGATAACCAAAATAAAAGATTATTACTTACAGAAATTACTAAAACGTCCCCCCACTATTGTTACTTGCCTATAATTCTTAGTAGATTAAGCTCTGGGTCATCAGACAGCATAGGAGTATGTTTACCTATCATGTGTTTTTTTAATATATAACTGTTTAACAGAAATCCTTTCTTAAACAGAACTTTTCTCAAAGCTCCAATAATTTATAACAAAGATTTTAAAAATGCAATTTACTGAATTTAAAAAAAAAACACTAACTAATTTGAAATATGTAACAGATTATACAGCTTGGGCACTCAAGACTCAACTATTCCTATGCTAGGTGTGTGGTCAAATTTTCAAAGGAATCAATCATCCTAAATAATCATAAATACCTACTTTACAATCAGGAAAACAATCTGGAAAGACTCCATTGTGGATATTTGTTTCAAGATATTCCATACAGCCCTGGCTGGTGTAGCTCAGTGGATTGAGCACGGGCCTGTGAACCAAAACATCGCGGTTCGATTCCCCGTCAGGGCACATGCCTGGGTTGCAGGCCAATTCCCAGCAGGGGCCAGTTCCCAGCAGGGGATGCACCAGAAGCAACCATACATTGATATTTCTCTCCTTCTCTCTTTCCCTTCCCTTCTAAAGATAACTAAATAAAATTTAAAAAATTAAAAAAAAAAGATATTCCATACAATCGTATAATCATTACCCTATTCATTATGCAAACAGCTACCATAATATCATCAATGTATTAATCAATAATGAGAAATACGTTAAGCATTGCTTCGCTCGGTACAAACAGCACTGAGTAGCTACTATTTTACCAAGAAGCTGCCCTGGTAATAGAGATGACACTATACCGACAAATATTAAATTACAAAACACTGTAGAAGCTACTTATTAATTGGAATTCTGAAATTTCTTTTCAAATGAGGCAGGTTTTGTGTTTGCTGGATGTTCAATATTTTATTTAGAAGAGAAATTACAGAATAAAAGGCCACACATCACAAAAATAGCAATATACAACACATAAAATTCTAAATGGACTTTAGATATCATTAACGTTTTAACTTTGTAAGCTATAAAATTTTGCAACTTTCTATCTATGTGGCAATGTTATACATGCCCAGTTAAAATAATTTTAACAGTACTGCTATAAACCACCTGAAGAGAAAGAAACCAGAGTCATAAACATGCTGAAGCCTACTGGGATACATATATAGAAAAGATACATTTTTCTTGCCACTTGAAACTCACAGCTATGAGAATTAGAGAAGTCAGTTAAAAAAAACATAAACAAAACAAAAAAACACATGCAGAGTTAACACTCAACTTTATATAAGGTCAGTGGCCAAAAAGAAATCTTGGAAGTCAATGTGGCAATACTAACAACTTTTAAAATCTGTCTAATGTAAAGAGTTGTACAAGTGGTATGCTTTAGTAAGAAAAGGTTTCCCCCCTGCACTTTCCTTCCCCACACTTTGAAGAAGGATAATAAAACAATGTTCTCAAAAAGCAAAAGTTTAATCTCTTTAGACCAAAATCAACACAGATTGAGAATCACAGTCTGATCTTCCAAGGTTAACTTGTCAGATGCTGTATAACAGCAAGTCAAGCTCACTCAGTACATCAACTGAAAAAAAATACTCAACTATTTTATAGACAGTTAAGTAAAACTAGAGATGAAAAATATTCATATGAAACAAGCTACATGTGGAGCTATAAAGAACAGCATATGAAGTACAATATAAGTATCTATTTTAAAGCACATATTACTATAAAATCAAAAGTGATGACTTCAGATCTCAAGCTATTAGAATCCTGCTTCTGCATAATTAAAAGCTGCTGCTGCAAGCCTGTATTATAAATCCAATCAGAAAATCTTCACAAGATTTTGTCTATCTAGTGGCTTCTAAAGTTCCTTTAATCATGAGAAACACAGGCTTTTGCAACAATATATTCCAACAATCAGTTATGCTTGTTTTCAACTGATGATTACACAAGTTAGGGTACAGAAGAATAGCATGTTTGCCATGGGCTGGTTGTTTGCAACACAGAAGTGTATACAGGAAATAGTGAAACATAGCACACAGTATTACACCAAAGTTTTTCTCATTTCAAGTTTATTAAAACTTTAGCAGTACAAATTATCCAGGTTGCAGATTATCAAAAGATCAACTCAAAGAAGTCCACGTTAAAAAAAAAAAAGGACAAACATAAACCAAAAACAACAAAAAAAGGAAAACAACATAAAGGAGATCCATCAGCAAAAATCTCTACAACTTAAAATTTGAGACAGAATGGAAATAAGAATTTTATACAACTCACTCATCCACTTTTGTCTTCATCTGTTCCAGGACTTGATTCATGATCGAATTTTTTATTTTTATCATGTACATGGTCATTTTCTTGACCCTTTGATTTTTGGTTTTCTTTTTCCACTGAGGATCTGGTCTTCCCATCCTCCTTATTTTTCAATGTGGAGAACTTTAATTCATTGTCCTGACTACTTTGTTTTATTTTTGAGAATGGACTTTGATCTCTATCAGCCTTTTTATCCCTGTTATTATTTGAACTATTATAATCACGATTTTTAGAGTACATTCTCTTTTCACCCTCAGAATTTTCTTTTCTGTGTGAACTCTTACTTTCTTGGTTTCTATATTTTTCTTTGTTTCTGCTTTGACTTTCTTCTCTCTCTGAGCTCCGTGAATCTCTCCTCCTTCTCTTTCTATCTTTACTTCTTGATCTTCCTGGTGTTGCTCTTCTCTCTCGGCTCCGTGACCTTCCTCTTCTCCTGTACTCCTGTTCTCTGTACCTATGGTACTCCTTGCTCCTGCTGCGATCACGGTCATGGCTTCTGGATCGCACTCTTCTGCTCCTGTCCCTACTTCTGCTTCGTTCCCTTGTTCTACTATTGTAACTGTGTTTGCTTTTAGTTGCATCACGTTCTCTACTCCTAGACTGTGCGTGTCTATCCTTTTCCTTACTTTTATTATGATCATGCTCATTACTTTTTGATTCTAACTGTTTAGACTTCTCTTTACTTCTACTCCTTTCCTGATCTTTTCCTTTAGAATCAGATTTTTCTTTTTCTTTAGCATTCTCATGATCCTTCTCTTTACTCCTTGATCTCGTCTTCTTTTCTTCATGTCTAGTATGCTTTGTTTCTCTTTCCTTGCTCTTTGATTTCTCTTTGCTTTTACTCCTACTTTTAGATTTGGCTCTTTTCTTCACCTTGTTTTTATTATACTTATCATCCTTTTCTGAATTTCTTCTGACGTCTCTCTCTTTGCTGTTAGATTTATGGTCTTTAACTTTCTTTTCCTTTTCGCTTTTTCTATTTGGACTCTCAGACACATGCCTGTGATCGGTTACTTTCTTCTCTTTTACTCTAACCGGGCTTCTCTGATTTTCTTTTATTTCATTTAACTCACTCCTAAAAAATAAGCAAAAAAGTTTTGAAATTTTATTAAGACTGGTATCCATTATAAGCCAAAATGATATTCTACTTTCATTAAGATATCCAGAAACTTTATGTATAATAGTAAAAAAAAAACTTGTCACTACATTTGAAACAATATAGTTAAATCTTACTTATCCCCTTTGATCCATCTTTCACCACTTGATACTCTCATTCTTTGAGCTCTTTGCATCTCTTGCCTCCAATGTGGAGGAGTCTCACTACGTCTGAAACGATCCCTTGATCTGGATCTAGATGGAGTTCGATAACGCTTAAGAAAATAAAAAGGGAAAAAAATTAACATAAAAATATAAAGGCATTATGTCATAGTTAAAGTGTATATATCTCTGGGTTCTAATATTTGCCTGGTATTTCTATGCCTAACAAAATTTCCCAATTTTCAGATAAGAGATCAATGAGGCAGAAATACTTTAAATAGTCATACTGTAACTTCCAAATAAAAAGCATGAACCACAGAAACTCCAGCCACCCACGTCTTTTCTATGGAACTGTCCTATTTAAGTGATGCTAAAGCATACATAATAGGTGCAAGGAACCTTTATAAGTTGCCAAGTTCCAATCTGGAAATATGTATGAGTTTCTTGATGTTTTAAAGCAAATAGTTCCCTTATTATGAAAAAACTGAGTAAATGCAGAGATGTTCATTTATTCAACCAGCATTTACTCAACTCTTCGGATAGCCAACCACTCTACCACATACTGAGGAAACATCAGGAAGCCAAGACACACCTGATTTTGCTCTGTTGGAACTTATATTCTACAAGGCTAGGAGAACACAGAGACAGGTATATTATCACAATGTCAAGCATATATAAAGCCACAATTAGAATGAATGTAAAAGCAGCAAAAGATATTCAGAGAATACATAAAAAAGTTGTCTGACCTAGTATGGGCTAAATAATTAAAAGGTGAAAATTAAAGAATATGCATGAACAGTTTCCTAGGCAAAGGTGAAAAAAAAAAAGGTAAAGGAGGTGAGGATAGATGGGTGAGGAAGAACATGGGAAGAATATGAATATGAAATATACCATGTTTGAAGGTCCTGAGATAGGAAGAAATAGCATGTTTTAGAAATGATCAGAAGACAGAACAGTGTGCCTAAAGACAAAAACTAAAAACTGCAAGGAAAGGTAGTACTTGATAACACTGATGAGGTAGGAACAAGCTAGATTTTTTGAGGTCTTGCCGGCCATGGTAACAATTCTGGATTTATCATAAGGTCAATGACAAAGGAGTGACATATTAGATTTCCATTTTTAAATAATCACTCAGAGAAAGGGTTACAGTGATTCTTGAAGTGCGGTCTAGGGATTCGAAGACTTGGGGTCAGGGGGCAGGCGGGAATCTGAGAAGTCAAACTGTTTCCATAAGGGAGCTGCTGCGGAGCCCTGCAGTGGCAGTGTGTGGTGCACGTGCTGTGGCTGTGGTGCAGCAGCTTTCCTGGGAGGAGGTATCGCCCTGTGCGGGAGTGCTGACATGTGGCTGAGTTCTTCTCATTTGTCACCAACAGCATTTTATATCAGCGTGGCATTTATCCATCTGAAAACTTGACTTGAAGGTAGAAATATGGACTCATCTTGCTTAACTACTTATCCTGAGCTCATGAAATACCTAAATACTAATGGGGTAGAACTAAAAGACTGTTATACAAGTGTTCAGTTTAGAAACTGGTGGCAGTCGTCTCAAATGTTCAAAGTGGTGAGGTCCTTGAAAGATGGCAGTTTGATATTGAGTGTGACAAGGCTGCCAAAGATGCCAGTACTCCCCGAGCAAGTCTTAGAAAGCTATCAAAGATGAAATCTGCTCAGCAATCAGACACATCACAGGTATGGTGACATTTCTGCCACTGTTGGAAGTTTCTTGATCATTTGATCTGATCTATGAAAATCTGATTGTACCTGAAAAGTGGGAAGAGCTGGGAGCATAGTTCATTACCAATTCTGAGCAAGTCCATCTGTGTTCATTCACCACTATAGTCCACAAAGTAAACAGTGCAGTGGGTGGCCTACAAAACCTCTGTCCATGATCAAAGATGAGATAAGAACCCTAATGTAATTCTCAATGTGTGTTTCCTGAAACAAAGTCAACTGTAGTTCATGTTGTATTTCACTGATTAGTTTTTAGAGGGAGAAAACATTGTACTTTACTGAACTAGGCATAATTGTTCCATCTTTTGGTACCTGTTTAACTTTCCATAGGGTTGACGTACCGTATTTTTCAGACCATAAGATGCACCTAGGTTTTAGAGGGAAATAGGAAATAATTCTTGAAGCAAGAAATGTGGCAAAATATTTAATAACATAAATAATGTAATATTTCACCAATGTAAATGGCGTTAACAACTATTATTCCTCCCAAATCGGGGTGGAGGGGTATGTCTTATAGTCCAAAAAATACGGTAATTTTTTGCACACTGTTTGAAAGGGAACCAGCAGATTACATCAGCACTGTAATGCCAATTCCTTTGAAGGTGGAAACTGCAGGTGGAAAAACTTTGGTAAAGTAGCTCTGACTCAGAATATTGGTAAATATAACATATGGCAAAAGAAGTCTGAATGAATATTCAGAATGTTTGTTTAGATCCTAAAGTAAATGAAAATCCACAATAACAAAATACTGCTGTAAGGTTCATTTGCCATTTATTTTATTTGTACAGTTTCCATGTTGAAAAATCTCCAATTATTTGACTTAATGTGTATATGTTATACGTACAAAGCTATCATTATTTCTGCTGTTTAAATTCTGCTGATATAGAATTCTTACAAATGTCTTTTTGTGTTTTATTAAATCAGGCTTTGAATAAAAATGACAAAATTAAATGTGTGTATTTTAAAAATAACTGTTTTCGTACTATCACATTCTTTGTCTTTCCCACATTCATTTTTTCATTATACAGTGGAACTTTTTAGAGACGTGACATGTTTTGATGTCTTTGTTTTCATAACTGAAGGAATATGTGCTTATATACAGGGTTAGGTAAAAGTAGGTTTAGAGCTGTTTGTCTGGAAAATGATACAATAGTTAAGTAATAACAATACAAGAATAAACTGTTTCATGTACTGACCACTGTAAACCTACTTTTGCCAACCCCTGTAGTCTTGTTTTAAATACTTCTTGGTTTTAATTTCTAGAAGAGTAAATATTGATAGATATAATCCACATCAGAAAAAACTATTCTGAATCCTCAATAACTTTTAAGAGTGTAAAGAGGTCTTACAACAAAAAAGTTTGAGAACTGACATGAGAACAGTTTGGAAGCTATTTATAGTTCTGAGACTATACAGTGAATTGAACTAAGATGACTGGAGCTTGAAAGAAGCAGACAGGATTCAGAGTATTTAGGAGGTTAAACTGAGAAAATGTGGTGATAAGTAAGATATATAAAATAGGAGGTCAGGCTAGTGTGGCTCCGTTGGTTGGGGCATTATCCCATAAACTGGAAGGTCACAGGTTTGATTATTGGTCAGCACACATACCTAGGTCGCAGGCTTGGTCCCCAGTCAGGGAGCATGCAAGAGGAAATGGATTGATGTTTATCTCTCACATCAATGTTTCTCTGCCTTTCTAAAAATTAATAAGCATGACCTCAAGTGAGGATTTAAAAACAGATATACAATGTAGGAAAGAAGGGGGAAACCAAAATAGTGCTTTTTATAAAAGGTTTTACTTATTTATTTTGAGAAAGAGTGGAAGTGAGAAAGACAACATCGATGTGACTGGGAATCAAACTGGTAACCTTTTAGTTTGCAGGCCAGCGCTCAATCCACTGAGCCACACTAGCCAGGCTGATTCTTGAGCTTTAGGTCCATTCAACAACTAAAATGACTGTCAAACAAGCCTTTGATGAAAGTAGAGTAGATGAAATTTGGCAGTTACCAGCACACAGGTGGCCACTGAAGCTGCAAATGATAAGATTGTCCAAGGAGCATATGCAGGGTGAGAAGAGTTGCAACACTGAAGTACTAAAATATTTAACAGAACAGTATGAACTGATGCTGGAAATTCAAGATAGACTGGTCAGAGATAGAAAGAAAATGGTGGAAACGAGGCAAAACGACTATTATGAGGAGGGAGATTAAGTAAGACAAAAACTGAAAGGATCCACTGGATTTTGTGACATGAAGCTGATCACATGGCAACTGCTATGTTTCAGCAGAATGGCAGAAGACAAACTGAAATGGCTGAGGAATAAGTAGGAAGTAAATATTAATATATTAACTATAGCTAAGTATCTAAAATTCTGAAAACACAGTAGACATTTAAATTCTGATGAGGACAATCTAGTAAAGAGAAAGAGGATGAATTATAGTAAATTTTTACAAAGAATAGAGATATAATGGTCAGGAAGTAATAAGGGGACACAAGAAAGATCTTGATCTCATTTGACACCATGCACATGTAAAATCCAGGAACATTCCATGGATTTGCAGTTTGGAAGTACTAAAACAAGTTACTATCAAAAGAGAAGATAACAATTTAATATCCACATCTACTCTAAATTTTAGTTACTTATATGGTCTAACAATATTTAAGAAACAATCTAAAATTATTTTAAAATAAATATAATACTATTAAGGTTTATAGGAAAACAATGACCTACCCTTGGTCCTCTTCCTTTAATTTTCCTGCCAGATCTAGTAACTAAAAGTCGCCTCTGGTATGAAGCAGGCTGGGGGTTAGGTGGATTACTAGAAGGAAGTGAAAATTAAAATAAATTATTTTACAAAAATAAATCTGAGGAATATAGCTTTAATGATCTAAAGTAATAAATTTAAAATCTTATATATAATCAGTGGTTCTCAACCAGGTATGTTATCAATTCCTAGCAGGTATCTGGAAAAGTATGAGACCATTATTTTTTCACTGTCAATGACTAGACAGGGTGCTGTTGGTACTAAGTACCCAGGAGTCGGGATGCTGAAACCTTGTAATACACAAGGATGAAGAACTATTCTGCCCCCAAAATTCCAACTGTGTCCTGTTAAGAAACATTGTTGTATCATCACTACTAAAATGAAGTTAACTTGATAGTGCTAAGGAAAATCGATATAGAAGAGCTCAGAGTAGGCTATACGCTGTTGAGAAAATAAGTTTTAAAACTTATTCCAAAGTAGCCTATTTTCTTATCAAAAGTTGTTCATTGGTAATAAAATATACCAAAAAGTAATCAATGTGAATTAAGTAGAAACAAGGTAGTCTGAATTAAAAAGATGTTTATATCATAGAAAACTATTTCCAAATAATGAGTTAATATTGATTAGCATTAGCAATATCCATGTAAGTTATATTCAAGAAGTTTGTTCTTTTTTTTTTTTTTTTTAGTTATTTTTCAAGTACAGTTTTTTGTCTATTTTTCCCATCCCAGCCTCCCCTGCCCCTTGCTCCCCACCTCCCTCCCATTTCCTCCCCCAAGAAGTTTGTTCTTAAGTAGTGCATTTTTCCTTTAATATTCTCTTCCTTAGAAATATCCTTGCTTAATATATGAAGAAAAATAAAAGTCCAATCCATCAATACCAAAATAACTAAGATTCTTTTTACATTTTTACTGTATTATAAAACTAGGATTGCTCAGAACTTTATTACTTTTATAATGTATACCTGATCATAAATAAGAGAATTCAATCTTTTATGTAGAAAAAAATTTCAAGTATTTGAACATGATACCATTACCAAAATTTTGTAAACTGCAAAAAGAAAATAGCATTATTTTACCTATCAGAGAACTTAGAGCAGAACTTTTACTGGCTTAAAGTTTAATGTATACAACTACACAGTAAAACACTTATCTTGCTTTTAAGTGGAATTGGTTTAGAATTCTGCTTATCATTTTGGCATTTGCAGTGCTTTTTTTTCTCCAAAGAAAGTTTTACTCAAAACCTGTTTGAATTAAGTCAATTTATCCTTTTAGCTATGTGGTTAGCAAAAAGGAGCTTTATGAACATTATTCTATAAAAAGATTTCAGTCTTGGGAAAAAGTCACCAATTAAATTTTGCCTAAAATAAACACCTTTTAAGAAAAAAGAGATCATGGTAAAGCTTGTAGGGAACTCTACAAGATATACACATTCACATACCACTCTCTTTCTCTGTCTCTTTCTCTGTTTTTCCTTTCTTTTTCATCAGCTTTAGGAGGACTTTTTCTCATTAAAAATCTATTTTCAGGTATAGGAGGGATCTCTTCTGGACGGACAGTAGACTGGGGTTGTGCATCAAGATTTTCAGCCTCACTTTCACTAGACGCGCTTAGTAGAAACACAAAACAAGTTTCATTCAGTTATTAAGTGCCTACCCCAAATATCTGATTGCTGTTATTTCTTTCCTTTAAGATATTGATGTATATGCCATCCAGTAACCCCCAAGGATACAGTTACATGGGAAAGATGCAATTCATTCCTGTGACAAACTAACCAAAACTTAAAACAAAATGTTTCTATTGTCACATTCTCAAAAAATATTTCCCACTAAAATGGGTCCAAAATATGAAAATCCATGAGCAATGTACTATGATAAACTTATGATACTCTAAAATGCAGGTAAAGAAATTAGTTGCTTTAGAGGCAATAGGAATATAAAAACAAGCTTTACTACAAACACATTATTTCAGAAAAAAAGGAAAAAAACACAATGACATCTGCTTTCTATCCTTATGCCCTTAGAAGAGCAAAGGAAGTGCAAGACAAAAGAGCAAGAGAGACTGTGAGAGAAAATAAGGAACACAGTCATTGGTTTTCGATTACTCTCACTAATCCCATATTCCTCCCATAAATACAAACCTATAAAACCCAGAGCATAATTTCACTGAGATCAGACAAAATAAACTGAATAGTTTTGTTAAAAATGGAAATGAGTATGACTCAAATTTAATCTACTGATTGTAGAATATCAAAATGGTTTTATACTTCATGCTATAAAATATTTCTATTTTAATGTTCCCATAATTAATTGATCTAAAATCCAAACAGATTTATGTATAAACAGAGGGAATTAGAATATAACATTAGTGACAAAAATAAAATAAAGACCTTTTCTTGCTTTTCTTGCGCTTCTTCTTTTCTTTCTTGTGTTTTCGGGAATTTTTCCTGTGTTTCTTTTTTCTTTTTTTTGATTTCTCTTCAGAAGCACTTTCAGAATCAGAAGAATCAGAAGAAGACTGAGAATCACTTGAGCTATCTGAGTCACTGGATGATGATGAGGAGGATGATGATGATTTATGCCTTTTCTTTTCTTCTTTCTTAGCTTTCGTTAAAAAACAAAAAGGTTTTTTGGTCAACGCTTTTTAGATAAACTTTGTAAATGGAAAATTTATATTTTCTAAGTCTAGTATTTAACACCTAGCTCACCCACCTATTTGAATTGAGGAGTAAAGGAAAGGAGTCAAGAGTCAGGATTAGAATCTAGATCTCCAGGACTTCAGGTCAAGATGGAGGTGTAGGTAGACATGTTTCACCTCCTTCTGCAATCATAAGAACTAACCTCAAAACAAATAACACCCAAAACTCCCAGAATATCAAACTGTATGTAAGTCCAACAACTAAGGATTTAAAGACGCCACATTCATCTAGATGGGCAGGAAGGGCAGAGGTGCACAGTCAGGGTGGAGAGGCAAGGAGACACAATCTGGTGTGGAGAGGCAGTGGTGGTGGAACAGGCAGTCCCATATTCATGAGTGGTGGATAAAAATCAGGAGGGATAACTTGAAAATGAGCAATCCCAGCCCCAGGCCAGACCACACGGCCAGGATTCTAGTGCTGGGAAGATAAGGACCCACAATTTCTGGCTGTAAATACCAGTGGAGACAGTGGAGCAGAATAAACTGCCAGTTTCTTAGGAGAGTCCATTTCAAGGGCCTGCATGGACTTAGAGCACATGCAAACCTACCCACTCTGGGATATACCACCAGGGCAACAGCTGAAAGGGTACCAGTCATATACAGGAAGTGGGTGAAGTGACTAGAAGCAGGGTTGAGTGCCGGGTAAACCTCCAGAAGCCAGGCAGCAGTACTGTCCCCTCTCTAAAACCTCCCCCAACACAGAGCCACAAAGTGGTGCAGTGGGTCACCCTACCCTGGCAAATACTAAGGTTCTGCCCCATATAACTTAACAGATGTGCTAAGACAGGGGGTCAAAGCAGCTTTACCAAACACACAGAAACAAACACAGGGAGGCTGCCAAACAGAGGAGATAAAGAAATATGGCTCGAATGAAAGAAAGGAACAAAACCCCAGAAAAAGAACTAAATCTATCATATGCAGAGTTCAAAACACTGGTGATCTCCTAGGATGCTGAGAGACTCACTGAGTATGACAATAATATAAAGGAAGAAATGAAGGTTACACTAAATGAAATGAAGAAAAATCTACAGGAAACCAACAGTGAAGGGGAAAAGCTGGTATTCAAATAAATGATTGGAAATATAAAAAAGAAATAAATATTCAACCAGGTCAGAAAGAAGAACCAAGACTTCAAAAAATGAGGATAGTATAAGATAACCCTGGGACATCTCTAAAAGAGCCAACATCCAAATCATAGAGATGCCAGAAGAAGAGTGAGAGTAAGAAATCGAAAACTTATTTTGAAAAAAAGAATGAAAGAAAACTTCCCTAATTTGGTAAAGGAAATAGACAGCAAGTCCAAGAAACAGAGTCCCAAAGAAGTTGGACCCAAGGAAACATACACCAAGACACATCATAATTAAGTTACCAAAGATTAAAGGAGAGAATCTTAAAAGCAGCAAGAGAAAAGCAGACAGTTACCTATAAAGACATTCTTATAAGACTGTCAGCTGATTTCTCAAAAGACATTTTGCAGGCAAGAAGGCACTGGGCAAGAGGTACTTAAAGTAATGAAAGTCAAGGACCTACAAGCTAGATTATTCTACCTGGAAAGCTATCATTTAGAATCGAAGGGTAGATAAAGTGCTTCTCAGACAAAGTAAAGCTAAAGGAAATCACCACCAAGCCATTATTACATGAAATGTTAAAGTGACTTATTTAAGAAAAAAAGTTCAAAACTATGAACATTAAAATGGCAACAAATTCACAAGTGAATCTAAAAAAAAAAAACAAACGTAGTTAACAACCACAACAGGAAATAATCTAGATATGGCAATATTTGGAGGGTTATCAATGGGAAGGGGGAGGGGAGAGAATGGGGGAAAAAGTAAAGGGAACAAGAAGCTTAACTGGTAGGTACAGAACAGACTGGGGGATGATAAGAATAGTATAGGAAATAGAGAAGCCAAAGAACTTACATGTAGCACCTGAACTAAGGGGAAGGGACTGCTGGAAATAAGAGGGGATACCAGGCAGAAAGGGGCAAAAGGAGATAAATTGGGACAACTGTAAAGCATAATCAATAAAGTAGTTATTGATTATATAGTTAAAAAAAAATAAAAGAGAATCCGTATCTCCAGAATCATGGGCCAGAGCTGTATGCATTAAACTAATGAATTCTGGAAAAGTTAACAGGTAAATCTAAAACAATAAACTAATTTTAGAAAACATTTAGTATAGTTTTTTAAAAGCACAGAAATAACATTTAAGAGTCCCAGATCAAATCTTATAGTGTTTGACCTTTTCTTTTATCAAGACTGCAAGTCTCTGGAGGAGAGAAATAGAAGAAAACAACACTTTGCACAAATGTGGAAAGATAAGGAACATGATTCCATTAGCATGGGCTTATGTTTCCAGCTTATGCATTCTCCTAAGATTAAGAAATTCAGCTTTACTTGAAGAGAAGACTTACAACAGAGGGTGGTAATTTGCCAATGATTAATAACGATATTTTGAGGTGTCTACCCCAAAACTTTAAGAACTAGGCAAGTAATGAATAAGTGAAATCAACCAGGTATAATAAAACAGGAATTGGGGAAAGATATGACAAACTGGATAGAGCACAACTCATCTAAAGGTATTCTAATTCAAACCATGGTGGCCTTAAAATATAAATTCAAGCTAAAGATGGGAAACCATTGATATACAGATAGTTACTATAAACTGGAACACATCAACTACATTAGAATCTATCAGTTCCTAATGATATTGGTAGGTAAAATACAAAGCATTTATCCTTCTTTTCCTATCTGAACTCTACCACTGGCTAACTAAATAGATGAAGATGCTCTTTATCAAAAGTATTCCAGGAATAAATGTAGGAATCAGAGTTAGAATATCATCATTTCACAACTAACTGATCACCAATGGACATTGCAGAGCACAAAGACAACCTGTCTTATGTGACTTTGTGCTCCTATCAAAAGGAAATTAAAAAAAAAATCTAAACTTCATTCAATCAATTTTCTAGGACTACAGTTACATGAAATAGAAGTATAGAAAGAACACATTACAAAATATACAGGTACATCAAATAAAATCCAGTGTGTACAATACTGGAAAACACTACAGGACAAATGACTTAGGCTGATTAACAAATCTCAAGGAAAAATATAAAGGAAGATGGTGTTGACCTCTATTGAAAAAAACAACAAAAAGCCTTGTAAGACCAGCCCTAATGTTTGAACCTTATTTGGATTGAAATGTCAAAAAATTAACATCAGCCCTGGCTGGTATGGCTCAGTGTACTGAGTGCTGGCCTGTGAACCAAAGGGTTGCCGGTTCAATTCCCAGTCAAGGTACATACCTGGGTTTCATGCCAGGTTCCCCGGTGTGGAGCATGTGAGAGGCAACCACACATTGATGTTTCTCTCCCTCCCTTCCCCTCTGTCTAAAAATAAATAAATAAAACATTTAAAAAAATTAACATCAATGAAACAATCAGGAATTTGAGTACCGTGAGATTTTTATTTTTAGAAATGTGTGTGTAAGTATATGTTTTCATATTATTATGGTATTGGTTATTTTTAAAGCCATCTTTTAGAAATAATAAAATATTTAGCAATAAAATGTCATACCACGATTTGCTTCAACATAACAGAAAATAGAGAACTGGCCAGGAATAGGTAAAAAGAGACTGTCTATGAATTAATTTTTGAAGCTGGTTAATTCATATGGGTGTTTCATTGTTATACTGTTTTAATCACCTCTATATATGTTAATGTTTTCCACAACAGGCAAATCAAATAGAACTAGGAAAATATATCTTTGGACTAACTGTTGGCTTTCTGTTTACATGACTTAACTGAAAGGTTTAACAGCTAGTTTGTAATCTTTCCTTTCTTTAGCTCTAGGAGTACCTGAGGATTTGGCATTTGGCCAAATCATTCTTAACACTTAACTCAAAATTTACAGGTATGTACTAATTAACAATAAATGAGAATCTGGCTGAAGTCACTATATATTTGGTTAAGGACTTGTGGTTCACTGTGAAGATAGCTTTTCTAGTATCAATGACAAGCTGCTGCATTGAAGAATAGGAACAAGGTAAAAAAAAGTGAAGGGACCCAGAGGTAAAGGCTTCTTCAGTCAGTTGTGCTCAGGACAATGAATATGTCAAGTGTGAGATGCCTGAGACATACACAAGCTCTGCCTAGAATTTATGAGGTCTCCATAATGTTGCTCCTATACAAGCCATGCAGTTTTCTGTCCTGTATCATTTCTTAAAGGTAAATAAACTTACTGCTGAGTGAAGCTGATCTTGTCCCATGAGGTCAACTATTAATCTGAACGCAAGGCCACTGCTGCTGGTGAGGCAGAGTGGGTATGCAAATATAGATAACCTGAAATATCTACCTATATATACTAAAAACCTGAGGACATTAGGAGGGTAGGTGGGACTCAGACTTAAAGAAATCTAAGGGGAAGAAAATAAATTCATAGTGATTATGTATAACTCTAAATAAAAATACCTCAGATCACATAATATAAAAGTGAAATAAAAGTATTCCACATAAGTACAAAACATAGTTGTTAAATTTACTTGACAAATGCTTTACTCTATGATTAACAAAGTTTTACTCATCAGTCCAAACTTTTCTATTTATTTTGCATTGGGATTCTTTCCTATGAGAAATACCCTGCCATTTGTTTCTTTAAAAAGCAAGCCCATTCTCCCCACCAAATGTATTTCAAACAGCATTATTTAGTTTACACATTACTTGTCAAGAAAACATCTAAGTGAAGCAAAATATCACACTAATAATGGAAGTCTAGAAAGAGATTTTAACTATTTTTATGGTAATATAATCTGCCTGAGTATCATATGACAACTATAAAAGGAAAATAAACCACGTTTAAGAAAAGATGCATTGGAAGATAGCTTTGAAAGCGCTAAGGTTGAAGA